CTTCGAGAACCATGAACCGCACTGGTTACTCTACATTTGACAACCTCCCCAACATGAAACACTGAATCTGGATCACTTCCAGGCTCTAAACCAAGTTCAAATCTGCTTAATCAAAATCAGTATAGCATATTAGTTTACGACCATCAAAACAGAAAAACTTAACCAAAGCCTTTATGATGTGAAAAAAATCTATGTACAACATCAGTATAAGGAAAGCAGAACTGAAAGGCAACGCCAGCTGAAATATAACAAAAGAGTGCAGCAATGACCTGGGAACAAATCCTTGCACTCCATTATAGAAGCGAACAAAGCATCCATGCTTTTCAATCTTTGTTATCCAGCCATGCGTCACTAGCCCTTCAGTTGCATCAGTGTAAGAACTCAAAATTGGAAGTTTAGACTTCACCTGAAAAAGAATAAACATTTCATATTTACTGCATGAGAACAGAATTGAATAGGTAGCAAAAGATGACTGAAAGTAAATAGCAATAGTTCTCCACTCCTAACCTCCAAAAAAGATACAAGTTTGAGAGAAAAGTCCCTCCAAATATTTTAAGTCCATAGTTAAGTGAAAAGGTTTGATAAAGAAGAAACTTAATTTCCATTTTTACCCAGAGAGAAATGAACACAAGTGAAAAAAGTGAAACCTGGAATCAGCAGATGAAGATAAAAGAAGGGATGATAATAAAAAGGAGATGCATTTTTATTACATAGATCATAAGAGGGAAATGATTTGAATAATTATAAGCCTCCCTAAACCAACAAAACTAGACATATCAAGGAATATGCAAACAATGTCAGGATTCACTATCATAAGAAAACTTACAAGTGTTTTCTTGTAGGTAACAGTTATTCTCTTTGATTTGCAGCCAAGCACACGGAATACTAATTCAGCTCCAACCTGAAAAAGAACATCATTCAAAACTTACGCATGCCGCAAGAATATTGCAAATTAATCATGTACGATCAATGTAACCAACCTTGAACTTTTTCCTGGGCTTCATAACTTCAAACTCAGACATATGCCGAAGTGGGCACATCGCTTTGAGACCACCCGCAAATTGCACAATGGCACCAAACGTATCAACAGATATGACTTTTGCCTTTGTCACCATACCAGGCTTGACATCAGAGTGGGTGAAAACTGGACCTTCAAAGGCACTTTCCTGCTCAATATAAAAACAACATGAAAAGAAAGAAACAAACCAATGTAAAACAGGAACAAAAAACATACATGTTCCAATAGAGAGGTATAAAAGTATGATTCTGCACCAAACTACTGCCTATTGGCTTTTAGATTGCAATGCAGAGGTTGAAATGAATAATCGAAACTAAAAGAACAATCTATTAGCTCGTCTGGCAGTAAAATACCTTTAAAGTCCCTATGGCCAACCCTTCCATCTGCTTAAGGCCAAGTATTCGAACACGGATGTGATTTCCTTCCTTAAACTTCTTTTCCAGTTTCGTTACTTCATCTCCGGCGGCGTCATATGTCTGCAAAAATGTTAAATCTCAAGTTAACAAAGGACATCAAAAAGGTCAATCTTTTCAAAAATAAGGATAGGCAATTGGACATACGCTAACGTATGCTGGAGTTGGTACGGGCTTAGAAGGAAGTTCCAGAAGAAGGCCTGATTTATCAATACGAACTACTTTTGCTTCATCGAATATGTCTCCACTAAAGACATGCTGTAAAGAGCAGACACATTTTACAAAAATATTTTTAGAAAAGAGCAAAGACAGGCAGATACAGGTACATCCACAACCACTAAACCCATAGATCCATGCTGTCTAAGGTATCAAAGGCGATGAATTAAAATTGTAAGATAGTGGATGGTCATTCTATGCAAGCTTAAGTACATGTAGGCAGTGGTAAAAATCGTGGATGTAAGAAATTCTGATGTTACAATCACTGACCCGTCATTTAAAACTTAAAAGTAGCTGTCAAATCAAATTCTCTTAGTCATTATGTCTTAGTGGAAGCACATGGAATTAGTAACTTACCAACGGAGGAGCCTTGTTACAAACAAGATGAGGGTTCAATGTCAAACCAACAGCTCTAGATGATGGATCGATAAACAATATTCTAGCATTAACCTGAAAAACATGAACATTTTATGCAAGTTAACCAAACGTAAAAATAATAATTACAAAGCATATAAAACAAACTTTCAACAGTAGAGAGAAAGAAATTATTGCAGAATAAGGATTATTTGAGCATGGAAATTCTAACGACATAGATAACAAGTAAACGCACTAAGGCAAAAACAACATGGATGTGGGACTACACGATCTGCAAACTATGATGACATATATAATGGAAACACAGCAAAGAGAAGAATCAGAAAAGAGTGACACCAAAATGCATACCATCTTATTCTGATTATACTCATCCTTCCAGCTTTTGTTAGACAATGGATTTTTTAGGTGGAAGAGATCAACCTGCACATCAATGAGAAACGTAACTCACAAGTGTCAACAAGATTTAGGGTTAAACATGAACGAGACAATTCCAGTTCAAGCAATAATGAACAAGATCAAAATCATTAGTAACTCACTGTTCCATTAAAGTATGTAAGAAAATCAAACAGTATCCCATTCTCAAGGACTGATTGCACGCGAGCATTAACCATCATGCCTGGGATGAGAAGATCAAACGACATGCCATTAAGATCCTTGGTCTGCAAAATGGTATTCATGTGGTTAAGTTGTGTAAATTAAGGAACCTTCACTCAGTAATTTGCAAAAGAATGTTCGAGGCATACCAGACACTTTGCCACTGAATCTGGGTCAGAACTAAGATGAACAACTTTACGATCTCTATCTATCTTTGTAACCACGCCCTGAATAAGCTGCCCAGTCTTCATTACTGACTCCTGGTTTCCTAGAAAATTCAGAAAAAAGGAAGATGAAATTTTAAAAAGATGGTCAGAAGCAAAACCAGAAAGCCACGAATTTTGCAAGAAAGATCAAAGGCATCCACAAAGTTCTATGGAAAATTGGAAATGAATACAAGATTAGGATTCTCTGAAGTATTTCCCTTAGTTGTACATATACAACCCATTTTACCATGATGTATATTAAGAGGTAAAACTAAATATCATTCCCCTGATGAAATCAAATTTAAAAGTTCAACGTGAGACAAAGAGCTTAGAGGCCAGTAGTAGGTCAACCCGGTATCTTACCATCGTTGCTTATTTCGATGAATCCTGAGATAGAAGGTAATCCAAAATGAAGGATATAACCATGGTCTTCAACGCTTTTCACGTTAGCAGAGAACACCTGAACGAGCATTTTTGGAATGAAATAAAAGATAATTATTTTGAAACACACCATAACCTATATAAAGGAGCTATAAGCACTACGGCAATAAAAACTGAGTTGCAAAGTATGACCCCAGCTCAGAATTTAGCAAATATATAGCTTAAATTCATTAAAAACTGCTAGCATATGCAACATAATAGATAAAGTCTAAGAACGATCAGCCATGAACTCTCTCAACTCGTTCTGGATCATTGAATCGCTTAGGCTATGCCAATAAACTTGCATATCAGTACCCACAAATACATAACAAAGGCGGAGCTCCCAAGTAGTACATAATTACGAAATTAAAGGAATCAAAACTGACATACCATCCCTAGTTGAAAGGAATCAAAACTGAATCCCTTGTGCAATAAAGAAAGACGCAATGAAAGCCAAATTTTTCTTTTGCCTGCCTCCTTTTTATCTTCATCTAACTGCAAGACAATGCAGGGAACAAGCTGACCCACAGAAAAAATGTCTCCAAGGAGTTCATTTTCATCGTCCTGGTTTACAAAAAGAGGACCAACTCTAATCAGATTGCAGAAACGATAACGGCAAAGGGTCAAAATGACCATCGTACAGTGAACTTAAACAGCCAATTATAGCCTATAGCAGTTACCTCAATCCCAAGATCTGTAAAATCTGATGCCTCGCTTGCGCGAACTAATCCACGTAAGCCCCCGGGAAGACTAATTACAATATCCTTCTGGTTTACTTCAGTAACAACTCCCAAAAGCTTCATTCCTGGGGAGATATTCTGAACATATATCCGAATAAAAGTCAGAACATGAGTGGAGTCACTAAAAGCCAATGGAAGCAACAAAAGTGAACAATGTGACATGTAAAATGTTACAATAACAGGTCTCTTAGCCAATTCTGACTAAAAGATCTTTAGTGTCATCATGCTGGACTCAAACATATAAGAAGGTTGCGAGTAATATACCTTAGTGGTAATCTTATTGGCATATCTAGGCCGTTTTCCATTAAGGCCGCCAAAAAGCAATCCCAAATCGTCTACATCGCTAGGGATTCTCTTTTTAGACTTTCCTCCTTTACTCTTCTTAGAAACACGCTCATCAGCGTCAAACTCAGCATCGACTTCTTCATAAATCTTCTCACGCTCTTTTTTACTCAGAGAAGTCCCTCCACCTGACAATCAATTAAGCATATCACATGACACCGAGAAATAACAAAGGAAACAGAAATTGATTGCATAACAAGAGAAATTTGGAGGGAGAAACAAACCTCGAGGAAAGTCAGGAACATCTTCGAGCTGAAGAGCCATGGCTTCAGACCTAGCAGCTACATCGTCCTTAGTCTTCTTAAACGGTTTCTTCGTAGGTTTAAAGGACTTTGTAGAATCATGACGTTTTCCATTTGCAAATTTCTTCTGCGGTACTACCATATCTCCAATGGCGGACGCGAGAGAGTTGGGAGCTCGTTTTTGTGTTTGTTAGTTTGTAGGGTTTAACACTAATGAAGAAGAAGAAGTTTTCCCGAAATTCTTAGGGTTTTTTTCTGGGAACCGCCTGGTTTGTAATTTGAACCAGATTAAAATTTGAGAACCGGTCGGTTTGGATTTTAACCCAGAAAAGAATCGTGATGGGCTTACATGGGCCTTTATTGTAAATACAATCTATGAGAGGCCCACTGTAGAACATTCTCGAATATACACGACCTTTTGTATAGGGAGAGACAGAGAGCACCGGCCGGCGACGGAATTGCGTTTCTCTAGTGGGATTCATCAGGTTTGATTTTCACGATCATATGGTTTTTGCATGTGTGTTTTTGTGATTTTCATAAACTTGCTCGTTTTAGCTATGAACTTGTGTTTCTGATGCAAAGAGTCTCTTCATTCGTCTGTTTTGGTGATTATTTCGTTCTTTCTTTATTTAAAAAGAAAAGCTTTAGGTAATCTGATCAAAAATATTAATTTAGCTTGAAATTTTCACTATTTTTGGGAGTTTTGAGCTTCTGGAAACTAATTATTTAGGCTTTATGAAGATGCGTTCAGTTTTGGTGAATTACTCTGCTATGCATGTTTCTCTGCTAAGCTTAAATTGGTTATTGTCTCCAATTTGATGTCTACATAGGTTTTATTTCTCATTTTCTGACAGGTTTTAAGTGATAATGGGGAGGAGCTATAGTTACAGCCCTTCACCACCAAGGAGTTATGGTAGAAGGTACAGAAGCCCAAGTCCCGTGGACTACTACAGAGGTAGGAGTAGAGATCCCCCGACCAGTCTACTGGTTCGCAATCTCCGGCACGATTGTAGGTAATCAAACGACTTTTTAAATATTTGTGCATGCACTCCCTTTGGAAATGTGTAATTGAATGAGTTCGAAAACAGGGAGTGTTAAAGTCTTCACCTTTGGAAAAGAAAATTGAATACTCCAGTTTTTTGCTTACCATTTCAGGCAAGACGATCTCCGTAGACCATTTGGGCGGTTTGGTCGTCTCAAGGATATCTATTTACCCCGTAATTATTACACTGGGTGAGTGATTGCGATTTCTTATCAATAATTCTGTCCATTTCTATGACTTCTTGCTGTCCTAGCCTTTGCATAAGTGTATCATGATGGGTTTTTTGTTACAACGGACTATTGGTTTATCAAAGTTTGGTTGTCTTATTGGAAGTTTTGAAGATCAAGAAGTAGGAAGTTTTATGTGCATGAGATCAATGAAGTAATAAAAATTCTTTATCCGGGACTATAGAGGGTAAGTGAGTGCTGTTGATGACAGTTTAATACTTCCAGATTGAGAAGGAAGTTGGTTTTTATTTCATTTTGAAGATGTTCTTGTCAAAGTCGAAGTTAGTTCAGTGGCTTCGAAAAGGTTAGCAGCCAGCTCATTGTTTATACTTGATTTATTCGGTTCCCCTCGTGTTGGTTGTATTTCTAATTTTTTTTTGTGTGCGCAAAGCTCTATCACTACCTTTGGTTTAGAGGAGACGTACTTTTTTTTAGATTTGTATTCTTAATTTTTGATGCTATGAACTTGCAGGGAGCCTCGTGGGTTCGGCTTTGTGCAGTACTATGATCCTGCTGATGCTGTAGATGCAAAGTATCATTTAGATGGCTATGTACTCCTTGGACGTGAAATTACTGTAGTATTTGCAGAGGAGAACAGAAAGAAGCCCTCTGAAATGAGAGAACGATCAAGGTTAAGCTTGAATTTCACCAAATTAGCTTGTTGACAATTGTTAACTGTTAGTAGCTTTCTCTCTGTGTTACGTTTGTTGAAACAATTAATGAAGTTGAATGTCAATTTCAGGGGCAGAACATCGACAAGATCTCCACATGGTTACTCCCGGTCTCCTGGCTATTCGCGTTCACCAAAACACAGGAGAAGCTATTCACGATCACCGAACTACAGAAGAAGCTCTTCACGTTCACCAAATGATGATAGGTGTCATTCAAGGTACTGTAATTGGGGTGTTAAATCCCAGTTTTGGTTTCAAAGGTTTTAGATTCTTTCGATTTGAGGAAAAGATTCACCAATGTATAATCAAATCTACTCTAAGATCGAATTTGATTCTAACTAGTTATGGGTAAGTATGTATAATTTTACTTTCTCAATGTTTATCTTCTTCTTACATACATATACCATACTGTACATCTTGTGCAGATCGGTTTCCCCGGGGGATAGGAAACGATCATACTCAAGGTCAAGCTCAAGGTCCCGGTATGAATCGAGAAGCAGAAGCCGGAGTCCCGGATACTGAAGGTGACTAGAAGAAGGTGATGGTGAAGATGGGGTCTGGTGTTACACTCTGGGATTTAGTAATATATGAGTAAGCATTTGTGTTATAGTACTCTTTGAGAGTAATGTGGAGGAACAATAAATCATACTTGGAGTAGAAGAGAAACCATTGTGTTGTTTGGTTTCATTTCCTTAGCGCTTAATGGTAGCTTGTATCTTAACAATAATGCATGACATCTATGCTAGTATCTTAAATAGTGCTTTATTGAGAGAATTTTGTTATCATTTGAAAGCAGAAATTTTTCGTTTACAAATTTCTGTTTCCCATCGCGCTTTTCTAATAATCGTATCTACCTTTTTGAAAGTAGACATATACCTGTGACACAGTTAATAAGATTTAAGACAAATGTGGCCATTTATTTGTTAATTACTTAATTGTTGTTGTAGCAATTACCTTAAGCACCGACAAACTCTTAGTCAATGGATCTTGTTTATTGCGGACCCAATTGTTGGTTGGTCGGCTCGTGTTTAAACCACATTTGGAATTTGTTCTGGAGATCTCATCTCGTATAACACAACCAAGAAGATAACGCAAACGTTGAAAGTCACATGTGTAGGCTATATGTTCACCTCGAGTTTAAGGTTCTCTTCTGTGTCTCATTGTTCTAAACTATTCATCTTCAGTTGCATGTTTGGCTTCATAGTCCGATTTATTTTTTCCATCTAGATGAATTGGGAACATTTTGCTTACTTACAGATGACTCATTTCATATTAATATAATACTCTTGACTTCATGAATATTTCATATTATTTAATGACTCAATTCTTTGCAGGGTTTAATGGTGTTGAAACAAGAGCAGATTGGTCAATCGCTGCAGAAAATTAAAAAGTTGGATATCATGAGGTAAGTTGTTTATTTCATAAGGATCTCAAGTTTTCTCCAAAAGCTATAATTTTTAAGATGACGACCAATTAATCCTCAAACCCTTGTGATGTGAATTACCTAAATCCCAACACGAAGATATGAGATTTTTTTAAGTTAGCTATTTATCATTGGTTGATTTCTTATAGGTTTATGGCAATATTTTTGAAACTGATAATGCGTTTCTTTTTTTTTCTTCTGAAATCTAAATCACGTGTAGGAAACTGATCAAATGTTGGAAAGAAGATCGTAAGGCAATCTTTTATTTCACTTGATTTTTAAAATATTTATTTGCCTATAAAACAGAGGAAGTTTTTCATCATCTTTTGTCCTTAGAACTAACCAATCTTTCATTCCTCTTATAAAAACAAAACCTACTTTACTTGTCTCTTAACGATAACAAAATAAGAAATAATTAATTCTGTTCTTGGTTTACTTAATCTTCTTTCTAGTTAAGTATATTCTTGTTGCTCATCACCAAAGGTATGCTTTCTAGGTTAAGTATATTACAAGTCACCAATTTCTTAACCAACAAGCTTCTGTTTCCTCAAAGATAATATAATGAAATATAGTATTTGTTTTAGAATTGTACAATGTCCACAGATATTTTGATAGTCTTATTTAGAAATGACCCTTTCTCTATTTCTTATTTCTTAGCTTGTGATGGAGGCTCTCTTCTTGAGTTCTTCTTCTTCCTCCATTATTGCATCAAACAAACTTGCTAGATTACACAACCGTTGTGACTGGTCAACATTGGTTAGAGATAAGAAAAGGGTCGGTCCCACTTGGTGCCGTGTAGGTGGTGGTGATGGTGGGAGAAACAGTAACGCAGAGAGACCTATTCGGGTTTCTTCGCTTTTGAAAGACAGAGGTCAGGTACTGATTAGGGAACAGAGTTCGCCGGCTATGGATGCTGAGACATTGGTTCTGTCTCCAAATGGGAATGGGAGAACCATTGAGATCAATGGAGTAAAGACTTTGATGCCATTTAGTGGTGCTGCTATGGTTGGTATGAAAGAAGGACTTGGCATAATCAGTTTCCTCCAAGGGAAGAAGTTTCTAATCACTGGCTCAACCGGTTTCTTAGCTAAAGGTAAAAAACAACTACATGTATGTTCATTATATTCCGCAACTTTCCGTATCTAAATTGTTTCTCTTTTGATATCTCTAGTACTGATTGAGAAAGTCTTGAGAATGGCTCCGGATGTTAGCAAGATATATCTCTTGATTAAAGCTAAAAACAAAGAAGCTGCGATTGAGCGGTTAAAGAACGAGGTAAGTTCTTTTCATTTTGATTCTTTGTTAGTCAAGTTCTTCACTTGTTATGTGCATAACTGTGGCCTCCTTTACAGGTGTTAGATGCAGAGCTTTTTAATACTCTAAAAGAGACTCATGGAGCATCGTACATGTCATTCATGTTAACTAAACTCATCCCTGTGACCGGAAACATTTGCGATTCAGACATTGGGTTGCAAGCAGATTCAGCTGAGGAGATTGCTAAAGAAGTTGATGTGATTATCAATTCTGCTGCTAATACAACCTTCAATGAAAGGTTGGAAATGGTCAGATTATGTGTTTTGAGTTCTCTTGTTTAGTTATCTAGATATTTACTAATCTTGTTGTCTGCATGGCGGAGATTGAAGATACGATGTTGCTCTGGACATAAACACAAGAGGGCCTGGTAATCTCATGGGATTCGCCAAGAAGTGCAAGAAACTCAAGCTGTTCTTGCAAGTATCCACAGGTACGTGAATGTGACAAAACAAACAGAGCTAAAAAAGGTTTTTCTGATGTTCCGGTTTCTTGTGCAGCTTATGTGAATGGACAAAGACAAGGAAGGATCATGGAGAAGCCATTCTCGATGGGAGATTGTATAGCCACCGAGAACTTCCTCGAAGGAAACAGAAAAGCATTAGATGTTGATAGAGAGATGAAGCTAGCTCTTGAAGCTGCTAGAAAAGGGACTCAAAATCAAGATGAGGCGCAAAAGATGAAGGATCTCGGTCTAGAGAGGTATTGATCTCTAAATCTTCAGCTTAACTACATCTATTTCTCGCTCAAATATTCGCAACAATCTTAAACACACAAATTATTGGAAACAGGGCAAGATCATATGGATGGCAAGACACTTATGTTTTCACGAAAGCAATGGGTGAGATGATGATCAATAGCACTAGAGGAGACGTACCTGTTGTTATTATAAGGCCTAGCGTCATCGAAAGCACGTACAAAGACCCTTTCCCTGGATGGATGGAAGGAAACAGGTAAAACTATATCCTAATGTTACATATATATGTTGTGTAACAAAACTGATTCTTCTTCAATTGTGTTATATGCGACCTAAAAATCAGGATGATGGATCCTATAGTTCTATGTTACGGGAAGGGACAGCTCACAGGGTTTTTGGTTGATCCGAAAGGAGTTCTTGATGTAGTTCCTGCTGATATGGTTGTTAATGCAACATTAGCTGCTATAGCAAAGCATGGAATGGCAATGACGGATCCGGAACCTGAAATAAACGTGTATCAGATTGCTTCTTCGGCGATAAATCCTCTGGTTTTCGAAGACTTAGCGGAGCTTCTTTATAACCACTACAAAACATCCCCGTGCATGGACTCAAAAGGTGATCCAATTATGGTGCGTTTGATGAAACTTTTCAATTCCGTTGACGATTTCTCCGATCATTTGTGGAGAGATGCTCAAGAACGGAGCGGGTTGATGAGTGGTATGAGCTCAGTGGATAGTAAGATGATGCAGAAGCTAAAGTTTATATGCAAGAAATCTGTTGAACAAGCCAAACACCTTGCTACTATTTACGAGCCATACACTTTCTATGGTGGAAGGTAAGATACAACTAACATATTAATTCTTATAGAGCAGACCGACCCGAAACCCGCAAAGTTTTCATCTTTTGTATTGGTTTATTTTACAGATTTGATAACAGCAATACACAGAGATTAATGGAGAAGATGTCAGAGGACGAGAAGAGAGAGTTTGGGTTTGATGTTGGAAGCATTAACTGGACGGACTACATTACAAACGTTCACATTCCCGGTTTAAGAAGGCATGTCTTGAAAGGAAGAGCTTAAAATTCAAATCTCACTAAACCAGTTCAAACAGAATCAATCCTTTCTTTTATCTTTTTTTTTTTCATTCCGTGTAATCGTGTTGTGTCTAATATATCAGTTTGATTTGTAATAATTTGAAGATAAAAGGGACTGTTCTTATCTTCAAGTTTGCCCAAAATCTATAGTCATGTTCGATCCAAGACAAAGTTTAAAGTTACAACTTGTAAAAATATTATAGTCTCTAATGTAAACGTATCTTAAACGAAATTATTAAATGTTGAGGCTTATGAAGTTAGTAACTTAAAACTATTAATGAATAAATGTTTTATCATTTAAATACTCTTTAGTGATTGTCCTATAAAATCTCTTGTTTTCTTGTTTCATGTCATTAATCTTACATCCTAAACCAAAAGCAAATATGGCAAAGTCTCTTCTCATGGTAATGCTCATGTTCATAGTAATGTTTTACATGGCTTGTCCAATTTTCTCCCAGGAAATTGATCCATATTCACAGGAGGTACCAGAAGATGTGGCCATATCTCCAACTTCAGATTTCGATATTTACGTCGAATCCCCCGATGAAGCTCCATTCGAAGAAGCTGGTTCACCCGCAATGGAATATGACATGGAGCTTGCTCACCATTACTCGCACAAACAGCTCGATTTTCTCCAGGCTTGTGCTGAAAAGCCGAGCGTAAAATGCGGAGATGAGGTTTTCAAGAACATGTTGGATGAAACGACGCCAATTACAGATGAATGTTGTCGTGATATATTGAAGATGGGCAAAGATTGTCATCTCGGATTGGTTAAAATCATATTCGCCACATATGAGTATAAGAATATTGCATCTAAGGGTATTCCACAAAGTAAACAAACATGGAATGATTGTGTCCGTAGAGTTGGGAGTAAGATCGGTGCTCCGGTTTCTTTGGAGCAGTAAATTAATGTGTCTATGAGTTTTTGTAATTTGACTGTTACCATTATAAAACAACTACCATTTTCTTTTTGATAATCAAGAAGCCAAAGCCTTGCAATATATTACGTTTTTACTCATTATTCGAATTAATCCTTCCAACATAAACTAAAAACGCATATGCAAAGTGAAAATTTCAATACCTCATAGGTGGGTAAAATGTTCAGAATTTCAAAATACATATTCGATGTAATCCGATATAAAATTTAAGTTATATATGGACTTTTCGAAGTAATTGGATTCTGAAATAATACTTCAAACTTTGTAATATTATTCTTAAATATTTTTAGTGGCTATATATAGATATTTATAAATCACGGATCATATGAATATCCGATCTTCTAAAATATCAAGATCTCCAACTTTCATGTCTAATTATAGAGGCCTATTCTGACATAAAGATCTTGACCTCCGGCAACGTAATTCCTCATATCTCTGAGCTCTCTGGTCCAAATAACACAACCCGACCCACCATTTCGAATATCCTTATTCGCAAACCCGGTACAGTTACAATCCTTAGAACACCTCTCCTTACATTCATTCAACCCAATTCTCTTGTCCACAACTGTTGTACTTGTCTCCGGCAACTTCATCCTCTTCATCAGAAAAAAACCATCTCCGTGGCAGTTCAACCGCGACTTCCTCACACATCCCTCGAACGTATCTCCCAACGCCCACGCCGTCACGTTCTTTGGAACAAAGCCTTTGATACAATTACACGTCGGTGACGTTTTCATGTCACAATAACTGTCACGACCACAGATTTGGTACAAATCGCAGTTCTCGGTCGGTAAAACCCCAAACAAGTTCCATTCCGATGATATCGTAACCCATCTGAATATCTGTAATAATCCTTCGGATGTCAGTGTAAATCTCACGTAGTGCATGCTTTGGTCGGTGACGTTGAAACTGTAAGCAACTTCCTCTCTGTTCTCTATGAAGTTGTTAACAACGTCAAAGTAGCTCCAGTTTTGCATCGTCGGTATGCCACTAAACCCGACTCCATTCCACGGACCGGATCGGTACAATAGAAACTCTTTCTTGTAAAGATAAAACTCAGGCAGCCCTTGAGTTTCGAGTTTGAAAGAGAAGCCTCCGCTTGAGGGATCATAAGGGCTTCTCCAAGAACTGAGGAAACTCTCGTGTCCTGTTTTGAGATTCCGACCAATTTTCATCTCCGGGAGCAAAGTGTCAACCGGATAATCAAAGCTTTGCCACAAGAATCGATTTTGATCGTTGCTTTTGGAGTCTCTAAGCACGAAGTTGCCGTTATCGAGAAGCTCTGCCACCACTGGAGATTTCACCATTCTCGTCAGATTCGTTGACCAAACAGGAGTATCATAATGATCAAGAAGGACAATGTTAGCGTAAGAGATTTTTAATGTTCCGATGGATTTGGAAAGAGGATTGTCTCTGTTAGCAACCCATACATAAGTTCTCTCAGAGATTGACTTGTACCAAATCCCAAGATACCAACGATCACCATTTCGAGAGCTTGTTGTGGTTTTGAAGAAACCAAGCTCGAAGACATTACCGGGAGATACAATGGTTCGGTTGCTTGAGATTGTCAGAGTTTCCGTAGATGACAAAGTATTGATCGTGAACACAAGACGAAACAGAGCTAATAAGACAACGAAGAAGAAGAAGAAAGTGTAAGAATGGTGATAGTTTGGTGTTACGCCTCTCATCTTCACCACTTTCTTTCTTATATATGCTCTTCTTTGTTTTTTAAAACCTAGATTTATAGATTTCTTCACATGTTGATGATTTTCAAATTTGCAAAACTCATTAAAATTATTTCTAGCAGACAAGACAAATGTCATTTTCTATGTTCTATGACTTTTCAGCTCTTCATTAATTCACTTCAACAAACTACGTACTGTCATTAGTCGATAACGTTGCCATGTGAAATTAATTTGCTCGTGCAACATAACATATGTTGTTCAACAAGTATATTTATTCATCCATGATCCTCGTCCCAAGAAAGTCATGCTATGGCGCTCGTAGATGCATTCATCGTTACGTTCGATGTATTTGTCTTCTGGATATCATGGCCATGCTATTTTTTATTTTTTTTTGGCCATGCTATTTTTTTTTTTTTTTGGCCATGCTCATATTGCTACTCCATTCTTGAGTACAATGTATTTGTCTTGCATCCTTGATTTAGTATACAAAAATATTAAGGCTAAGATTTTTTGTCATTTTTTTGGGGTTCAATGTACCTTTTGAATATTAAAATGATAATAATTTTTTTTTTAATATCTTAGATTTCCGGTTCATTGGTTCTGGTTGATTTATCATGATCCAATTTTACCCGGTTTTCATGTGAGACCGGATTAACATTGATATTAACGTACCAGATGTTATGGGCCATAATGGGTCTACAGGCCCAATTGTAATGACATATCCACACGTGTCGATCCCTTTTCATTAGTTTCTTCACACGGTAATCGCTCGTTCGCTGAAGAACACCTACCATCAATTTCCGGACGAGCAAGCCGAGGACTGTTTGTACAAAAACTCGAAACTACTATTTTTTCTGTCTGATTGGAGCAACTCCATCACTGTGTTTACATTCATTCTCCATCTGGGTTTTCGAAGGTAACACTTCTCTGTTCGTCATCTTCCATTTCCCTGGGATGTCATCTGTGTGTTTAATGTGTAATCTCCGATTTCCTTTTTGTTTATTTTGTAATTCCCTTTAATGGGTATAAGAGTTTGCTATTTGGATGAAATTGTTGGTCGATTTGCTGTGTTGGTAAGGAATAAATTAATGTGGGGGTTTTCAATAAGACCTTAGGCTGTGTGATTTGTTGTTAGCAATCACAATTCGCAATATTTTTTCACAGTTGTTGGACATAGCTTTGATAAATCTACTGTTCCCTATAATGTTTTGAACTAAACCACTTCCACTTTTCCTTTTAGCTTCAGCAATGCAGGCATGAAAGAAAAGAATTCCACCACCGCCTCTACACTTGGACGGATTTTAGCTACTTGTTCTAAACAGGTTCCTTTGCCAGCTCCAGTTACTTGTTTCTATTTTTGGCATTTTGTCTTTCAGATTCTTAGAAATGTCAATCTTCTTTGATTCCGTCCCTTAACTTCGTCCTTCTTCTCTGATTTTCATTATGAAATTGTTATGTACGACATCAGTTTTAAAGAATGAGTTTGTAGGAGAGAGTGAAATTAACATATGTCAATTGCGAAGCAACAATTTGGTTAGTTGTGCATTGTGTCTTGAAGATCCAATCCTTGTTATTGACTAGAAAGTCAACTTGTTACAGGCCAAAGACTACGGGAGCTGTGTTGCATCTAAAGTCCATGAGGTTGAAAGAGACATATGCTTGAAAGAGTTTCTTGCACTGAAGAGTTGTATGCAGCATACGGTATAGTGAACTTTATTGCTAGGGGCTTGTCTCGATTATTTTATCCTCATCATTTTAGACTAATCTGTTCTACTTTCATGTTTTACTTTTCCTTGTAGATCCGGGGAAAGGCTTGAATCACAATTATATTCTCCTTCTCGTTAGAGGCATTTTATCAGCACTGCTTGAAGTTTTAACATGTACGCCTTTCTTTTTTATTTTCAAATCCTTGTGAAACAATTCTGAGTTATAGTCTGTGATATGTTTTTTTATAGAAACTTTAAGTGACTCAGTCCCATTATAAAGTGGGAAATCTATTTCATAACATTTCATTTTGGACTACAGTTTGGTTCCTTTGAGAAATTTGGAAAACTGAAAAGTTTGGATATGTCTAGCAGGATGTCAATTTCACAGGCAAGTGTTGGTTCTGGTGCTTTATCACATGTGTATATACATCATCCAGCCCTACGTTGCAATATTCCTGAATCCAGGGGGTTGTTCTATGATGATGCCAACAGATTGCTAATATGTACCACATCTAGTCAGGTGTTTTTTTCTTTTCCTTTGAAATGTTTTATATGATTTTGTTTCAACCGTAATTGTTATCTTCCATTAGCCTGATGATCCATATCCTTTGCTGATTTCCCAATTTTTTCATTTAGGTCTTTTCATGGGAAACATCCCCCTTTAATCCAGACGTACCTCCTTCAGTTGATTCTATAAATGAAGGGCCTATTCTGTCAATCAGATTTTCTCTTGATAAAAAAGCGATAGCTGTCCAAAGATCTGATTGTGAAATACAGTTGTTTAATCGAGAGACCAAGAAGATACTAAACCACAAATGCAAGGCAGGATCAGAGAGCATTCTCGGATTCTTTTGGAGTGACTCTCCATTATGTGATCTTGCAATTGTAAAGACCAGGTAAACTTGCTGTATTTCTGCATATTTTCACTACAGAGAAATGTTTCCAATTCTGAGATTGCTTGCAACTTTTGCAGGTGAATTTTAAAGACTGATTTGTTGTAGTTGAGAATTCTAATAACTTGTTTAAACGGGAATCTATTGGCTTGTTAAGCTTGTATTTTAGAATAGTTGTATCGATTGACTTGGTATTTCTAAGGCAAATAGTACTTTCAGAATCTGATAATTGGGTTTGCACATTCCTTTCTCTATAGAGAAACCTATACATAGTTATTTCTGTCTTCAGCTCGTCTATTTTAAGATATATTTTCAACATTTCGTTTATCATTTGTCTTTCTCTTATTTTTTTCCACTCTAATGTTTTTTTTTTTTTTGTTCTCAGTGGCATGGACTTGTTCGCTTGTGATTCTATGTTGAATTCACTACGTTTGGTGGAAACCAAAAAGGCGAATGTGAATTGGTACACCTATACACATGAAACTCGATTGGTTCTTCTTGCATCAGGATTGCAATGCAAGACATTTAATGGATTTCAGGTAACACCTAGAAAAAGTACAATAAAAAAAATGAATTTTTCTATGTGAAAGAGCTTTTCCAACTTCATTTACCTATAGGTTGCATCCAGTTAATTTGATCTTATTGGCGTTGAGATTATATGCTAGAGTTTTCATTCAGTTTTTATGGTTGAGTTAACAATTATATAACTTATTGAATGCTTCTTTCAAACAATTGTGATTGGAGCTTTAAAATATGATCCATTTTCCAGCTTTCCACTGCAGGAGTTGTTCGTTTACCGAGATTTGAGATGACCATGGCTAGATCTGAATCAAACAGTAAACCTATTCTCTCTGCTGGAGATCTCCACTTAGTCACTGTGTATGATTCTTCTCTGTGTTCCTCTTTTCCTCCTATTTTTTTTTATCGCATTACGTACCTGGAGAGTAAATCTGTATCATTCTCTTTCAGCTATGGCCGAATATATTGCTTACAAGTGGACAGGGAGGCAATGCTACTGCATCTATACAGGTTTTACCGAGATGCAGTTGTTCAACAAGTAAGTTTGCTTCTCCTTAGTTCCTGATATCTGGTTATTCAGATGGTATTCAGACAAGTCTACTATATGTTCAATAGAGATCATGTGTGCATTAAGATCAGCAAACTTCTAAAATTTTAAAGTTGCAAGTTCATAGGTAAATCATTGCACATGAGTTACTCTAATTGCAACTGCAAGAGGAGCGTTACCTATATGTAGTTGATGCTAATATTACTTTTTTCTTTAGTTATGTTACTAATTTGGCACTGCAAAACAACTTATCTTGTGTTCTGGACATGAGATCATTTTTCAAAGTTCTGCTTTTTATTTGTTCGTTTCATTGGCTCTTATTTACAGGGTTCTTTACCAATATACTCAAGCAAATTGTCGGTGAATGTGGTCGATAATTTATTGCTTGTGCACCAAATCGATGCAAAGGTTGTCATCATCTACGACTTATTTGTGGATTCTCGAGCTCCTGTATCTGCGCCTCTTCCTTTGCTGTGGAGGGGTTACCAAGGCTCTGACACATCATCTCAAGCTGCTAACAAAGAAATTGAGAGCTCAGAATCATCTACAAGCAATGAAAACATACTCATGTATGAAGATGGCTGGACCTTTCTTGTGCCAGATCTTATCCTGGATCAGACTAACAAGGTTTTATGGAAGATACATTTGGATCTTGAGGCAAGTTGGCTTTCATTGGTTTATGCAGATGACAGTTAATTCTTAGATATTTCGCAAATGTTCAGTATTTAATATTATGTGCTGCAGGCAATTTCCGCTAGCAGCTCAGACAGGACGTCTCTTCTAGAATTCCTGCAGCGAAGGAAGTTGGAAGCAAATAAGGTCCCAAACTTTCTGTTGATCTGTGTTTTAGATAGGAGATTAAAATATTGCTCCAACACAAAGATAGGAGTTTAAATAAGCATGATGAAGTACCTGTTTGTAGCAGCAAACCGTTATGTCGAATAAATCATAGACAATTGAAAAATAATCTTGGAACTTTAGTTACGGTTTTTGCGCACTTAGCGAAGGTTATATGCAAGTCTAAACTTAGGAAAAAACTAGTGCTTGTTTCCATATCTAATGGTTTGCAGCGGTTCATGACTCTTTTTTTATGATTACGTGGATTTATAGTGTCTCCAGGAAAGATGGTTCACTCAAAGTGTTCGGCGTCATGGTGTAGTAATCGTGGTTGGATCTTTTGATGGTGTTGTTATATAATATTGTTGAGTATGTTATTTCAGGCCAAACAATTGTGCTTGGGGATAGCAAGGGATATTATTTTGGAACGTCGACCAGCAACCCAGGTAACTCAGGCAATCGATGTATTAGTCACAGCATATTCGTACTCGGTTAAAGCCGGTACATACAAGGAAATAAAAAACGAAAAGGCCACTGCATCTACTCCAACCGCTGGTGCATCTCCTGGTAAACCTTTGAACCTGAAAATGTTGATTTATGCATGAATACGCTAAAAGAATAACAATCTCTTAACACATCTTCTCCACTTATCAACCTTTGAATTCTGAAGATAACGAAAGACATAGGCCGTCTGGAAGCAATATTGATGAAGATGTTGAAATGAACCTATCATCTGGTTCAAAGGAGAACATGTTTTGTGCTAATGAGCAGCAAGAATCTCAACTTTCTTCACCGGCAATTTCACCCGATGAGCTCTACAAGTTTGTATTTGCTTCTGTTGAGGAAATGATGGTTGAGGAATCAGAGTACCTAGTTGCTATCATCACCGAGTTCCTTCGCAGGTAAATTAACTTTTTTCTTCCTTCTATTTGTGTTTCCAGACTAAAGAAACTTGGTTTTGCCTTAGATCTAGTTTCAGTTTACCAATTCCGCCTTTCTTACTTTGATTCCATTGTTGTAGTATAAGTGCAGAAAAACTCAAAGTGGATTTGAACATCTATGTGATGACCATCAGACTTTTAGCTTACAGTAAGCGATTTGCAGAACTGTCGTTATTCACCACAAACAAGGTTTGCTACTATTCTTTATCTGTGAAGACAAAACCTCTAAAGTTTCTTGTTCTTAGAGTTAAGGCTACATTTATGTGCAGATAATCGAACCATCAAAGGAAGTTGCGTTCCAACTTCTCGAGAGTGGTCGCCAAAACCAAAATATCAAGGTAAGGAAACTTGGGCTTGATATGTTGAGACAACTCTCCTTGCACCATGATTACATCTCCTCCCTTGTGCAAGATGGATACTATCTTGAAGCTCTGCGATATGCTCAGAAGCATAAGGTATAATATCTTAACAGATCAGAAGTACACTAAATTTTGTTTTGGTTTGATTTATTCGGTGTATGCAAATTTCAGGTGACGAGCGTGCGATCGTCGCTGTTCCTAGAAGCAGCATTCGCGTCGAATGATCTGCAGCATTTGGCTGCAATTTTGAGGGTCTTGTCGGAATTGATTCCCGGGTTTAAAGAAACTTCTGAATATTACACTTTCTATGGCCTTCTCAATGACACCAGTTCCTCAGTTGCTGTCTGAAGAGAATCAATCTCTTACCACATTCAAGAAATCTAAATAGTCTTTTTGGTTCGTCGACTGGATCTTAATAAAGAATTGTTGTTGACAATATTCCAATTTATGTTCTGGTTCCTCTAAAAAGAATAAATAATGACAAGTTCTTTTTTCCGTAAATTCTCAAGCCAGTTTTGTTTGGTTTTGCTAAGATTTTTTGAATTGATGGTATAGTCTGTCAAATTAAAGAAAACTAAAAAAGTTGGTTTTAACGACAAGAAACGTAAATTAAATTAAACCCGAAATGATACAATTTTACTAAATGGATTAAACATCTCTTTTTGTTTGGTTTGATTTGATATATTCAACATAATTTGTCTAAACATTGTCCACTTCAAATTGTTTGTTAAACTTTCATTTTTTTAGTAGGTCCAAGCTGTGACTAAGACACTTCAATGTACTAAGGGGGTGTTATTCACTCATGGAATTAAAGTCAATTCTTAAAGGTTTAGATTTGATTTCTGATATTGTTTTTAACAATCTGTTTGTGTGGAGTTCAAAATCTCTGCAGTATATCATGGATTATGATTCTAATAATTTACTCATGAAACTCCAAAGATGTTTCATTTCAAATGATTTGATATACAAAGATTTTACAAGTCTTTTAGTTTTGAATAACACTGGATTTTAATGAAGCATTTTAAATTTTAGTTGAATAACACCAAACTTTAAAATCTATTAGAGTTAGATTTAAAATCATTAGGTTAATAACACTGGATTAGTGTTGGATTTCAATTCCATTAAAATCCATCATTGAATAACACCACCTAATTATCTCTGTAACTCAGTATTTTTTTCCTTCATTAAGTAGTCTCGTGAATCTCAATTGGATGGCAATAAATAAAAACAAAATCCTTCCCATCAACTGCCAAAGTCAAAGTCACAAATTATAAAATTATAAAATTATTCTTCTCAAGATTTTAGACACTTCTTTTATTCTCTCCAGCTTAAGAAAAAAAAAAAAAAAAGAAGAGGCAAAAAATCGTCACTCTCTCTCCTAACTGTATCCGTGAAGGCAAAAAATACGTATAAACAGATACGTACAGAGAACGTAAGTATGTAAGTATACTCGTCTACCTTTCTCTCTCAGCTGTACCTTTTTATTATGGTGTTTTTGTTTACGAGAAAACCAAACCCACACAATTCAATTGAAATTGCGACTTTCGATTTAAAACTCTCTTTAACTACAATCGCTATCCACGAACAATCTGATTGATTCTCTCTTGAGATCTCTCTCTCTCTTTATCTCTTCTCTTACCTTTTCGATACGATTTCGGATTTTGAGCTGCGATGCTTCTTTGATTCACTTGAGGTACTCTTTTTCTCTGTATTATTATAGAATTTTCTAAAATGCCGTTAGGTTTCGGAGAAATCCGGTGCTCTTACATAGTAGCGATGATTGGTGTTTTTTGAATTGACGATTTCGTGTTATTGTTGTAGCTTCTCTGCGATTATGATTCTCTGGTTTCATTTCACGTCATCCCTTATTCTTAAGCTGGTTTCATCGCTTTTTGCCCCAATTTTTTAATTGCAACTTTTTTGTGTGGCTTCGGCATGAACTGTGAGAAAAAGCGAGGGTCCTACTGCGTAAGTTTAGGCTTTTAACTTTAGTGTTTATTGGTCAAATTCACTTTTAGGCAATTTTAATTTCATGGAAAGCTAGAGACAACCTTAATGAAACTGCTTACCTTTTCATGGTTTTTAGTGTTGTTAGAGCTGACGAAACTAAACTTTCTATAATTGGTTGGATTAGTAAGTTTGGTCATTTCCTTCATTTCTCAGCTAGTCATTTCTTGACATGTTTGGAACATTCATTTGTTTAGAAATGGTAGATGCTTTATGCATTTAGTAATGGAAATTGCTTGAGAAATCGAATCCCCTAAATTTGAGTTTGGAGCTCCGTTCATGAATAAGTGACGCAATTTTTGTTGTTGGACACTCTTCCGGAGTATGGAGGTGTTAAACTTGAGGGTTTATCACTGTTTATTGATTGTTTTTTTGGTGTCTGCATTCAGTGTTTTGGAGTTTTGACTACGACTTGTGATGGCATCTAGACAAGGATCAAAGTCGAGAAAAGCAGGGTTAAAGGGTGCTGATTCTACTGCATCTTCGACAACCTCGTCTTCTAAGCTCTATCAAGAGACATCTATTGATGGCCATAGCTCCCCTGCTTCTTCATCTGCTCAAAGCAAGCAGCAGTTCTTCTCACCAGATTCCTTACCACAAAGTGCTCAGCGGTCTAAAGAAAACGTCACAGTGACAGTTCGCTTTCGCCCACTCAGGTTCCTGGTGATATGCTTACATAGGCTTGCAAAAATTAGGTTGATATTTCTTCTGTGAATTTGACGTATCTTTTTATCCTTGACGTAGTCCAAGGGAAATTCGCCAAGGGGAGGAGGTTGCATGGTATGCAGATGGGGAAACAATCGTACGAAATGAGCATAATCCGACAATAGCTTATGCCTATGGTTAGTCTTAACATTTTGATTAGTGCAATTGGTTTCCTAATCATCGTAAATATTGCATGTGGGCATTACATCACTCAAGAATAACAAACTAAGGATTATTGTATTATTCTTATGTGGTATACATTTCAACTTCTTATGATGTCTTAAAGATTGAAGAACGTGATTTAATTGGATACTCTTCCTCATTTGATGTTTGGATCTTGCATGATGTTTTCTTGAAATGGTCTTTCTGTCAGTTAATGATTTATTCTCCTTTTCGCAGACCGAGTCTTTGGACCTACAACCACAACACGCAATGTCTATGATATTGCTGCACACCATGTTGTTAATGGGGCTATGGAGGGGGTAAATGGTATGAATCGAACAGTTTTAACGGCCAATCTAGTTTGTATTAAGAATTCAATTTCTAATTTGACTCATTTATGGAAGAGCATGCAATTTTCCTTATTCTTATGTTGAAAAACTTAGTTCTGCGTTATTGATCATTTAAGCTATATCAACAAGGCTTATCCTAATTCGAAAGAATCATGAAAAGATACTCACGAGTGTGATTTTTGACTTAGCTGAACTAATGAATGTTAAAATCTTCAGACTAATTTGACTTCAATGTGCTTACCACTTGATTTTAATATGGTGACATTGAATGTTAATCCAACTACAGGGACAATTTTTGCATATGGAGTGACAAGCAGTGGAAAGACACACACAATGCATGTAAGATCCCTTCATCTGGATACTTATTGTTCTTCAGCTTGTTACATAAAAGAAAGTATTTTTGGTATATCTTCCTACAATGTAGTTCAATGTGTCATTAATAAGTCTCATATTTATATCTTTCGCCTCTGACTAGATTACTGAGCTGATAGATTTGGTTGATGTTTTTGGTCCAAATGTCAGGGTGACCAGAGATCTCCTGGTATTATACCACTAGCAGTGAAAGATGCTTTCAGCATCATCCAAGAGGTACTTGTTAGGATATTGTTTTTTCATATTCCTTGGCCCAAGTACTAGCGACCTCACATATTTATTTTCTTACAGACTCCTAATCGAGAATTTCTTCTGCGTATTTCCTACATGGAAATATATAATGAGGTGCTATTATTTACCTACTTTTCTTCTCTGCTCCGTTGTCTATAGTCAATTTCAACAGTAGTGGAGTGATAAGAATACGCTGCTTGTAATTTTCCTTAGGTTACTATCCTTAAGGTTCACCTTATTTCAGGTTGTCAATGATTTGTTGAATCCAGCAGGACAAAATTTGAGGATCAGAGAAGACAAGCAGGTGTGTTTCAGCTTCAGGTTCTCTTTGTTTCTTTTCTGTTGGAAACATGCGTAGTGCTGCTCTCACTGACTTGTAATATCTTTGTTGTGATTACAGTGGTCATAGAATCCCAAATCCTTCTCATCATATTTTTATTTATTAGGAAACCATTTTAAGCCGCCTGAAAAAAATACTGGTTCCATTTATCTTGTGAAATTGATCTCTATGGGGACTCTGCTGCTATGACAATGTTAGATGTGGCCCTTCGTTTCATTGCGATGTTCTGGGTCACATTGCTTATTCAAGCACGCTTAGTTGATCCTTTTAATAATCATTTGAACTAAGTATTTTATAATGAGCTTGTCATGACTTCTATTGCTACAAGTGTCTTTCTCCAAGTTATTAAATTGAACTTATCTTTGTTATTGACTCTAGGGAACCTTTGTCGAAGGGATTAAAGAAGAAGTTGTTTTATCCCCTGCTCATGCGCTTTCTCTTATCGCAGCTGGAGAAGGTATGTGGTGCTTACACTTTCCCTTTTATTCTAAGGAATAGGTTTACTTTACAACCATACAACTCCAGCAAAGACTGTTGCAGTCGTTGTATATTTATTAAAAACTTATTTATCAGAAAGTGTACTCCTCTACCTGCTTGAGGCTATACTTATCGTTGAAAAATGTGTTTTTGTTTTTCTTTATTATGATAGGGTAATTCTCTCTTTCTTTTTCCCAGTAAATCCCTTTCATTCTTAAACCTTGACACGTTCTAGTTAAATCTCGTTATCGTTTGTTTATCATTTAATGCATATTGATAGAGATCTTGTCCTCATGACAGAGCAACGACATGTTGGATCCACAAATTTTAATTTGCTCAGCAGCCGGAGCCATACAATATTTACGTTGGTATGTTAATATTCTCTTTGAAATATTAAAAACTGGTATCTTTGTGCAGTTGCTATATCATTTCATCACCTGATTACATTTGTGATATGGATGGATGCACACAAAATCTAAGTTTCATTTGTATTACTATTAGGTTAAAAGGTAAAAGTCAGTAGTTCTTTTATTCCTACAATCGTCTTAGAGCTTTAAAATGGAATACTGAAGAACTATACTTTTTTTTTTCAGCACAAGTTGTGTATTATGTTCTTCTTCCAAATGTTTTCTTCTGTTCAAGGAATTCCTGTTCTCCTTTATTTTAATCATAGTTGTTTAGTCACATTAACTCATATAGCTGTACTGTTTCTGAAAGATGATCAACTAATTTGGATGCAGACGATAGAAAGTAGTCCCTTAGGCGACAAGAGTAAAGGTGAAGCTGTACACCTCTCACAACTGGTAAGTTCATCTTGTATCCAGGGATTTACTGGTTATGATCAATCCTTTTAATATGTTTATTAGTTGCATCTTCTGACAGTTAAAAAGGTGAACATCTGATATTAACTACCCATAATTTCTCTCATATCTGCAGAACCTCGTTGATCTGGCAGGTTCCGAGAGTTCAAAGGTTGAAACTAGTGGTGTAAGACGCAAAGAAGGATCATATATAAATAAAAGTTTGCTGACGTTAGGGACTGTAAGTTTTTTCCTACCACAGTTTTCACTTAGTTTTTTTTGGTGGAAACAGTTTTCACTTAGTTAACAATAGGTTTTGTGGTTCAGTTAAAATCCAAGGACTTCTTTGACATTTTCTTTAAAAGCAGGTCTGGTAATAGGATTTTTTTTTATGTTGTATAAATATTAAGCACACTTTCTACCCCTCTATATTTTGAGACTTGCAGATCAAACATATACTTACATACATAACTTGAGGTCTTTTACAGTTTAGACTTTTAGTACTTAGCCAGTTCATCTGTAGAATCACCTTTCCGCATTTGCATCATTTTGCTTGCTACTCTTATCTCCAATCTGTTCTTGTCCAAACCTTACAATTAAACAGTTGTCTAGTCTTGTTTTATCTTGGTTTTTGCCTATCTGGTCATGTTTTAAGTATTCTCCTCTGGGCTGAATTTTGTTAGTTCTGTTGTAAAATTATAGGTGATATCAAAGCTTACGGATGTGAGGGCTTCACATGTACCATACAGAGACTCTAAGTTAACAAGGATCCTTCAATCCTCATTGAGTGGTCATGACCGAGTATCTGTAAGTCTTGTTTAAGCTGTTCCCAATCCTCTTGCTACAATAAGTATAAAATGCACAATGTGATTATTTGCACATATCTTGATAGTAGTATACTTTACTGATTAGTTTTTCTCTCTGGATATGGTAGCTCATTTGTACAGTCACTCCTGCATCAAGCAGTTCAGAAGAAACACACAACACATTGAAATTTGCTCATCGTGCAAAACATATTGAGATTCAAGCTGAACAAAACAAGGTTTTCCACGCATATCTTCTTTCAGCTCTTATCTTTTGTACTGAATGCCTTTCTTGGTTTCTAACTCTAGAAAACTGTAGATAATTGATGAGAAATCATTAATCAAGAAGTACCAACATGAGATTCGTCAACTGAAGGAAGAGTTGGAACAGCTTAAACAGGAAATTGTACCAGTTCCTCAGCTGAAGGATATTGGTGCAGATGATATTGTTCTCCTGAAGCAGAAGGTATGCTCGAAATACTTGACTTTTCTAAGCCTGGCAAAATTGATTTGAATTGTTTTATTCATCCCTATTTAGGCTTGTGTAGTGGAGTTATGGATGGTTTTCTGTGTAGAGCTGCAATCTTATGAAGCTTTTCTTTTGTCTTGCATGCTCTTTCCTCCCTAACATGCATTTGCTATTTGCGACCACATAGGATGTCAGTGATGAAATCTAATATGAATTTATACAGTTGAAACTCAATAGCTTGTAATATTCCTCACCTTAAAATATTGTAACATGATTAGCATATATGTTTGCACAAAAAAAAGATTAGCATATATAGGTCAAGATTTAAAATTTGTGTTTTTTTTTTTTTTGGGTAACTATGAACAAAACTACTAGCAATATTAAAAGTTCAACTTGTCAAATTTTCGTTAGAGAAATATTAAAAGTTTTGTTCGGCACTGATGTTTTCTGAGAACAAATTGTCAGAAAATGGCAGATAGAGGTCAAATTGTTAAAGGTCATTCTGGACGCAAAATGCGACACTTTTTCAATACTACCACTGTTTCCGTCCATTTTACTTTTATTCGATTAGAAAAGTGTGAGGACGTTTTATGTCATTGCCTTTGGTTTACAATCAAGCATTTGAGAGAATCTGAAGTAACCTGGTTTTGTCGTTTTTTTTTTGGCTATATAACGTGATGATAAAAGCTAGAAGATGGTCAAGTCAAGCTGCAATCCAGACTCGAAGAAGAGGAAGAAGCTAAAGCAGCTCTCTTGAGTCGAATCCAACGATTGACGAAATTAATTTTGGTGTCGACTAAAAATCCACAAGCATCTCGATTACCTCATCGTTTTAATCCTCGGAGGAGACATTCATTTGGGGAAGAAGAGGTAGAACCACTGATAATGTACAAATTCTTTCCATGTATTATAGTACACAAATTTAGTAGCTTCTTTGGCTAATCTTGGTTGATGATGTATGTTCAGCTTGCTTACCTACCATACAAGAGGCGGGACATGATGGACGATGAGCAACTTGACCTGTATGTTTCTGTGGAGGGAAATCATGAGATTAGAGATAATGCGTATAGAGAAGAAAAAAAGACCCGGAAGCATGGATTGTTAAATTGGTTAAAGCCTAAGGTATACAAATGATTGAACTTTTTTATATAGCATTGAAAATTATGTTGTGGGCTATTCTTGTTCGTTTCAAAACTGCATTTGGCAGCTATAGGTTTGTACTGTCGTAAATGTTTCATGCACTCACTATAGATTTCTGGAACTCAAATCAACTTCAAAGAATAATGCTGATGGGAAGTAAAGAGTCCTAATCGTACCGGTCTTATGTCCTCTTAGATGCAGTTTCTTCCTTGATTTGTTGGTGCCTCTCTTGTCTCCCTTTTTTTAATCCATGCTTACTTTTTCCTATCAGAAAAGAGATCACAGTTCAAGTGCCAGCGACCAGTCAAGTGTGGTCAAATCTAACAGCACACCATCAACTCCTCAAGGGGGAGGCAGTCATCTGCACACAGAATCAAGACTTTCAGAAGGCTCGCCTTTGATGGAACAACTCTCAGAGCCTAGGGAAGACAGAGAAGCTTTAGAAGACAGTTCCCATGAAATGGAGATTCCGGAGGTACATAAGAGATATTTGCATTATCAAATCCAATTCCTGCTCTCTGTTTTACAATACTTTTTTGCACTTGTTCCCAGACTAGCAATAAAATGAGCGATGAGTTGGATCTCTTGAGGGAACAGAAAAAGATTTTATCTGAAGAGGCGGCACTGCAATTAAGTTCTTTAAAACGGTTGTCAGATGAAGCTACAAAGTCCCCTCAAAATGAGGAGATTAAAGTAACATAATCACCCTGTTCATGATATCTATCTAGTTGTTTTACTCTAGCAAAATATTGACCTTCTTGGTTCTCGTTGTTACTTAGGAGGAAATTAAAATACTCAATGACGACATCAAAGCAAAGAATGACCAGATTGCTACGTTGGAGAAACAAATATTGGATTTTGTTATGACATCTCATGAGGCATTGGATAAATCTGATATCATGCAGGTAGGTTCCAATTGTCAAGTATGATGCACTGACGTGTTTTTCTCTGCCATTCATTTCTCAAGTGATTTCTCTATTATCTTCAGGCAGTTGCTGAGCTGAGGGATCAACTTAATGAGAAATCTTTTGAACTCGAGGTGATCGAATTGTTTATGTTTATGCAATTTTTCTTCCTCTATTGCTGCAGCACTTAGAGATGATTTTGCTATTGCCTGGATAATATTATTCCTTTTAGCTCAATATAATCTCTCCTCATACCTGAATAAAGTTGCTTCTGTGTATATTATATAATACCAGTCTTCAAAACGCCAAACTATACTAACAATGAAGCTACGCTGTTTTCTCATTCTTCATCTTGTTTACAGGTTAAAGCTGCAGATAATCGCATCATTCAGGAAACACTCAATCAAAAGGTTAGTAGACTTTTGACATTGACTATATCCCCGATTTCATTTGTCTCTGGAAAAGCTTTGAGACTAGGTTTATAATGTTTAAAAGAATTCAACAACCGATGAAGTATATTTTCTGCAGACATGTGAATGTGAAATGTTGCAAGAAGAAGTTGCAAATCTAAAGCAGCAGCTCTCTGATGCCCTGGAACTAGCACAGGTCTCTCTTTATACATTTCGTAAAATTGTTGTTTGCAAAAACCATGCTTTTCACCGATCTTCGTCTTATAAGCCACATGATGCTTAAACAAACTGTATTTACGTTCTGACATGAAAGGGAGCTAAGATTGAAGAGCTGAAACAAAAAGCCAAGGAACTAAGTGAATCAAAGGAGCAATTAGAACTCAGAAACAGGAAACTCGCAGAAGAGAGTTCATATGCAAAAGGTCTTGCATCGGCAGCTGCAGTTGAGCTTAAGGCATTATCCGAAGAAGTTGCAAAGCTTATGTATCAAAACGAGAGACTAGCAGCTGAGCTGGCAACACAAAAGAGCCCGGTGGCACAACGAAATAAGACAGGAACAACAACAAATGTAAGGAACAATGGAAGAAGAGAGAGTCTTGCAAAGAGGCAAGAACATGACAGCCCATCAATGGAGCTGAAGAGAGAAGTGAGGTTGAGTAAGGAACGTGAGCTATCATATGAAGCTGCACTTGTTGAAAAAGATCAAAGAGAAGCTGAGCTTGAAAGGATATTAGAAGAAACGAAACAGAGAGAAGCATATCTGGAGAATGAGCTTGCTAATATGTGGGTTCTTGTTTCTAAGTTGAGAAGATCTCAAGGAGCTGATTCTGAAATATCTGATTCTATATCAGAGACACGACAAACGGAACAAACGGAAGGATCATTTTGAGATTTGAGAGAAAAGAAGACAACATAAGTAGGATATCTTTGTGCAGTGGTTCCAGAGAGTTTGTGTTTGGTATTTTGCTTGCAAGTCTCGATTTCTTCGGTTATTGGGACTTTCTTTTATAACTTTGTTGATAATTTTGTAAAGAAAGATTCAATGAAGAGAGAACTATTATGTCTCTTTAAATTTAACTTGCTTAGATCGAATCAGAATCCAAAATCATCAGATGATTTTCAAAACGTGAAACTGTTTGTTATTATGAAAAACCATCAGATTGTTCAAAAATTTCAACAAAAACAAAAAATCAAAAGAAGTGTGATGATCATACTGATTTTGATTCAGTTGGTCTTAGGATCAGGCATGGGGAACAAACCACCAGCACCAGCAGCTCCTCGCGGCGGAGAAAACCCTAGAAATTTCTGTAGATTGGTTCTGATACTAATTGAACACAGCAGATATAGAAAAGCCATTGAGCAATCCGTCGGATCATCGCCTTTCAATCCCCTGTGACTCATCTTCTTCACTATCGTTATCGGATGGAACGGAAGCTTCGCGACTACTTTACCTTCGAATAGTGAATTGAGTAATCCGAAGACGACGAAGAGAACCAGTGCCACAACGGCGCCGGATTTGAACTTGAAGAGTGACAGATCTCGGCTCGATTCCTTTAAGCTGGTTTCAACGCGATCGATCTTCTTTGTCTTCGATTTCTTTATGCTTAGCTTCGACGATGGATTCTCTGTTTTCATTGTTTCGAGTTTCTTCGCGGCTTTGTCAATGGAGTATTTCAAGGATTTGTATGAGCTGGTACGGTAGATTAAGATCCATGAGATGGCTTCACAGACCAACGCGGTGCAGATGGAGATTCCGACGACGGTTAAGCTATCGGCGTATTTGAAAGAAGCGAAGAGCGGTATCGTAGTCGCCATTGTTGCTCAAAAACTTGCAGAGATTGGATTTGATTACACTGTTCTGTGATTAGGAATTTAGAAAGTCAAAAGAGAGCAAAAGAATAAATAATTTAACTTTTCGGGGAGCTTAAAAATACTTCTCTAATTTCCAAACTTGCCCCAATTGTTTTTTTCTTTATCAACAAAAACCCAAATCACAATCTTTGACAAAATAGTTTATACACACAAAGAGTCAATATTGCATGCAGGTGTCTATTTACAAAGAAGAGGAAAAAATAAGCTTTGAGTTGAAGTTAGAGAGGTTTAAGAGTGTTCTTAGGAGCACTTATCCATGGAGTGTCTGCAATAGCAAATCTCCACAAGGCATTGACATGTTCAGGCAATGCGTAATCTATTCCAACGCGAGGGCCAACCATTACTTTCTCCACATCTTCTCCTCCATCAAGAAGCTCTAGTCCTCCTGTGTCCATAAATTTTTAGTACAAAGTTTAAACACTCTTAAAAAGAGTGTCTACTTCATTAACTGATTTGATATGTAGACTAACCAGGAGAATAAAGTGGATGGTGAGACCATTCAGTTGAGAGTCCAAGCGCTTGACCCACCTGCGAGTGGCACAGATAAAAAGCTTATAATGCAAGAGGACTGACTCAAATTTTATTTTGAGATCTAATCATCGGAGACACTTTCAATTTTTTTTATTATCTATTGAAGAACATATGAAATGCAATCTGCATTGTGAATCTCTAACCTTTCCTGGTCCATTTAGAAGAACAGGTTTGTCGGTTTTCAGGCCACGGCGCTCCTGTATAGTTTCCATTCCTGCAATGCCATTGATGTATAAATAAGTAGAAACATGCAAAAGATATGAAAATTCAACACTTCCTATAGACCAACCCATACAACTTTGAGCATCAAACAAGACAGAGTGAAATGAGCAGAGTTTTGGTGTGATGTGAACAGATTAGTTACCGGAAACAGGAGAACAAGACCGTATCAAAACAGCGGCTCCAACTCCTTCCTTATCAGCTACAATATTGAGCATCATATGGAGACCATAACATAGATAAACATAAGCATGTCCTCCTGGTCCAAACTAAAAAAAATAAACCACATTTCAGAGAAAGTCACCAATTTGTATGTAACTAAAATGCTAAGAAGGAAAAAGAAGAAACTCACAACTGGTGCGGTCCGTGGGGTAACACCAAATCGTCCATGGCAAGCTGAATCATTTGGTCTATAAGCTTCTACCTACCAAAGGAGGAACAAGTTTAGAGAGCTGCAAATTACAATCGGTAGTATTTCAAGAAGCACCAATATCAGAAATTGTGTGTATTAGCTTAATTAAGCACCAACGATCTAATCAGATTATCAAACAATCCCAAAGTAAAACCCTTTCTCAGGAAACAAAAAGAAAAAACAGAATCGTGTGTCTGACCTCTGTAATTCGAAGCACAACATTGTCTCTCCTTAGGAACTTCCCAAGCAAACGTGGCGCAAGATCAAGCGCGTCGATTTGAAAGAACTCCGGAGGCATTAACTTCATCTCGAACTCGGAGGTGGAGCGGGTCAGTGGGTAATCGGCAGTGCCGTGCCTAGCTTTAGAGAGGCCTAAGGCAAAACAAAAAATTGTGGCCTTTATAAAAAATACTTATAGAACTATATCATTCAAACGTACTAAACAATAACTAAAACTTATACTATAGAAATTATAAACACGAATTTTTGTTTGTTTTTGTTATTTTTAATTTTCAAAATTCATATCTTCTAATTTCTAACCAATTTCCTCACTATAACTATGATAGTTAAACTATTAAACATCTCCTGTCATTACAAAACTTCACTTGTCATGCATATATTAAAGGGTATAACCCAAATATATCATATCAATCTAAATACATAGGCACAATTTTGAACAAAATGTGGCCTTCAAATATTTGTTTTTTGATGTGGCCTTAGGCAATTGCCTATTTTACTAGGCATAAGGCACGGCACTGGTAATCGGGTCTGACCCGAGCCGCTCGAGTCTTGGAACAGTTGGTCTTTCGTGTCCGTAGGACTACTCGGGTTGTAACATTGGTCTCCAATTCCTGATCAATCCGCTTCGATCGACGAGCCGGCGTTTTCATTGTCGAACCTGAAGCAAAAAAATTTGACTTATCAAAAGTAAGCGACGTTGACCTTCTTCTTTGTTATATTTGGCGGGTGATGGTTTATGATGCCAAAGGTGGTCGTCCCAACTTTGTCAGTGTCATAAAACTCATGCTTGTTCCACAAAAAAAAAAAAAAAAACTAAAATGTAAAAAAGAAAAAAAAAAAAAAAAGAAAAGAATTCGCCAATAAGAAGGAGAATGGAAGCCCTAGAAGCAATTTTCCTACATTCTAGACACTTCTAATAAAGCCCGTTTCAAAATTTATTTGTTAATAAATCATATTTTTCCATTTTTCTCAATTGAATAAAAAAAATAAATAAATAAACTGTTTCTAGAGGCTTCGTTAGCCTAATTCATTAATCTAGGTTCTCCTAGTTTCTGCTGCTAATTCCCCAAATCTCAGCGAAATCAAACTTCTCTTTGCTCTCAGTAGCTGAAAATCTCAATCCGTGTAGCTTATCTTCCCTAATCCAACCATGGCAAAGTTCGGCGAAGGTGACAAGAGATGGATCGTAGAAGACAGACCTGACGGCACCAACGTCCATAACTGGCACTGGTCCGAAACCAATTGCCTTGAATGGTCTCGCAACTTCTTCACCAAACAATTCTCCGGCGTTGTTATCCTCTCCGGGGAAGGTAACCTATTCATCAAGGTCAATAAGATCGAGAAGGTTGAAGGCGAGGCTTATGTGAATGTAAGGAAGGGGAAGATTATCCCTGGGTACGAGCTTAATGTCTCTTTATCTTGGGAAGGTGAGGCCAAAGATTCCGATGGGAAGACGCTGTTGAAAGCTGATGGATTGGTGGATATGCCTTATATCTCCGATGAGAATGCTGATGAAGATCCCGAGATTAGGTTTTCGGTGAAGGATGATGGACCGATTGGGAGGACTTTGAAGGAGGCGATGGTGAAGAAGGGGAAATCGATTATTCTGGAGAAGGTTAGGGTTTATGTGGAGGCTATGGCGAAAGGAGGTCCGTGTAGGGATGAGTTGGAATCGAAGAAGGTTGCGCCGAAATCGGTAGCGGCTGGATCAGCTCCGGTGGCGGTGGAAAAGTCTGGTGGTGCCCCTGTGGTATCTGCTGCTGCGGTGGAGACTAAGGTAGTGAAGGAGAAGAAGAAGGCGAAGACTAAGGAAGGGTTTAAGACAATTACTATGACTGAGAAGTTTAATTGCAGAGCTAGGGATTTGTATGAGATTTTAATGGATGAGAATCGTTGGAAAGGTTTTACGCAGAGCAATGCTAAGATTAGTAAAGATGTGAATGGTCCGATTAGTGTCTTTGATGGGTCTGTTACTGGAATGAATCTTGAGCTTGAAGAAGGCAAATTGATTGTCCAGAAGTGGAGATTTGGGAGCTGGCCTGATGGTCTTGATTCAACGGTTAGTCTAGTGATTGTTTTTACTTTGTGAATGCTTAAACATAATACCCTGATTTCGATTTGATTGTGGTTGATAAATTGGCTTTTGCTTTGACATTTCAGGTGAAGATCGTTTTCGAGGAGCCTCAACCAGGAGTCACCATTGTCAATCTTACTCACACTGACGTTCCTGAAGAGGACAGGTTAGTTTTACTTATTAGATTGTTTTCTAGTCTTCCCTATAATGAGTCTCTTGATTCTGAATCTGAACTTTGGAATTAGGAAAAAAAAACGGAGCTTTTAAGTATTTAACTCTTGACACGTATTGACTGACTATGTTTTGTTTTTGGTTGAATGCAATGAATTCTTATGGAATTTGGACTGCTTTATATAGCTTGGTTTTAAATAGAACCTTCCTATCGATGTACAAAGCTAGAACCAAGGGTCTATTTACTCAACTCTCCCTAACCACCTTTAGCTAGTTAAATTTCCCATTGACCAACTCTACTTTTATTTATTAACTGTACTATCTCTGTTTATCCTTGACACTGGTTTAACTTGCTGTATGTCGTTGATGGACTCTTCTAGTCTTCCCCTCTAGTGACTTGCTTCTGATTCTGAATTAGAACTTTGGTTTCTGGTAAACCAAGAAAAGAAGTTTGAACTCCTAAGAGTTTTTTCATTCTTATAGTGGAAAGAAGTGATGAGTGACATGTTTAGTGAACGAATGAATTCTTTTGGAGTTTTGGTTTACTGTATTGGTTGGTATATGATAAATCACTCCTGATTCAATGACCCACATCTCTTTGATCTACTATCTATGTTAATCTTTGCTGCTAACTCTCACTCTTAGGTCCTGATGATAGAACTCTTCTTTGTTCCTTGTGAACACTTGATAACTTATTCCTAAGTGTGTGAGCAGATTCGAAATATATATGTTTCTCTATATTCCATCTGATTTCCTCCTTATGTGAAGCAAATATCTTAGAGAGTTGTGTTAACTTTATGGTTGCTTGGGATTTTTTTGGTATATGGCCTCTGTCTTAAGACGAGTGAGTGATTCTCTGTTGCTAAATGTGAGGACATTGATGTAACTAATGTTATCTGATGTTTTTCCAATGGTTGATGCAGATATGGGAATGCGACTGTGGTGGAAAACACAGAGAGAGGATGGAGAGATCTTATATTCCATAGGATCCGTGCAGTTTTCGGATTTGGAATATGATTTAGATTTTGATTATCAAATAAGTTGATTATGATTTCAATTCGAACAAGAGGGACCAAGAAACAATGCAAAATGTATGATTTTAAAGTTTTTCACTTTTAGTTAATGCATTTCCCTTAAACTTATATAATCTCTTTCTTTAGGCCATATGCCCTAATCAATGTGATCAGCATCCGTTGGTTATATTTCATTGATCTGTTTTTGTCGATGACACATACATAAATGATAAATCACTTACGAATGATTATGATTTAGAAAACATATGTTATGTTGAAAATATGAGGTCGGATCATGTGTCACATTGTAGATAAATGCTCTTGTTTGTTGTAGTTGACAATTAATGGACACATCGTCAAGGAAAAGCTTGTGGGAATTGGCATGTGAGTGATCAAATTATCTCTACTGCAAAAAAGAGAGAGAGAGATCATTTCGCTTTCAGCTTTTCAGTAATTAAACGGGAAACTTCGCAATTATTGCGCATGCAGCAACACAATATCAATCAACATGTGTAGATTCAAATTCACAATATAGCTAGATAGAATAGTCTATTACTACTTGCGTAAGCCTAATGCATTATGTTTCCCATGTGACGGAATTGCGTTATAGTTTTCGTGTTTTTAGATTTCGTCTAGTACTACTAGGAATTTTTACGTTTGCCATACGTTACGTTACTGGAAAAGAGAAAAATATATGAGAATGTCAAAAAATCGGGTAGTGGCGTGTGTACTTCAAAGGTTTCAAGGAAAATAGAAAACAGACAAAAATATATGAAAATGGCAAAAGATAAAAGTACAAGATCTCATTTCCATATTAATGTACGTATATACAGATTCACTAAGCAGTTGAATTTACCTACTCGAATGTAATAAAAATGTAACAAAAAAATATTATAAATTCATTAAATTGATAAGGATATTGAAAAAAAAAAAAAAAACTAGCATTTGACATAAATTATTTAATATTTAAATCTAACAAACGGCTGATTTATTAAAAAATTGTCTTAAACACGGTTGACCAAATAGTTAATTTTGTTACATCAGATCCAAGATTCAAATTTCGAACACTAATGCAGTTTGTAAATTTAAATTTTGTGGAAATTTCTAAAACACCATCTCACGTAGTTCGTGTGATAGATATTGAATTAATCTATATGTGATTGTATATAACTCTATATACACTTTAACAGAAAATATAACTCTATATACAACAATAAATCATAATTAGAAGTTTAGAACAAATAAAATGTGCGCAAGAATAACAAATAATCAAAAACCTTGGAAAAGTCGGTGTGGTGAGGTCTTCTGAGAAACTTTGATCTTTAAGCCAATAAAAGAAAATATGACAAATGTGGGACGCAGAGTAGGAACATCGGATAAAATAAGCTATTAGAGTAAAGTATAGCAACTAGTTTTCTTAAGTTTATAGCATTAGAGTAAAATCCAAGTCCAAAAACTAGATGTTGGATCGGGTTTTAAGCTGATCCGGCTCACATGATTGGCGCTTTGGCGATATTTCAACTACTCTCATCACATGGCACCATGTGATTATGATTGGTGATCATTAACGAGACTTCAAACCATTAATCTTTCTATTAAGGGTAACCTGGTTCGTACTTTCTCTGATTTAGTCGTTTTATTGTTTCGTCGCCAACGTAACTACCAAATATGATTTCTACAATACATTCGTCACTGAAAGATACCAAACAGTAATCATAAAAAGCGAATTAAAATAGTTTCTCTTTTTGTTTTCATCTGAACCACGCAAATGCGTTTTAAAAAACCAAAATCTCAACATTCCAAATGTACCAAAATCTCAACATTCCAAATTCCGCGTCACAAAAACAGTGGCATTCTCGTAGTTTTGTCGAAAGACAAGGGCAAATATAAAGAGAAACACTTCAACTTAGCGACGATTCCTAAGCAAATGTCACTTTACCGAAGAAACACATCTCTCTCTCAAGTTTCTAGAAAAAGAGATTTGTTGACGGAGACAAGACTCTTTTTCTTTTTCACTCTCTCTCTCTCTCTCTCTCACCAAATCCTAAAACACATTTTTTAATCTCTCTGAACTCAAAAAAAAAAAACACACAAAACCAAGAGTCAGAGAAAAGATTCTCACGCGCCAAAAACTCCCTCGCCCATGGCGTCGGACTCTGTTAAGCATATGCCTATTCACGGCGTCTCCGCCTTCTCCTCCGTCACCGTCGAAATCAAAAACTTTTTCTCCGCCGTGAAACCAAGAAAAACCTCAACTTTCGTCTACGCTTTCGTCGTAACTTTTGTTGCCTTCACTGTTTTCTTAGCCTTTAGTCCTTCTCCCATCACAGTCGCACTCGCTCCTTCCATTTCTTCCTATATTCTCCCTAATGTTACTGTCTCGAATTCATCCAACTCTTTACCGTCGACCCTCGATTCCAATTTCACAATATTGCGGACACCGGCGCCGGGAAATCTCACGGCAGTTACTAAAAACGTAACCTTTGAGTCCACCATCGCAAATGGGACAACAGACCCGACCGCTAAAAACAACACTTTTCAGTTCCAGACCAATCATGTAAAGGAAAACATATCGTGTCCTGACAACAAGAAGACTGATGATACTGCTCGAGATTTGGACAAACATGGAGCAAGGAAAGCACCTCTGTCGGAGGTTCTAGCCGTCAATTCCTCTGCTTCTCAGATGAGAAAACAGAGAAGGAAGTCGTCGCTGAGAAAAGTGATCGAGTCTCTGAAGAGTTGCGAGTTTTTCGAGGGAGATTGGGTCAGAGACGATTCGTATCCGCTCTACAAACCCGGTTCGTGTAATCTGATCGATGAACAGTTTAATTGTATCTCTAACGGAAGACCTGACGTGGATTTCCAGAAATTGAAATGGAAACCAAAGAAATGCTCTCTACCAAGGTAAATATATATATCACTTGGTTACTTTTTTTTACATGGTGGTGAGTCTAATAATCCAATGATAAGTGTGTGTATGAATATATATAAAAGGTTAAATGGAGGTAAATTGCTGGAGATGATTAGAGGAAAAAGGCTAGTGTTTGTTGGAGATTCGCTGAATAGAAACATGTGGGAGTCTTTGGTTTGCATTCTTAAAGGATCAGTGAAAGATGAGAGTCAAGTCTTTGAGGCTCATGGAAGGCATCAATTCCGTTGGGAGGCTGAGTACTCTTTCGTCTTCAAAGTATGTTTTTTAATGTAATCAAATTACTTTTTGTGTGTTGTTGAGTTTTAATCGAATGATGTACGCTCCGTAGGATTATAATTGCACTGTGGAGTTCTTTGCATCGCCTTTCTTGGTTCAAGAATGGGAAGTTACAGAGAAGAACGGGACGAAGAAGGAGACTTTGCGGTTAGATTTGGTCGGGAAGTCATCGGAGCAGTACAAAGGAGCGGATATTCTTGTATTCAATACCGGACATTGGTGGACTCATGAGAAAACTTCCAAAGGGTATTGAATTTTTTGTACCTAGTCTGATCCCTGATTTGGGATTGTTGTCTCATTGATGTTTGGTATTTGGATGCTTTCATTAGGGAGGATTATTATCAAGAAGGGAGCAATGTTCACCCGAAACTCCATGTGGATGAAGCTTTTCGAAAAGCATTGACGACTTGGGGTCGATGGGTTGATAAGAATGTGAATCCAAAGAAATCCCTTGTTTTTTTCCGTGGTTATTCCCCGTCACATTTCAGGTGAAATCGAGATCTGCGTGGTAGTTTTACCAGTCATAAAAACTGGTTTTGTAAAATTGGTTTGGTTTGATTGCAGCGGCGGGCAATGGAATGCGGGAGGAGCATGCGATGATGAAACAGAACCGATCAAGAACGAGACTTACCTAACTCCTTACATGTTGAAGATGGAGATACTTGAAAGAGTTCTCAGGGGAATGAAAACGCCAGTCACGTATCTCAACATCACGAGGTTAACTGATTACAGGAAGGACGCTCACCCGTCGATATACCGGAAACAAAAACTATCCGCAGAAGAAAGTAAATCACCATTGTTGTACCAAGACTGTAGCCACTGGTGCCTCCCTGGGGTGCCTGATTCTTGGAACGAGATTCTCTATGCCGAGATACTCGTAAAACTTGACCAGCTTGGTGGCAGAAGACGGCGGAAACCCCTAAAAGATCATAGGAGTTGAATCTGCATCCTTATAGATGAATACAGAACTTTAAATGGTTAAAAGAAAGGAAACACTGATGTAGATGGGAATCAGATTAGTGCCATGTTCATTTTCTTGATTGTAAACCCAATTAATGGGAGAGATTTGAGATTGTAAATGGTTTTGTGACTACAAGTAATAGTAAACATATGCCTAACCCGAACTGAACCAGACTATTAGTGTCTAACTCCAATGCCTAAACTACATCTGAGTTCTGATGAAGAATCATTTGGTGAAGAGAATCCGGTTGATGACATGGACAGGTAAAGCGTAGGCAGGATCAATTGGTTTGACTCCAGGATACTCGAGAAGAGAGAGCCCTGCACCAATTTTGTATTAAATTGACACATAATTCTTTGCTTCACATCAACAAGATAAGCTAAAGAAAGACATTTTTAGTTACCCGCAACTCCAAAGTAGGTGTGGAAGATATCAACAACATCTTTGGGATTATCTGAGATACCTCCGTTATCCATGTCCTATACAAAGTTTCACTTGAACCTCAGGGAAGGCTCTAAAAGATGAGACCTTTAAAACCAATAGCAACAATATTGGAAACAAACCTGACAGTCCAAGATGAACTTGACAAGCTTTCCTTTCTCGATCCAATGAACTCTGTCGATCATGATTAAGCTGGATAACACCCACCAAGAATAGCAAACCTAATAACAGGAATTATCAAAAGCACCCTAAGAACAATCAGAATCATGTTTCGATTTGGAAGAGTTTAACGCTTACATCAGGGAGTTTCTCAGGTCGTCCATTTAAACCTCCAGACTCGTAGTCTTGTCTTTCACATAACCACCAACCAAGTAAGTCCTTATCAACATGATGGAGATTCCCGGTGATAGCAAGAGCACCCACGCAACAGAAAACTGCAGCAACATAAAGAATCACTGCCCTTTAATTACCATATGATGCTGCAATCTAGACACATATGGAATGATGATCCCAGGGTTAAAAAGTCAAATTAGCATGAACATACTCTGTCCTGCATGAGACTCCGCTCCAGGTGTGCACCCGAAACCACCATCCAGGTTTTTGCAGCTCACAATGTAATCAACAGCCTTCTTCACATTGATCTTATCAAGACATTTTAATATTGAGAGACAGCATATAGCTATGTACGAAAACCTACATTGAACAAGCTTGCAGATAAACATAGTGAAACTCACAACTCGGAATAAATAAAAAGCTAGGAAGAAAGAATACCTTGTATCTACTTCGCCCCAAATATCTCCTGAGAAGGATCCATCTTTATTCTGTAACCCAGCAATATCTAGTTTTTGCATTTAGAAAAACATAATTGTATCTATCACAAGCGATTTACACCGAGTTTATTTCTTTTCACATTGACAGGAAAATGCTTGAAGGATACAACTTGACACTTTTTGGACATCAAGAATGCTTAGTTTGTCAAAGAGGGCCAAGATTTGTACAGCACTGAGTGTATATAAAACATGCGGATCATGTCCAGTATTACCGGCAAAGCCACCTGCTCACAAAAAAATCACTTTTTAAAAACTACAAATGCAGCAACATCTTACGATTAAGGTTGAAAGTATTGAATCCGCAAATGCATTTGATTGATAAATATTACACACACCGGACTCATGCTGGCAGGTCATGACCCATGACACAACTTCATCTTCAGAAACAGAACCAAGCTTGTCGAGTAAATCTAGTGTGGTTAGTCCCCAATATGCACCATTCATTCTCAGGTGATCCATCCAGGGCCGGCCCTGAGGGGAGCAACATGAAGCAAATGTATGTGGCCCCCAAATTTTCTTAAAAATTTAGCTAGAAAAAATATATGTAAATAGGCCCCCAAAAAAGTTTAGTTTTATGAAAAAGCCCCCAAATTTTATAACTGTTTATCATAACCTTAAAAAAATATTTTGTTGCTTTGGCCCCCAAATTTCTAGGACCGGCTCTGGATCCATCACAACAGACTCAAAACTCTCTTTTTTCTAGCAAGTTGATATGAAAACCGATAAAAAGAAGTGGGTAAGAGTTGTAATTGTAATGACATTGACAATGAGCATGAGGAAAAAATAGATGATATAGCTTTATAGTACCTTTTCTGCCATCAGAATGTAACGAACATGCTTGTCAGCTACGAGCTTGTCTGCCATCAGATTAAATAAACTTGGCACAAACAGAAGAAACAACACCAAAGAATTTAAGTTAGCTTGATTCAAGTTTAGTTTCCTTCAATGGGTTATAAAATCCCTAGCTGGTATAATTATTAACACTTAAATCACCCATCCATGGTTGATCACCATCTAGTGAATATATTCACTATAAACGATCAGCTACAGAGACTCTTACTTAAGGGTCATATCTTCGTGGTGAAAACAGTAATCAATTCGAGCCCTTGTTGAATTTTGTAGGTGGTGATCAATAGATTCGGAAAAGACAAACCTTTACAACGAAATTAGTAACAAGACGATTGAACGCAGAAAGAAGAGTAACACATAATCGAACAAACCTAGAAAAATCTGATAAATTCTGTTGGGCGATACGATGAAGAAGAAGACAGTCAAACAAGTGATTCGGTCCGTAATATGTTATTATTAATAGTCCAGACTAAACCGAAATCAATCTGGTTCTCCTAGTTGAACCGATTCAAATCCTTCATGTCCAGTCCGTGATTAATCAAAACCAGAAGAATCGAGTTTTGCGAATTAAACCGGAAGAACAACAACAAACAACTTTACTGACATAGTGTTAGAATGTCACAAAGGATTTGATAACACAAAAGTACCTTACTATTGCAACCAAGGACAAATGATAACTTTCTTCTTATTTCGTGATACACAAGCAATTACCATCATAAACATTCAAAATTCGAAAGCATCCAATCATCCATCCATCCCACAACTAGAAAACCCATATCAATAAAATTAATCCAAAAGTTGGATCAAAACTATTAGCAATTTACCTTTTTCCATCGCCAAGCCTCGAATAAATATTTCATCTCTGTAATTCATACGTCCCACAATACTACTCGCTTTGATATAGTCGTCGCCTTCCTCTACCTCAGCTCCTCCCAGACCTTCTATTTCTGATCCAAAATCTCCATCGTTACAGCTTTAAACTAGAGAAGGTTATATGCAGGGCCGGTCCGGTAAATCTAAATGCCCTACGCCACTAAAAGAAATGATGCTCTTTCTATTTTTTTTTTTTTTCTAGCATCACAAATAAAACTCATACTAAACTAAAAAAACAGTAAATTAATGTCCTTTACCGCCTTTACCAAATTAATGTCGACTATCATATTGATTATGAATGAAAGGCATAATACTTCAAACTTAGTCACTTAAATATTTACTTGAATAATCAAATCAAAGCAAAATTCACATACCTTATCAAGCTTACAAGCAGCCAAGCACACCGAAGAAAAAGTATGAATTGAATCAATGGAAAACAAAATTTTGTAAACGTTTAGAGTTTTATTTTATTAAGCCAAAATTTTACTAATAAAATTCATTAACAATATATTAATTATCATTTTATTAATTTAAAGGCATAAAGCCCATAAAATATAGTGAAATGAAAGCCCAACAAATTTATTTCTAAAAAAATGCTTATAATTTGTTTTTTAATATAAAAGACCTAAAAAAAAATTCTAAAATATATGCCCACTTTAATTTGATGCCCTAATCCATGGCTTCACTTGATTGTGTCATGCGCCGGGCCTGGTTATATGCCACCAAGTTCTTTAGTTTCAGCAGATTCTTCTCATCTGCACACTCTTCTTTTTCTTTCATCTCCGCCTCAAAGTGGTCTAAAGCACCCTCTCCTTGTTAGCTTCCACGACCCGTCAAATTAAAGTCTTCATTATTCTGTTTTTTTTGGCAGTTTGGTATGCGAGACCATGACCGAACCAAACCGAGCTAACATGGACTCTACAAAATGCGAACCAAGTGAGTTATTCCTTCGCTATATGGCCAACATCCCTACTTGGCACTTGCAAGTGCATGAAAATGTAAATGGTTTGTTCATGAGTTATACTTATATGAGGTCAGGAGTATATATATACACGCTTAAGCTAGCATGTTTGGATAATAATCTGCTATGGGGAAAACCGGTTTTATACATCCGTAGAAGACCAGGATTAATAACCGGAATGATACCCGGTACGGTTATCAATGGTCTCCAGCTCTGCTTCAATTGACTTGTATTTGTATCCTCTATTTTTCTTCATGTTTATTCATCATTGAGCTTCAAGAGGTAATCTCCAAATGATACCCTTTTAAAGGACGACGAATAAAGTCTACGTTTAAGAAGAAAAAAAAAGATTAGTAACCGGATTTAAATTCTGTACCCGCTGTGTCGACCACACCAAAATTAAATGGAGGAGATCCAATTCCAAAGATGCTCATATATCGGAAAACCCTAGATCGACTCCATTTAAATGAGACTTTCGTGTTCCATATGGCTTAAGATCGAATTACGTGGCATGCACGGGAACAAAGCATATCTACCACATACACACTATAATAAGACCATACATGCGTTACCGTTAATTTGTGCGTGTTTTATTTCACAAAACCAAACTCGGCAACCGTAAAGATAATAAAAAACGAAGGCCCATATGACCGGTATGTATAAAAAACCTTAAGAAAAGGAAACAGAGAGCGAACCCTAATTTCTTCTAATCATGCCGCCGATGATCAGTCTTAGATCCGTCATTGCGCAGGTAAATAAAACAAAATTGAAGATCTTTGATTCTACTTTTTTGGCGATTGATAAGACGTGCTATTTTACAGTGCCGTGGAGGGAGATTAATGTGGTCTCGCCGCAATTTCTGTTCATCCCGTAACGTCAACGGTATGCTTATCTTTTTAATTTGCTAAGAACGGTATGCTTATCTGATTCCGTATGAACTCGCGTCTGTTCTCTGATTTTTTCTTTCAATTGCAGAGTCGATGACAGGCGAAGGAAGTTCGATGACGGTTGTGGTAAAGGGTATTAATGCTGGCTTCTCACTTTTTGTGTATGGATTTGGGGCCTACTTGGTTAGGGGTAATGTTCAGTATATTCTTTTGAGATTTTTCATTAATTTTTTATACACAAATGCGTGATTGTTTCGTTTTTCATGCTTAGACTGTATGAAGATGAATAAACGCCGTCGAGAGTGGGAGAAAGCTGAAGAAGAGAGGAAAAGAAAAGCTCACGATCTGGCTTTTTCGGTTTTCAATAACTAATCCGTGAGTCTTCAATGAATGAATTCAGAATAAAAGTTTGTGTTGGCTATGCGTGTGTCTTCAATGATGAATGAATTCAGAATAAAAGTTTGTGTTTAGTTTTTGTTTGGTACTGTGCTGGGAACAAAAAAAAGGAAGCTTAAATCTATGGTTGTGACTTGTGATTGATGTTGTGAAGATTTGCTCGAAAGATTTTATTTATTTCTAGCCTGACAAACTTGATTTGTTATTGTTGTATTCATCCCTATTTATGCTTGTGTAGTGCAGTTAGGGATGATTTTTCTATGTACAGCTCCAACCCTGAAAACTTTTTTTTTTTTTTGGTAAAAGGTTAAATTTTATACCATTTTAGATTTTTGACAGAATTACAGAGATTACAAGAATCAGATTAAAGCATTCTACAGAAAATAAATACAACATTACTACTCAAATTGTTTCAGATCACTTTAGAGCGTTCAAGGCCAAACCCTGAAAACTTGAAATTTGCTTTTCCATTGTCTTGCATGCTCTTTCGACATCACTGCGTCTTTCCTCCCTAACATTCATTTACTGTTTGCGATCACATATGATGTTATTTAGTAAATAACTCTCATTCTCATTAATTAGTGCAAAAGATACAATTGGGGGTTTATATACATTTGACCATGCCTTAACCAACTAAACCAAGCTATACAGACTCAAACCAAACTATACACAATGTGCTATACAAATGAACTATATACTATGATAGATGTCAGTAATGAAATTTGATATGAATTAATACATATCAGAAAAGAGATCACAGTTCAAGTGCCAGCGACCAGTCAAGTATGGTCGAATCTAACAGTACACTATCAACTCCTCAAGGGGGAGGCAGTCATCTGCACACAGAATCAAGATTTTCAGAAGGCTCGATCGCCTTTGATGGAACAACTCTCAGAGCCTAGGGAAGACAGAGAAGCTTTAGAAGACAGTTCCCATGAAATATGGAGATTCCAGGGGTACATAAGAGATATTTTAATTATCAATTTCAAGTTCACATATTTCGGTGATAAATAATACACAAAACAGAGAAAAAAAAAACTTGGGCTAGAGCCCAACAATATAGTCGGATATATATCACCGGTGAACCAACCATATACAATCAGCCTTCAGCACAGATATCTCACAAATCAGAGAGGGAACCCTAATTGACGATTATGCCGCCGATCAGTCTTAGATCCCTCATTGCGCAGGCGACTCGTGGTCGTGGAGGAGGTAGATCTGTGGTCTCAAGGCGCAATTTCTCTTCATCCAGTATTAGCAATGATGGTACGTTTCTTTTCTTTTCGTTTTCTTCATCCCGCCTGATTTCTATAACATTCGCAAGCGTGACGGAATCTTTGGTTTATTTGATTTTCTTTTTTTGTAGAGCCCAAGTTACCCAGAATATCTATCGGGTGGGTCGTATTTGGAGCTACATCAGCGGCTGCAGGATATGGTACAGGTATGGAGAGAGAGAGCGATTTTTTTCCCTCAATTTTTTTATCGATGAGTCGAATTAACCAGCCTTGTTCATTTTTTTTTATTTTTTTTCGTATGAAGCTTATCATTTATTTGAAGTTGATGAAATGGAACTTGTTAAGGAGCGGCAAAAGGTAGAAACAAACAAGCAAGAAGCACTCAAATGAGATTGTGACCATTGCACTTGTTTAAAATGATTTTAAGTTAGCTTGATTCAAGTTTAGTTTCCTTCAATGGGTTATAAAATCCCTAGCTTATTAACACTTAAAGCACCCATCCATGTTTGATCATCATCTAGTGCATGTGCATGTCACTATAAACCATCAGCTACAGAGACTCGTAAGGGTCATATCTTCGAGGTTTTCAGTAGATTAAATAAAGACCAAACTTTAATCTATTGGTCTACGAAATTAGTAACACAACATAAACACACGAAAGTAAAGAACAAACTTTATTACGACTTCTTTGATAAAATGAAGACGATTGATCGCAGAAAGAAGAGTAACACGTAATCGAACTAACCTAGAAAAATCTGATAAATTCTTTTGGGCGATACGATGAAGACGACGACGACTCAAACAATAATGATTCGGTCCGTAATACCAGACTTTTGATCACCCAGATTAAACCGAAATCAATCTGGCTCTCCTAATTGAACCGATTCAAATCCTTCTCGTCCAGTCCGGTTTTAATAAAAACCAGAAGAATCGAATTTTGCGAATTAAACCGGAAGAACCGGTTTCGGATCCATCAAACAATAAAGAGTTAAAAACCCAGAAGATAAACCTCTCTGGCAATTTCTTCTTCTCTTTTTGCTCTGCCAAAAATGGCGAGTCTACTTGATTCGTTGACAACCAGAGGCTTCTTCACCATTCCCTCAATTTCTAGGATTTATTCTCCTTTAGCTTCTTCAACTTCATTGACTTCTTCACCATCTTCCTCTTCTTCGATTATCCCATCCTTGTCAGTTCTCTCTTACTCTCACCAACAGTCGCATTCTCGCTTCCCTTTCCATGTTTCAGCAACTCTGGATGGTTCCTCTGCTGAAGAAGAGCTAGATTTCGAAGAATTCGACCAATATGCTGAAGATAACTACGCTGATGATTCGGATGACGAAGACGACTCCATCGATATCTCCGTTCTTGAGAAAGAAGCGAGAGATATTGTGAGAGATTATGCTACCACTTTGTCTCGCGAGCTCAAACTCGGTAATTTCTTCCTTGCTTTATTGTGTGTTTCTGCATATGTGTGGAATCCAGTGTCAGTGTTTACTCGGTGATTAAAAACTGCTTGATGGTACCAATGACTGTGAATGATGATCATAGTTTGATGTTTCCAGAGGATGAGACCATTGAGGGGAAGGAAACTCGTAGAAAAGGGAAAAGGCTCGCCAAAAATGTTAGTCAAGCTCCTTTTTGAGTTTTTTCTTTGTTAGTTTATCTACGAGGAGGCTTCTAATTACTGACATAACTATAAAATAAAAAATTCCAGACGCAGCAGATACCAGAGCATCTTCTCCAAAGAGTTGCGATAGTTGGAAGGCCCAATGTCGGCAAATCAGCATTGTTCAACCGTCTTGTTGGGGTAAGTTTTGCTGACGTTTAAATTTTGAGTTTGATACTTTTTCCTTGCCATTCATGTAAGTTGTCTTTACAATGCAATTTGCAGGAGAATAGAGCTATTGTAGTGGATGAACCTGGAGTTACTAGGGATCGATTGTACGGTAGATCGTATTGGGGTGATCAAGAATTTGTAGTGGTAGATACAGGAGGTGTTATGACTGTTTCAAAGTCACCATCTGGTGTCATGGAAGAGCTGAATGTGTCAACCACCATTGGCATGGAAGGTATTCCACTAAGCTCTAGGGAAGCAGCTATTGCAAGGATGCCTTCCATGATTGAGAAACAAGCTACAGCAGCTGTCGACGAATCAGCTGTTATTATTTTCGTTGTCGATGGCCAGGTTCTGTGCTTATGTTCTATCTCCTTAACTTTTCTGTCTTTGCCTTTTTCCCGCTTAGGCTTTTCTTTTCCTGCCAGAAAACAAAGTCCAGCAACAAAAACTAATTTGGTTGCTGTGTTATTTTTTTAAGACTTGTAGCTAATATACTATGAAAGGTGGGAGTTGCTTATACACGAAATATTCTTTAGATTTTCATGTTTAGTGGAAGATATTACCAAATACTCAAGAAAGCTGTGACTTATATCTAGAATATATCAAGTTGTTTTTGTGAATTCTTTTACTGCCAATTGTGTGTTTCCTGGTTATCATGCCATTTCATAGATAGATGGTGATGATTTTGGTACTTGATATGCAGGCAGGGCCATCAGGTGCTGATGTGGAAATTGCAGACTGGTTGCGGAAGTACTACTCACATAAGTATATCATTCTCGCGGTGAACAAATGTGAATCACCACGTAAAGGACTCATGCAGGCTTCGGAATTTTGGTCTCTAGGGTAAATTGACTTTCATCCTACTTCAGAATCATTTGCGCACAAACTTGGCTTTTCTTGGGGGAATGTGGTTTAAGGATAAGAACGTGCTGAAAATAGGAGTGATTCTCTTTTGAAGATAGCTTTTCATTAGATGATTGGAATATTTGTTACTCTCTTAATTTGTCAGTGCTTATATTAAAGAGAATCTTGTCCTAATTTATGAATCTAGTATTGAGTTTATATGAACCTGGCAAAACTTGTAAGCATCAAAACGACTTTCTCCCATTATAGTGTCTATTTTGATGTTGCACCTTTATTTTGAATGCCAGTGAGTGATTTATCCAACAAATTCATGAGATTTTCCTAGAGGTTAGTAGCTGTGGTTTAGCCGGAGATAAAATGCTTTACATGTGATGCTAAACATGTTAGTTACTTTGCTTCTGTGCGTTTTTTTTTTTTGTGTTTTCATCTACAAATTATGTGGCATTGATTTCATGGTGGAATTTCCAGGTTCACACCTATCCCTATTTCTGCATTGTCGGGAACTGGAACAGGAGAGCTGCTTGATCTTGTTTGTTCTGGGCTAAATAAACTCGAGGTTTGTAATGGCCTTTCTTTCTTTCAGAAAAACGTTTGTGCACAAATTTGAAATATTGGCAAATAGTTATTACTTACAATTCGCTGCAACCAATGTCCCGAAAGTAGATATTTTCTTTCCAAAGTCTTTGCTTTCTATTCGACTTAGCGATATCTCTAGGTGGACATATTCTGTATCATAGTATACTGTGTCTGAAAACAATCAAGGTTTGGCTAAATCTACATCATATACACTGAAATTTCATCCCCTATTCATCAAAGACCTCTGGCATTTTTGAATATGTTTATTTGGCACCCATTGTGTTTATTTAACTGCAACAACTGGACATAGCGTTGACAAGTAGCATTGACAAGTCTGTTCAATTGGCATCACTTTACAAACCAAATACCAAAACCTTTTCTTACATCTGTTGCACCCGTATGATTCAATGATTTTTCTAGATCATGGAGAACATCGAAGAGGAGGAAGAAGAAAACTACATTCCTGCCATTGCAATTATTGGTCGGCCAAATGTGGGCAAAAGTAGCATTTTAAATGCACTTGTCCGAGAGGATAGAACAATTGTTAGCCCTGTTAGTGGTACTACCCGTGATGCTATAGATGCAGAATTTACCGGACCAGATGGGGAGGTTCGTTCAGTTTTTGTCTGTTGTGTTTTTTGTGGCTTACTTTCGGTGAATACCCGTTCATTTAACCCTGAATATGATTATGAACTGTGTTGCAGAAGTTTCGGCTTATAGATACAGCTGGGATCAGGAAAAAGTCATCTGTGGCTTCATCAGGCAGCACTACAGAGGCCATGTCAGTGAATCGTGCATTCCGAGCAATTCGTCGTTCTGATGTTGTTGCCCTTGTCATTGAAGCCATGGCATGCATAACAGAGCAGGTATCTCACTAGTAACTGACACTGATGAATGTTTCTCATTAGCAATTGTATATCATGCTGTTTTGGTATACACAGAGTTTAACCATTCAGTTGAATTATTTCCCTGTCCTACAACAATTTTACTGAAATAGTTTTAGAATGTCACAAAGGATTTGATAACACAAAAGTACCTTACTATTGCAACCAAGGACAAATGATAACTTTCTTATTCTTCTCGTTTCTTAATGGTTGTGATATTGGAAAAACAGGATCTGAAGATTGCAGAAAGAATAGAAAGAGAAGGGAAAGGATGTTTGGTTGTTGTAAACAAATGGGATACAATACCGAACAAAAACCAAGAGACTGCAGCACATTACGAGGACGATGTTCGGGAGAAGCTCCGTTCCCTCAAATGGGCACCCATTGTCTATTCAACCGCAATAACTGGCCATAGCGTTGACAAGTGCGTCTCCTTCAAATAATTCAAAAAGTTTTTTCATTTTTACACTCCGGTTGTACCTAATCTGTTGGATATTTTATGATTAAAATGTAGTATTGTGGTTGCTGCTGCGACGGTTCAAAAGGAGAGATCAAGAAGACTTAGTACAGCCATATTGAACCAAGTGATAAGAGAAGCAGTTGCATTTAAATCCCCTCCAAGAACCCGTGGAGGCAAGCGAGGCCGCGTTTACTATTGCACCCAGGTAATAAAAACATCTCGCAATGTTTTCAATTAGCAGTAAAGGAAAATGCTTTAGAGGCTTTTCGGGTTTGTTTGTATGTATATAAAAATGGTTGTATAATGCAGGCAGCAATAAGGCCACCGACGTTTGTTTTCTTTGTAAACGACGCAAAGCTGTTTTCGGATACGTACAGAAGGTATATGGAGAAGCAGCTACGCACTGATGCAGGCTTTGCTGGGACTCCAATTCGGCTACTTTGGCGCAGCCGTAAAAGATCTGACAAAAATGGAGGAGGTACGAGTTTTTAGCATGAAGTCATAATTCTTTTTGAAAAGAGTGACATTATTTGTATAACTTTGGGAAATTCTGCAGGTGGAGGAACAATGAGAATGGCAGGTCTTACCCGTCAGAGAAATCTTGCAACCAAAAGAACATAAGAACGGACGATGTAATTTTTGTTGTATTGAAAAATAATTACCATCAAAATATATATTCAAAACTATAACTAAAAAGAAATTATATATCAGCATGTTTCATCTTTGTGTTTTCTTAATCTCAGTTTGCTAAAACGAAAATGTTTAAGAAACAAAAGACGAAGAGGATTTCAGTAAAGCTGCTCTTTCTTTTCGTGCCACCATCTCCACCTGAAAAAAAAAATGCTTTTGGTCAAAAATTATTGGAAGATCTCAATTCGGATCAAGCGATGAAAATCACTAATCATATAGTATAATTTTGTAACAAATCTTTTATTTTACGAGTATGCATTTGGTAAGAGAGAGAGGTAGGTTACCAGTAATAGTCCCAACGAGGACGGACTCTGGTCATCCGGTTATCATCAGATGGATGGTAAGGATGAGCCGCGTGGCGAGTGTTATGGAAGGCGCAGCAACCAGCTGCGTAGACCGCGATGAGGAGGACGAGGATGAGAATGTTGACAACCGATAACTTTCTCCAGTCGAGACGGATCTCTTCGAGAACACCAGCCTTGCAAGCATCGCACTCGTAGCATAACATCTCCACTCCATTGTTCCATCTGTAGCAATCTCCTCCTCCATCCACTACTCCAGCTTCGTACGTGCACGCCGTCGGTGGCTTACAACATCCCGACTGCATTATTTTGTATTAGTCACGTCTTAACTCTTAACTAGGCTTTTATTCGCAAAGAATAGTATATGCGAAGCACAAACTAAATTTCTTCTCAAGTAAAAAAGAAAACTATATGAATACAGAAAAAGATGGTAAGGACTCACTTAAAGCCTTAAAGGTATAGTCACACTAATTTATATTATTTTGTTTGCAAGTATAAACACAAACACGGTTCAACATAAAACACATACGGAAAGAGAAATTTCTAATCACATGCTTGCTTTACACGCCATTATAGAAACGGAGAAACAAATTAATAATATCAAACGCTTGGTTTATCATGATAAGAAATATATTAGATTACTTTAGCAATTTGTTAAGCAAGCATGTATCATATCATAAAGTGGATGCTATTGGTACCTGAACAGAAGTCATGTCTCTTTGGAAATAATCAAGTGTAGTCCAAGACTCAATCTTAGTACAAGTCTTGGAACTCAAGATACAGCTTCTAATAGAGTTCCAATACTGAGGATCCCTAACTCTCTCTCTTAACCATGGATGATAGTCTCCAAGCCTATACTCTTTATAAACCCTCCCTGGAACTTCCACTCCACCTCCTTGGCTCGTCACCACCAGACCAAACAGCGTTAGACCCATTAGAGTCGCGATGAGGAAGATCATGACCACTAAATATACCCAAAGAGCCCATGCGACGTTGAAGCAGGCTCCTATGAAGCCCGCGAGCGATACTAAGAGTATGATGAAACCAATAACAAGTAGCGGCGTCTGGAGGAAGTTTTCACATGTCGTGCTGCTTCTTGCCTTATATAAAGCAGTTCCTATGATTGGAATCGAGGCTAGTAAGGTGAGGAGGTTTAAGACCCCAATAACTGTGTTGCTGAATCTGTACATAATAGTAATGTTATCAAGAAGAAATCAGAGACTTAACACTGCCTTCTTTCTTTTGTAAGCAGATTCTCTTCTTGCAATGTGAATTTCATCAGCTTTATCTTACAGTCTTTCTTTCTAGATATAATATTGGTTAACTCTACTTTTTGCTTTTGATTCTCTCTTATCAATTGGGAATTTTTTAAGGGAAAAGGTTTAGAGTTAATGGTTTGATGATTCATGCTCATATTCTTTTGGTCCTCTCTTGATTTGAATCAATTAAACAATAACATTGAAACCGTATATTTTTCAAATAAAAGTGTCCTTTTGGACAATTGTTTCTTGTTTATTGTTCTATATTATACGTTTTTGTCGTTGGAGTTGGTACAGAGCAGACCACAACCAAGAGAAATCAAGTAGTGCCCTACTTACAATATATAATTTCCTAGCTTTTAGTCCAAAAACTGCAATCATGGTTTATATAATGGATCACACAAGTGGAATAAAATAAATGTGACACGTTCAATGAAGCATAGGAGTAAGCAAAGAATAATATAGATATGGACGGGCGATGATTTCGTAATCGATGAATTTTCTTTTTAAGATGCTTTTAGTGGCCCATTCCTTGGAATATTAGGTTTTTTTAGATATAGCGTAATGTGATCTTCGATTCCCCGACTTCCTTTTTATTGTCTAAACAAGAAAGAATTCTAAAATCTTGTCTCAGCTCATATTTTATGTATTTTTATGTTTTACTTTCACATTTAGCAAATGATATTTGTTTCAAGTTGCATATCATTTATGAGCCAAAATATCCACAAACTTGAAAGATACAAAGGTTGTGGTCCTTGTGTGGTTGAAAAGACACACAAATGACAAACAAAACAAGATTGCAACAAAGTCACAACTTGAAACCAAAAAAATATTTTCCTATAGAACCACGATCTCTAGTATACATCCCAAATCCTCAATCAGTATTTAAAACAAAGAAGAGGCAGATGCAGCTTAGGTGTAATCAGTTTGCAGGGTCAAGTCTTGTACACCCAAATCATGGTATACATCATATACATATTGCAGTAATGGCCTTTCATCTATTCCGCTCTTCACCTAACGCCGATACCAAAATTACAAACCCATTCATTTCCATTCCTAGTGCGAGCTCATGATTAACCAATATGGAAACAAGAAATAAGCGAGTACCTGGAGTCTCAGTGAGCCCACAGTGTGACCAGGCACAACCTCCCAGAAACGTGCCTGTAAAACCTCCATGACATCTTCTCGAGAAGTAATCTGTACAGAGAGAGAGAGAGAGAGCTGAAGAGAAGCCTGGATAGGGAATATGTACACATTTGGGGAACAATTTATGAGCAAACCTGTCGCAAGCATTTGCTTAATGCGGAAGAAGGAATGTTTGGGGGTGCCATCTGAAGCAAGACACCACCAGTGGCTTTGAAGAGTGGCATAACAAGCATAAACACGGTAACGGATACCAATCCTAAACATAGGACTTCTGCATTTTCAACCCTGAAATAGCCAAGGAGCAAAAGGAAAATGTAAGAGGTCAAGCAAGAAGACACTTATATTCATTTAGCTCGTTCAAAGGTAGCCAGCATTACCCGAGAGAGAGGAGCCAAGATGCCAGTATCAAACCTGCACTGAAAAGACAGTAGGAAAGAAAAATTCATGTTGATTGTATAGAAGTTCAAAGGAAAGAAGCATTTTTTCTATCTAGCTCTCTCCGATTCTGCTTGAGATAAAGAAAGGCAGAGAGAATCAACACCTGCGGATGGAATCTGCTATGACGTGCAAGCAAACAGAGTGGTAATTCATATCTTCTGCTTTTCTGTAGGCTGCAGCATATTATGAATGTAAGAAAGAAATTCAAGAAAAAATCTGGTTTTAAATATGTATAGAAGGAACGAATTGTTTTGTGCCAGATCAGTTAATCATGCTGTCTCTATTTCAACTAATTCTCGTACTGATTATCTTAACCAAACACCCTTACTTATTTGGCTTCAAAGTCAAAACTGACAAGGGTGGCCAATTTCTACAAATGAAATATACTAAAGCCACCAGAAAAGGCTATATTATATAGAGAGCATATGGGTAGCAATTCATACAAGTTTAACGAGAACTTAAGTATGTTTATATATAGCAGAAAGTACATACCAATATTGACACGAGCATAATTCCGGAAGAACCAAACACCTAGTAGGTTCACCAGTAGATTTGTTACGGCTGATACAATCAAATAATGCCTACATAAAGGAGATATCAATAAATTACAATAAGGATCAAGAGGGAACAATTACTGTAAACTTAGTAAGTGCTAGAGAAATATCTAGAAACTCCTAGGCATGCCATTTGTGAAAAAGCAACTTACTTGTGCTCTGATTCATCTTGTATAAATGCATGAAGAGCTTCCACAGCTAAGGAGAATGACATGAACATAAGGAACAGCTGTCTACACATATGTCAAATATTAAACATATCAAAGTATTAACCAGAAAGATTAACTACAGAGAATGAGACAATGAAGGCAAAACGAAAAGAAAGGTCCTCATAATGTATGGAAGTCCAAATTATTTTAACAACGAGCTGTAAAATTACTCTATTCTATCAGAAACAGTAAAGGAAAGAGTGTTAACACTGAGTTACGCTGTCGACACTTATTATATTACATGGCACATAAGCCTTAGTCCTTAGAAGCCTCGAACTAAAGGTGGAAATGACATCTAAAACACGTTAAGAACATACTTACAGCATTAGTGAAAGCAGATAAAATTTCAAGTCTTTTGTACCTGGGGAAAAAAAAAGACAAGGATGCCTAAATTACAACCACTTCAGCATTATCACATTACAGTCTCGGCAGAAAAATAGATCATAAAATGGATTCACCAACTGAGCCAATCAATTTACATTTATCTCACCCGTATGAGTAAGCATGATCAGGCTTCTTCCTTGAAGTTGCCATTGCAAACAAAGAAAATGTCAAGAGCCCACAACCAAATGTCAAATGGAATGCATCGGAGACCAAACCTGTAAGAGTCCATAAAGCAACAACAACCAAAAAAAAAAAAGTACCACAGTTAGTATATACGGAAAAATGACCAAGAACCAGGGAACTAAACAAACCAATTCTAACATGTACCAACTATTATATTGAGCATTTAACAAACTGCGACAGCAGAACCCGTAGATTGTTTAACGCTTGTGAAACCCTTTCTAGTGTGACTCAATTGCAACATAAAACAGATCTTAAAAACCCATAATCAAGGCCTCAGAACACGCACAGTCTCTACTATCGTTGAGGATTAGTTCCATAGTTTAGATTATTATATCAACTTAGTACTTGAACCTAAATTTTACAGCTTTAGCTGTTATATTTCATCTTCAACTCATCCAAGTCTCTCCTTCGGCAAAAATATCAAGAACTCAAGTAATCACAACTTGTTTCAGAGATTCAATCCTAAAACAAAAGAGAACTGAAACGATATCGTACCTACACGCCCAGTGAAGATCCCAATAGAGAGCTCTGTTGTAGAATACAACACATTAAGCGCAATCAGCAGAAACAACCTCTTCATCTGCCGATTTCCACTTCTCAGTACTCCAAAAATCTCCCAAACCATATCCAAAACAGATACTTTTCCTATTTCTACGTCTTTCCCTTCCCCGTAAAACACATCATTTCCATCAACAGAGTAAATCTCCGGCGGCATATCGATGCTGGAGACCGTCCTATCGAGAAAAGGCTTAGCTGCTTCCGTGACCGCCGGCGTTCGTGGACCGTGAGATTGCTGAAACGAACGGGAATAAGCAAGCCTCCGATCATTAGCAACATATCCAACATCGCTGCTCCGATCATTCGGGAGCTCGTTATCGCCTCGAGGATTAAAGGAAATGGATCTCTCCATTTTCTTTGTTTGATCTTAATTTCACTTTTAAGTTCCCAACTTAGGCAAATACTAAAATCAACAGTCGTGCAAAAAAAAACTCAGCTTATACAGTAAAAGTAAATGGGCCACTGTTTGAAGCCCATATAGTATTTCAGAAGCCCATAGAGCACAAAAAAGTGGAAAAAGCATTGACCGCACTAAACCTTATGGACTTGATTGGCTTTTGTTCTTACTAGCAAAACCTTTTAACAAAAATAATTAATTATAAATTATGATAAATCATTTCAAATCTTCTAAAATTGTATATGCTTTTTTTTTTAATCAACCTTAAAATTGTATCCAATACAAGAATTATTTTGTTAAAAAAGCGTGGGTTAGTGTATATATATCAGATGCAACAAACATTATACAGCCCATTAAATATGGCTGCTTTAGGTAGATGTCCTCATTAAGGAACTTTTTCCAGCCCATTAAATTACTTTACAGAGTAGAGAGATTACAGTTACGTTACCAAATTTCGAAATTATTTATTAGTAATAAATAAATTATGAATGTCAGTTACTCTTTAGAAAGCTAAGACAGCTGTTTCCACCAACAACGTGACTGGTCGTGGGGTCCTCCTTCGTTCAAAGAGAGATTTCAGAAATCAACGGCTGAGATCTTTTCCATCAATATTTATTATGGGCCTATTCTTCCTTTTTTAAACTTCAATTCTCAGGCTCACATTCTCTTCTTCATTCGCTCCGTTTCTCTCTCAAACTACACACACGTACGTACACACCCTCCAGGTTTCCTCAGAGATCCCTCAAACTTCTAAGGTAATAACATTTCCACAATGTCCTGAGTTCATCATTTCAATCTCAAATATTCAAGTATTGTTCCTGTTGTTTATATATGAAGCTTTTCCAATTTAATTCTCTTTCGGAGATCTTTAGATTATATTCCTCTGTTTGTTGCAAAATAAAAAGGGTTAATTTCACGTTCAATTATGCTAATGTTATTGAGGAATCATTTTACAGGATATAGAAAATGGCAGATGGTGAAGACATTCAGCCTCTTGTCTGTGACAATGGAACCGGAATGGTTAAGGTAATTTACATACTTCAAAATTTGTGTTACCTTTGTTGTTATGGATATAAATCTGAAAACTTTTCTAATTCATTTTGATACAATGCTGGTGTCTGTTTATAAGAGTGATTCATATATGTTTCCAATTCCTTAGGCTGGATTTGCTGGAGATGATGCACCAAGAGCTGTATTCCCTAGCATTGTTGGTCGTCCTCGTCACACTGGTGTGATGGTTGGTATGGGACAAAAAGATGCTTACGTTGGTGATGAGGCTCAGTCTAAGAGAGGTATTTTGACATTGAAATATCCTATTGAGCATGGTATTGTTAGCAACTGGGATGACATGGAGAAGATTTGGCATCACACTTTCTACAATGAGCTCCGTGTTGCACCTGAAGAGCACCCTGTTCTTCTCACTGAGGCTCCTCTCAACCCCAAGGCTAATCGTGAGAAAATGACACAGATTATGTTTGAAACTTTCAACACTCCCGCTATGTATGTCGCTATCCAAGCTGTTCTTTCCCTCTACGCCAGTGGTCGTACTACTGGTAATAAGATCTTCAACTCCACCATTGTTTTAATCACTCAATTTTAGCTTGAGCTTGTTAGGAAAGTGAACATTTTGAGAAATTCCCTTTGTTGACCTTGTTGATGTGGAATCATTGTCCATTGTCTTGTGTGTTTCCAGGTATTGTGCTGGACTCTGGAGATGGTGTGAGTCACACTGTTCCAATTTACGAAGGATATGCTCTTCCACACGCCATTCTGCGTTTGGACCTTGCAGGACGTGACCTTACTGATTACCTCATGAAGATCTTGACAGAGCGTGGTTACTCATTCACTACCTCAGCAGAGCGTGAAATTGTAAGGGATGTGAAAGAGAAACTTTCTTACATAGCTCTTGACTACGAGCAAGAGATGGACACGGCAAACACAAGCTCATCCGTTGAGAAGAGTTACGAGTTGCCTGATGGACAGGTGATCACCATTGGAGGAGAGAGATTCCGCTGCCCCGAGGTTCTGTTCCAACCGTCTTTGGTGGGAATGGAAGCTGCTGGTATTCATGAGACCACTTACAATTCCATCATGAAGTGTGATGTGGATATCAGGAAGGATCTCTATGGAAACATTGTGCTCAGTGGTGGAACCACCATGTTCCCTGGAATTGCTGATAGGATGAGCAAAGAGATCACTGCTTTGGCTCCAAGCAGCATGAAGATTAAGGTGGTTGCTCCACCAGAGAGGAAGTACAGTGTCTGGATTGGAGGCTCCATTCTAGCATCACTCAGTACCTTCCAACAGGTAAAATCGGTTTTTCGTTACTTTTATATCAAATTTTGTGTCCTTTTTCTTGTTACCCACTTGAAAGGTGTTTACAATACACAAAATGTTGTTGGTCTGCAGATGTGGATAGCAAAGGCTGAGTATGATGAGTCAGGGCCATCAATAGTCCACAGGAAGTGCTTCTAAGATTAAGCTCGAATCAAAGTGATGAATGATTGTTCTGTATTGGTAAAGCCTTTTGTTCATCGACTTTGTTGCAAAATATTCTTTTGTTTTCTATGTTTCTTCACCACATTTCTTCCTTGCTGTCCTCCTCTTTTGGTATTTCTGCTACTAATTGTTAAAGAATCGTCTTTTATTAGTTTCTATTTTTTCCTCTGCTGTTCCCTCTGAAATCTGAGAAAAAAAGAAAGATGAAACCAGAGGCAATGGATTTGGCTTTTTATTGTATTTTTGTTAAAGGGGTTTCATAATTAAAGGGAAAGACAGAGTTCTTTACAAAAAGCTAATTCTAAAAAAGAGGAATCAAAAGCCGAACCACATGATTGGAGTTAGAGAAAGAATAGTGACCTGCCAACTAAAACAAGTACAATTAACTCGGCATTTTTAATACATCGACATGATCAACATTGTCACACTTCACTTCACTATCACAGTACTATGGAATACAGTGCCAGTAATAATAATAATAATAAAATATCCTACAATGTGCTCAGTTCACGAAGATTGAACACCTTGATAACTTACTCTGACGAAGCATCAAACAAACAGACAAAAAACATTGGAACCCCCGAAACTAAGATCCAAATTCCAAAACCTGAAACTTATACACTTGGTAAACTATTGATAAGAGTTTGTATCCTCTTATACACTTGGTAGGTCTTAAACGAGAAGCTGACTCAAGTCAAGATTCACTACAATGCCAACGCCCAACAGGGAAATAGTTTTAGTACACAAGAGTTTTACTGTCCGAAGGTCACATTTCTACGATCCCAACAAAACAACGATGAGAAGAACAATACAGACACAAAACATTTGAACACTAACTTTCGCACATCACATAATGAGCAGCCAAAATGTCATAACACAACAGAATGGACAATAAGATTATTGAAACAAAACATAGCTTCTTAAACAAAAGACAACCAGACAAGAGAAAGGTCGACAATTTCTTCACCGTCATCCTCATAACTTATTGTTGTACCAGTACACACCTTTCTTGTCACCTTCCCTGTCCGGTTCTACATAGATACACTCCTTTGCCTCCCTATACATCGCCACATACCACGGTGTTCCATCGAACTGGTAATAGTCTCCCAGTATTGGCTTTATCGCCTTTGTAGCTTCCATTGCGTTATAATGCGGCATTGTCGAGAACAGGTGATGTGCCACGTGTGTGTCTGTAATGTTGTGGAACACCTTGTTCAAGATTCCATAGTCTCTGTCTACGGTAGCCAAAGCTCCCCTTAGCCAGTCCCACTCTGATGAATCGTAGTGAGGCAACGAGGGGTGAGTGTGCTGCAAGTAAGTGATCAAGACGAGGAACGCATTCACTATCAGAAGCGGTACTCCGTAGAGGCAGATCATCGAGGCCATTCCTTGTGCAGCGGCGTAACGGTAAAGACCAAAACAGACGGCTAGAATACCCGCATCCGAGAGGTATATCTGGAGGCGTTCACGGTCATTGTAGATGGGAGCGTTGGGGAAGAAATGGCAAGCGAACCCGTCATACGGTCTGCCCGAAACGTTAAAGGCTAAGTACAAGGGCCACCCGAGGACAAACTGGACGGTTAACATCATGATGCGTCCAAGAGGGTTGTTGAGGTATTTGCCGTACCACTTGATTGCGGATTTCTGTTTTGGGACAAATACTTCATCTCTTTCGAGGGATCCCGTGTTGGAATGGTGACGGCGATGACTATACTTCCAGGAGAAGTAAGGGACGAGGAGGAAGGAATGGAAGATAAGACCAACTGTGTCATCCAGCCATTGGTAGTCACTGAATGCGTGGTGACCGCATTCGTGGGCTATGACCCAGACACCAGTTAGGACACAGCCTTGACATGCCCAATAGAGTGGCCAAGCCAAGTAAGAGAGAGGCTGAGGGAGGAGAGAGAAGTAATTGGTGGCGACGTAGTAGAAGCATGAGGCTATAACGATGTCACTGATAAGGTAGGAGAAAGAGCGAGGGATTGAGCGTTTGAAACAATGCGGGGGGATTGCTTTCTTCAGATCTCCCACCGAGAAAGGCGGTTTCTCGCACGGCACACGCTTTATGGTGTCGGTTTCCGATTTCTTGGAAGAAGTAGGAACCGGCATTCTTCCACCTGCACCCATGTTTCTGCAGAAAAACGAAACAAGAGCAAAAATAATCAAGAAGCTGAAAACTCAAGCCTAGAGAATAGTCAATCTAAAAGACTTGTTTATCATTAACTGACAATTTCTACAAATCAATGCATGCATAGGAAACAAGTGGGTAAAGATTAAATCAGCAAACAATTATTGTTCATACAAATGATCCAAAGCGGAGATGAGGTTGTGAAAGAGATTGCCACAAATGGAAAGTGCGTGGACCAAAAGGAAAAAAGAGTAGAGAAGCGGCGTAATGTGAGAAACACAAAAACGATTGCGTTGAGAATACGATTTAAATAAGACAGGTCACATCTCTTGCTTGTGGTTTATCATCAGATTCTTGTAATAAAAATTCAACAATCAAAATCACAACAAATCTTATTGAATACCAAGTTGACAAACAAAGCCAAAAGGAAACAGTTGAAGTGATGTATAAACCACCGAAATTAGTCGACATCATATACATCAGAATTAGATATTTAAAGAGAAAATAATATGTCACGGATCTATAGCAAATTTTCATGCAACTCTATTTGCATCTGAATAAGTGAAAGAGCATCTGAATCCTGAATTACCAACTTTATTTGTAATGTTTAAGAGATTCAATAAAACTTTTTTCCCTTTTATTACGTATTTTTTAATATAAAAAACCAATATGAGGTATAGGAAAAAAAAAAACCAGCAAAGATTCAACAATAGAAGCAGATTTATACCCAGAAAAATTAGCAAAAATTGAATACATTAACGAGACCAGGACGTAAGACTGATAGACAAATTTCTGCTGATCTTTTTTTTTCAATTTCCACCAACCCACCAGAAAATAAAATAAAATAAAGATCTAAACAGATTGGTCAAAGCACAAAAAAAAAAAAAAAAAAAATCATGCAACAAATCGTTATGAGGACGATAGACACATATCATTGTATGAATGAGAGAAGTCATTATTATTAGTGGTGACTAAACACAATCAACATCAGATTTCTCGACCAAAACAAAAAAGAGATAGAAACAGAGAATCGGAGACCAGATCTAAGGTTGAATGTAAGGACTAGAAGCAGATCTATCGTGAGAGGGGACTAAAACACAGACCACCAGGAGAAACTGAGAAGAAGTAAGAATCGAAATCGAAAATGAGAAGAGAAGGGACGGACCTGGAGCTGGAGCTGACGTAGGGAGATAACGTTAATAACGATGAACACCCTACGAAGAAGAAGCTCCTCCGCAGAATCTCTCTCTCTCTCTTTTCTCTCTTCTCTCTCTTTATTAATTTGTGAGTGTGTGGCTCTTCTTCTGGTGGTCAGATGCGAATAGGAAGAGACAGGCCTTTAAATGGACACGGCCCGTGGGTTGAAGAAGGTAGAGAGAGATTACTTCATGACACCTTTCCCTTTCATACTGGGCCCCCTCTCTTATTTCGCCTTTTCTCTATTCAAAAATATCTGATTTTTATTTACCGCAAATAACTCTTTTTTACGAGACAAAAAACTTAAAAATAAAGAAAACAGTGAACATAAACTTTTTAATATCACGTTCTAATTTAATTAATTTTAAAAATGGCTAATTGGTAGTAAAAAAAAAAAAATCTACATATTCTCTTCTTATAGTAGTTTTTGACATAAATGTAAGCAAATTCGTATTGACTCCTAGTTTGGGTTATTGACTTATTTCTATGATCTCCTCTGGTATAGTATGGACTGAAACTCAAACTAATCTCTATGATCTCCTCTGGTATAGTATGGACTGAAACTCAAACTAATCTCTAAAATATGTAGAAATACCGAATATATTTGTTGTTTAAAATGTTTATAATAATAAATTTAGAATCATATGAAAAGAAAGAATCGTAATTGATGGGAACCAAACCATGGTCTCAATACACATGGCAAATCTTTCACCATTATAACTTTAACCATTTGACTAACACCAACTTAGTTGGATGGAGCTTTTCATACTAAAGTTTCATCTCTATTTCTATTAGTTTTTAGTTTTGCTTATTGCAGACAATTTGTATTTACTCTTTATATTATTTAAAATGAGGAAACGTCTTCGGCGACTTACCCAAGTCGTAAGTAAGTGGTAGGCGGGAAAAGGGCTAAAAGTGGAAAACAGAGTTATGCGTTTGGCTTCATCTGTCATGTGAAGCATTAAAAAATCTACAGACAATGTGTTGTGGTGGACTGGTGGTCACGTGTATGGATACCCAAACGTGATGTACTTTGGTAGATTCGTGCGGATTTTCGCTTGTTAATGTATTCAATTGTAATCTTTCTATTAATAATCAGATTAGGTGGCTGACGGAAAATACAAGTAGGCGCTGACAAGTAATGCAGTTAATTAATTGGGATGATTAAAGTCTCTTTGCATTGGAGTTCTATTTTTCTAAGCATTACCGCTTATAACGACACAGCTTATTTTCAACATTTTTAAGATCATCCGTCACCCACCATTATTTTGTTCTTTTTCTTCTATCGATGACGGATTTTTATTTAAACCATTTTTAACAAGTAACACTTTTATCAAACCAGATTTTTGTTATAAAGTGTTATTTGATGTCAATTCAAACAATTAGCTAAGACTCTTAACATATTCAGAAAATCTTATGAAAATTATATAAGTGACTCACATATGACATAACGGAGACAACAAGAATATGAATAAAAGGCGTCATACAATCCTAACAACTGTTTCTAAGTTTGTCAATCATTTCTCTTCAAGCCTCCCATCTCAATTCAAACTCGAAACTAAACTATAAAAAAAAAAACACCAAATAGAAAAAACTTACAATGATAATGAAACTAACATTGTATTCTCTCATAACCAACAAAAACAAAGTAGGTGAAGATGATATCAGATATCACCACCACTAAAGAAGTAACTAGTTTTGCCAGCAAATTCTCCACCTGCAAGCAACAACTAGGCGATTGACCTGCGTAGCTCTGCTTCCCCATGAGCAAAGTGACATCTATCACCAAATGTACAGTTTCCTTTAGAGTATCTCTCACATATCTTAGTCTTAAAGTTGCTCCCTGGATGCGGTTTCCCTTCAGAACCCATGCCACCACCACCAAGACCGCCAGGTGGTTTCTTAGCTGCTGAATTAAGCCTCCCAATCAATTCTCTTACCATTGCACTCGCTTCGTTTATCTGCTCAAATGTTCCTTCAAGCTCAATGTTCTTCAAGTTTGGGTCTCTCTCGTGATCTTGAATTGATAACTTTGCCCCCGTCTGACGACATATCTGCTTTGAACTGACTCCACCTTTTCCAATGATTGCACCGGCTAAAGAGGCATCAACACTAATTTTGGCAGTGGCTGAGGCACCAAAGCTAGAGACATGGCCAGGCCCAGACTCTCCTCTCCCTGAGAATCGGCCTCCATTACCAGAACCTTGCATGTTTCTGGAAACTTGAGGCATGGGTGGTCCCATATTTGTCATCTGCGATACAGCATTGTATCCTCCAGGAACATAATGCAGGAAATGACAATTCTCTCCAAAAGGACAGCCAGAAGTGCTGCAATAGAAGCATAATACATCAGAGATTTAAACCCAATGGGAATACAATAGCACAAGAACAGACCATTAAGACACAGAAGAAATGGCATATTGATCCAAGTATAACTGCAATGTTCATTGCTATGAGAGAATAAACATATTACTCCTGTTCCGGTTAACTATGCAGGACAAGTTCACTAGCAATGCAAGAACTTTACCTGACCATAAATGACTATATTATAAACCCAAAATCACTAATACCCTACCACCAAATAGAAGAACATAACACCTTTCTCAACAACTCTCATAGCTCAAACAAAATACATGATTTGTTTTTTTGTATGTTATAATCACCAGTTGAACTAACTGTTTCTCAAATTATAATCCAGATATGATTATATGTTCGTAGTAGGCGTCACATTTACAGATTGAAACTTGTTTACATACCTGTATAACAACTAACCACTTCATTAGCATACAGTATTACTTGTTAATTTCTGAATCAGACTTGCAGGTAAATAACAATTAGCATATTAATTCATTAAGTAAAAGGATTATAACCTGAAAAATTTTGTGCATGGCTTCGATTTGCTTCCTAAACCAGTTGAATATGATTCCATCTCTGTTCCAAACATTAAGTGTTTTTCTTTAGTTGAAAACTTATCTGAAGTTCAATATATTGCTTTTAGAATCCAATATATCATTCGTACATTCATCTATATGAAACTTTCAAATCAAATGATGCATAATTTTTTTAATGTTTTCAGGATAACTAACCAACTGGACACAAAAACACTTGACAGAGGAAAAAGGCTTATTCAATCAAGAAAACTCAATCTTTCGTCTAGTTATAAACTGTTATTAGCTTTATACTTGAGAAGAGGGATTAAAGTAAAGCAATACTAAAAACTCAAGAGACAGTGAAAGATTTAAGCTTGAGACCAACAAGCCCTGCAATTAACTATAGTAACAACTAAGCAAAAGCTGAACCATCATCACTCAATTTAGATTTAATCAGATAAGAAGGTCAGTACTTTTTGTAGTAATATAGCGAATTAACTAGATAAGTAAGCAAGCAGGACACGAAATCACCAAGATAAAGCACTGAGAACGAAAGAAGAAAGTTATGCCTCCTAGTAAATCTCATAACTAGCAAAAAAAAATCCTAATTATACCCAGAACTGAAGATCTCAAATTTAAACCTTTATCAGAGCCAGTGAAGCATAAGAACTAAAACAGATCGGAATAACAGAATTCTAGTAGATAAAGAGTAAAGGAAGTAAGAAACAGTGAAAGAACTAACCTTGTTTAGACTTCTTGTATCCGCCGCCATTGGAGTTGAATGAGCCAGCTTCGGGCCGTCCTCTCTTACGAGTATCCATGATTAAGTACAGATCCGATTCGAAAGCAGAAATCAAAAACCTTAGAGTCTAGAGAGCGAATGAAAAGCGAATCGGAGAAGACAAATCGAAATCGGAATAGGGAAAAAGAGTTAGAGAGAGAGAGAATAAGCGAGAAAATAAACCTAACCCTAAGGTGGTTGTCGTCGAGGGAAAAAGATGAGATTTTCCTTTTTTTGTTTACTCTTCCCGGTTTTTTTAATTGGAAATTTAAACCGGAGTAGCCCAATGCACAAAATAAAATTTAAACCGACATTTCCCTGAAAGGATAGAAAACCCGAATTGTAAGATTTAGCTTAACGTGAGCCGTAAAGTAAGCGGTGCGCCTGTTAGACCATCCGCAGTGGTGTAAGTGTGAGGGAGGGGTGTAAGATTTTTTTTATTATTATAATTTAAAGTGAGAGAGAAAAGAGAGAAAGAAAGAAAGAGAGAGAGAGAGATAGAGTGGCTTACACCCGAGTGTAAACTTACACCCGGGTATAAAGAAAGAGACAACTTTTATATTATTTCTGTATTTTAAAATAATGTTTACACCCGCAAGGATACACCACTGCGGATGCCCTTATGATAAGCATAAATATATAATGACGTCATGTTTGCCTTATTTGATTTCTTTGTAACATCAACAGAATTGAACCTTTTACCGGCCCAATAAACTCGGCCCATAACTTCTTTCAAATGGCACAAAAATTTCAATTCAAAGTGTGTTTTCAAAAATCATAGGATAACCTCAAATTGCAATCAATAAAAATGTAAGCTTAAAATATTCGGGATTTGTGGATGATTGGGCTTTTGTTTTTAATATTTTTACCCAATCAAACAAACCGAAAAAGGTGAAATAGGAAAAAAAAAAATAACCAAGAGACTCAAAAGCTTAAAGCTGATAGACATTCTTGAATGACTCCATGAGTATTCCCTACAACTACAAGAACCAAAAAAACTGAGGCTATTAATATCCGCACCGGTTGAATCTTGCGGAATGCAACAAGTTGGTCCTTGTGAGCCTCGCTAACATGTTCCTTGGCCATCACAAAATCATCTTCTTCATCCTCAGGAGCCTTCTTGATTCCTTCTTCATCTTCCAACTCCTTAAGCTTAAACAAAACGTTTGAATCAACCAACAAGTCGGAAACATTATGATCATCATCATCAAGATCAGTTTGAGGAATTATGTCGTCTTCTTGACAAGCCAAAATGTATTTGTTCTTCAACCCCTCAGCTATGCAACTCAATCTTTCTCTTCGATCTAATAGCCTTTCGCACGCAGTGTTCTTCACAGACATTACACCCTCTTCCGTCCTCATATTGCTAATCCTCAAAACCGTTTCTTCTTCTTTGTCTTCATATCCTCCCATTCCACTAGTCATCTCTTCAATCAGTTTCCAATCTTGTTCCGGTATTTGCATCAAATAAGTCTCGTCGCAGACAACTACCAATGGTTTATTCATAAACAGAGACTTTAGACTATAGAAAAGAACGGCCTGATGTGCAACGCTGTAACCGCACGAACCTGAAGCATCCATAAAGAATAAAATAAGAGCAGCTCGAAGATGACGAGTCAATGCGGCTATAACATTGCAGTCTCCAAATGTAGGCCTATCCAAAATCTCAATCACTTGGAACCTCAAATCCTTGTACTCAGTATGACCAACAGCAAAATTCACTGACAACTTAGTGGTGCAATCAACACTAGCTCCGGTGTTGATTCTGTTCATAAAACAAGCCTTGTCCACACTAGGGTATCCACAAACCAAGAGAGTTGGAGTGTTTATGTCAATCCAAGGAAGCCTTACCATGTGTTGTCTGATCTGCTCTAGAAAAGCCAAACTAGGAGTGATTTCGTTTATAACACTAAACATTTCTCCAATAGCACTCGTTTTTAGGACTTTGCATTGCTTCAAAGATTCACCAAACTCAAGTTGCGTTACATAATCAATAGATATTTCGATAATCTTATGTCTAGCAGTATTCACTTGACCTAGAGCCAACTTGTAGTGATCTCTATCGAAACTCAAGCTAAGAAGGTCATTGTACAAAGGGTTGATCTCATCAGGGCCAGGAAATTCTTCGATAATGGTTGAGAGCTTGTCGCAAAAACTGACTTCTGTCTCTTTAACTTTGCGTGTGTAGAATTGACGAAGATGGTTGATATTGAAACCTTTACGGAGGACATTCGGAGTCTGACGATGAAGGCGGGGAAGGATGAGATCGACAAACTCGTTCCCGATTGGGACAGCACTGATGTTCTTGAAATCATATTGCACCATTGTTTTTTTTTTCAAAGAGGAAGATCAAAGAAGCTTTGCTTAGGATTTGGGAGAACAAACGATGCCATGCACTACATCACGATCAATAAATGTTTTTTTTCTTTAGGAATATAAAGATAGAGAGGGGAATAAGCACAAAATAACTAAGGGATTAGGCTAAATCTATAAGAAAAAAGATTTCATCTTCAGATTTTTGTTTTATTAATATTTTTAGACCTTGCACAGGATTAGTTGGAAAAAAAAAATGGTGAACAGTTATTTTCATTGTCATCTATCTAATTTCCTTTTTTTTTATTCCTTTTAATATGAAGTAAGAATTATCAAAAAAATTATAATACTTAATTAATTAATTTAACTTTCTTATTAACGATTTCCAATATGCAAAAAAATAAACATTTGCAAAAAGAAAAAACATTTGCGTGGAAATAAAAAAAGAGAGGAAGAAGGTAAACGGGTCAAGGAATATCTACGTTGCTTCTTCAAACCTCTCTATTATTGACAGCTTCTTCTTCTTTCCCCTTTCTCTCTCGACTTGGACGAATAGCAATCGCATAATCATCTCCGATCATCTTCTTCCGTCTTCTTCGTCAATCTTCCCGATTCTGCAATATCTCAGTTTACATGATGAAAACCCGATCCCAGTCAATCTCTCTAAGGGGTTTCTTCGTCTCCAGGTATTCTAGAATTCCTTGTTGAGCTAGGATTTTGTTTGTTTCATCGCTTTTGTGTTTAGATTTTACATATTTCCTGCTCTCTCTAGCTTTGTTTCATCGCTTGGTATCGATTTGTTTTTCGGCTGTTGTGTGGTATCATGGAGATGTCAAGTAGCTGGTGTATCTCGTAGGAATTACAACGAAATCGCAACAAGCTGGTGTATTCAGATGGATTCAATTCAGTAATCAAACATCCATGATCGAAGATTAATGGAATCGCCTGCAAATAGCAAGGGGGTTAGTGCTTTCTCTAACTTCTTATATGTTTTCCCTTGACGATTAGCTCGGAGGCTGCATCATCTGATTAGCTCCTTCGTTGGCTCTAAAGGCTGCTATTGATGATTAGCTGTATAATCTTAGGCTGCTATGAATGCATTCAAGGATTTTGTAGAACTCTTTCTATGAGAAAACAGGTGCTTCTCTTGCTATAGATATCTAAACACATAATTTTTGTTATGGAAATCAGATTTGATTGTGCAATGTAATATGCATGTGTTGAGCATTCCATCTCACCTGCTGCTGAATGCAAATTTCATTGCTGCATACACATCACACTTACGGTATGCATTTTCATGGCAGGTCTAGTTATCTCTTGGAGGTAAACTCAGGAACATTTACATGGTCAATCATAGTCACAGGTTACACTCTCTAAACAAATACTTGTGCTTACATGCAAAATCCTACTTTCCAATCCCTAACAATTTAATTTTCATACATTTTTGTGACAACAATTTAGAAGAAGAAGACTCCCTCTTCCACCTTCTGAGCAACCTCTTAAGCATTTCGCATTTCTTTCTTAGCCGAGCACAATGTTTCTTCTTAAATCCAGAGTCCTTGGGTATGACGACCGAATCCTGAGTTGCAGACAGCTTTTCTCTCATCCCTGTGGCATTGGATGATCATGCGAATATGGTGGATCTCCATCTGATGAGTTAGAAGCAGTTAACCAGATTAATCAATTATAGATTCGAGAAGAAGAAGAAGCATGCAATCAAGGTTCAAGAAGAAGACATATACTTCAAGCTATTCAACTGTTTACAAGTTACACTGAAGTCACAAGCTGAGGAAGTGTGTTAACTCTCTTAATCGAGAAGAAGCATGCAATCGAGGTTCAAGAAGAAGACCTATATTTCAAGCTATTCAACTGTTTACAGGTTCACAAGCTGAGCAAGTGTGTGTTAACTCTCTTATTATTATTATTTCCAGGATTAAGTTTGTAATGATGCTTGATATTATCATCATAACAAAATTTCAAGGGTAAATAAAATATAATTCTGAGATCACAAACTAAACATAGCATGATTTTGTTATTATTACCCATTTCGCCATCAGAAGTATCAGCAAGCCTTGCAATGGCAGCAACGAGTGCCTGTTCATGTTCCTGCATCACAAACTTGTGTTATTATTCTCTGAATCACAACATTATACCACTCACGATAGGTATTAATCTCAAACCTTGAGCATTTTCTTGGCCTTATCGAGCTCGAGCGGATCAGGATGAGTAGAATCGAAAACTCTCTCCACCTAAAACAAAACTTTCATGTTAGAGCCAGCCATTGAGCTTAATGGGTACACAATAGATGAAAAAAACATACCTCCTTCACAAGCGAGTCTGTGTTGAACAATTCAATATCATCAGAAGAAGTTCTCCGACCACCACCACCATTCTGTTGTGTTGGTGGTGGTAAGAGTTCTCTTCTTGGTTGATGAATTCTTGGCCCTCTCCCTCTACCACCATGGATTTGGCTTCTTCGGTTGCCACGGAATGATCCACTTCCATGTCCAATGTTTAAAGCTACCCCACTCTCCTCCCCATCCCACCTTATATCTTCCGGTGGTATCTACAAAAATAATAGTGTCAGCTCTTATCAAGATCATCACCATGTACAGATACCAAATCGCTTACCAAAACGGATGCAACCACATGCAAAGACTATTAAGATAATCTTCATGTAACGCTTACCTCCTTGAGATCAACCCATTCCCACGTTTCATTAGCTGCATGTATATCATACACCAAAGCATGCCGACCCTGCGAGAATAAAACAAGTGCGTAAATTGCAAAACAAATAAACAATCACAGACTTCTATCTACCAATTAGCAATCTACACTCAATGGCCAAAAAAAGTACATCATCTGCATTGTACTGGGTTATAATTGCTTCATAGAAGTGGTTATCTTCAGGCCATTTTGTCCACACTTTTCTTCCGATCAAAGCTTCAGCAGATTCATTTCCTGATATGCCACCAGATACCACACGACTATTGAATGACCTATTTCCAGTCGCACCAATTGATGGATGATACTGCATGCATATCACATATAATTGGTCAAGAAATAACATAAAACAACACAATGGGGATAAACAGAAGAAAGTAATAAAGAATCATAATTGGTGCAAATACAACTAGAACATGACTTACAGATTGGAATGTTTTCTGTTTCTTTCGGCCAGCTGAGAAAGTGGGACTAGGAAGAACATCAAAAGGCTGAATAGTTGCATGTCTAGTATTATGGCTTCCGCCTCCCTGTCTCCAATCTCTGGTACAGTTCCATGATACAACATATATTTAAATAAACGGAATTCATGATAAATTAATGTTTTGTCTATGCTGGTGCAAATAAACAATCTAACCTTATCCTCTGGATAGTATCATCCTTATTGACCCTACTCAGAAGCTCTCGATGTTCATCATCAGATACTCTCAATTCTTTTCGCAATTCGGTTATCAAGCTTTCTTTTTCCTAAATTGCGGAAATGGTACAACAAATAAATCCAGAGATTTAGTCGTGAGACTGGCAGAACACAGAACAACCCAATCAATGCAAAGGAGGAAGAAAGTACCCAAGAAATCGCATCAGACTGCGCTTTAAAAGCCCTTAAAACGGCGGTATATGCTTCCTGCTCAAGTTGATGAATTTGTGTCTCCATATCACTATGTAGTTTAGTTTCAGAAAATTCCCATCCAAACGAAAGCTGTCATGTGGAAAACAGTTGCTATCAGTAATTAGAAAACTAGAAAATTCAGCAGTTTGCTAAATGTGTGTATTGGTTTGAAAGAATACAACTTATCAATATTCTTTCACGATGATGATAATGGGCACCCCCACAGCTAACTTAACATGAAGAGAGGCTGCAGCAGCATAAACAAGGAAACACAATTTCCCCTAATTCAATAAATTAAGAAAAGCTGAACACTTTTCTCGAAACCCTAAAATCCTATCTAGGTTAACCATTCCGTAAACCCTATTTAAAAATTCCGTGCCTAAAACTAGCCGCAACAGTGTTGAATTAGGCCAAATATCTCAATTCGCAGAGCAACCACAAGGTTCATCATCGAACGCCTAGCTCACTAATTGCTCTCAACAAGATTCAAAAGGGGCAGAAACGTTATACATACCTTTGTTTTCCGAATCTTGGGGAAAACCCCACAAAAGGGTTTATCTTGTCGACCGATTCAGATACGAAACCCTAAAAAGCTCGAATCGAAACTTGACCCGAGAAAAAGCAATTAAGGGGGTTAAAGGGTTCGACGTGCGTTCGGTGAAACGAAGAATTGAGGGGATTGAAACGAGAAATTGAAAGAATTTGACAAAAAAGAGATGAACTTTTGTGTCTCTCGAGAGAAGCGATCTTTTTCAACGGAAGGGCACAGAGCTACGATCGATTTCTCCGGGACTCGGGTGGGATGGCGTCGGAATCGCCGAACAGTCGTTTTAAAGACGAAACGATTCGTTTTGGTATTAATATCTATAAGGCCCATTAATAAGAGCAACTTCGGCCCATATAGCCTAATATCTTTAGACTCTTGCTCCTGAAAAAAAAAAAATAGACTCTGGTTTTGTACATCGTTCCTTAGTTTTATTGATTAGATATGGTTTGTATATAGTCATGTTTGTGACATATTTCAATGATTAAATCATGTTTGTGACATATTTCACCAATGAATCAATTTTTAAAACAAAAATTATTACATTAATAGTATCCTTATTTTCAAATCTATTGCTAGATTAACAACTACGAAACTAATAAACTTTTTTTCACGGTACGTTGTTGATCACTAGCTACTACAAAACGAAAAACAAATTGTATATGTGATCACTAGTTGGTCGCTTTTCGAAACAAGGGGTTAAGTTAGTTGAATTGAAAGTTTGAAACATATGATGATATACTAATCCTAATCGGCAATACGAGACTTACGTTGTAGAACCATGCAAATAGAGATTACACTTTGAGTATCTCAACAACGTTCTTACCCTTTTCTTAATATTAAATTCTTAATAAGTAACAATTAACGTGGCCGGCGGTGATGATTTTTTTTTTTTTTTTGAATTTAATGTTAAATTATATTCAAAAAAAAAATAAACATGTTTACACCTTAATGCATACTGTTTTTTAAAAAAATCAAAACAAAGAACAAGTAGTCATTCTCAATTTTGCCTTGAAGCAAACCACTCTTCAATGCCTTCCGCATACTTCAAATCCGTGATGATTAACACAAACATCATGGTTAAACATAAATTATTTTTTCATCCGCCAACATTAAACCAATTCAACAAGCCTTAAGCGGAGTCCCACAAAGACAGAGGTTATGAGAGTAGGCAGATGGTTCAAAGGTCTGAAGTCGACCGCCACTTGGGATTTTCCCGCAGAGACGATTGTAGCTCACGTTGAAAAACTCGAGACGTCGTAGGGTAGTTAGCACCCGAGGAATCTTACCAAAGATTCGGTTTTGGCTCAGATCCAACGCAAGTATGCTCCTAGCAATCTTAACCTTAGAGAGATCGAACTGAAACATGTTTCTCGACAGATCCAGTTGTATAGTTGTTTTGTTCCGTCCGAAAAACATGGAACCATCTCCGGTGAATCTGTTTCCCGACAGAAACACTGCGTTGAAGTCGTATTTTGACAACGATTCCGGTATTTTCCCTGAAAAGAAGTGTCATACTGTATAAAACACGGCATTTATAAATGAATTTGTCAACAAAATCATAATCTGGCGCCAGATCTGAAAATACAATTTTGTTTCCAACGAGAAGATTATACGATTATATTGATTGAGAACCATTAATAAAATCCTAAATAGAAATTCTTTATTAGATACAGAAACATTTTTAAGGTACGAGGCTAGCTAGTTATAGGATAAATATATATTTGACCAAAAATATATAGTTAATTAACAAAGAAGTTACATGTACCTGAGAGGCGATTGTTAGACAATTCGAGTACAGGGATGTTGCCAACAAAAGAACCGAAAGAGTCTGGTATAGAACCGGTTAGCTTATTATCGTTGAGCTCAATGGCTTGAAGCATCGGCATCTGAGATAGCGAACCGGGAATCGGACCGGTCAATTGGTTAAAGGAAAGGCCCAAGTAGGTGAGGTTCTTGAGATCGCTGATGTTATCAGGAACCGGACCGGAGAAATTGCTGTACTTAAAAAAGAGGATGTCAAGGCTCTTGAGCTTGGTGACGGCGGGTGGGATGTTTCCGGAGAATTTACTTGAGGAAAGAGTTAGGTAGGTGACACTTCCGCCAGTGCACTGGACGCCGCTCCAGCCGGTGCAACAATCGGTTTGGGGTTTCCAAGACGAGAGGAGGGGGTGGTTGTTAAGTGATTTCTTGATTTCAAGGAGGGCATCTTTGTCATTTGCAGTGCAGCTGTGAGAAGATGGGAGAGAGATGAAAAGGATGGAGAAGAAGATGGAGAGATGAACAAGGATCTTCATTTGTGATGATTTAGGTGTGGTTACTTTGAGTAGTGAAACAACTTGTGATATATATAAGAGATTTCAATTATTCAATGGAACACAGCTGTGTAAATGTTACTGATTTTGTAGAGGTAGAGTTTCAACACTACGCCCCAACGTACAATAATATTCTTTCCGTAAATTAAATTTAATTCAATATATATATATATATATGTTAAAAGTTTGTACATACTGTATATCTTCAATAATTTGACCGTGTGTTTGTTACTGCACCAGTCAATACTAATTTCTAACCTTTAGTATTTCTTCGTAATGTTCTTTGATAGTCTAGTGAGAGCCCAAATCCAATTTATCGTTTCAACACATTGTCATAGTCAATATCTTTTTTTTTTCTTCTTCTTTTTTAAAATGTGATTGTTTAAAAAAAAAAAATTGATTATCCCAAATCCAATTTATCGTCTCAACTCTCAACATTGGAAACAGTTTATGGGTTGCTAAAATAGGATATCGGCGAATATCGTAGAACCGCATAAATGTTATAGAGATTGGGGACTTGTGAATATCTCAACAACATTCTTACGTACTCTTTATCTTACCATTGATTTCATAACAAAAAGAGACAATAACCTTGGTTTGGCGGTGATAATGAACACATGATCATAATAGATTAAACATAATTATTTTTCTTCCGCCAAGCTAAAACGAACTAATTAACAAGCCTTAAGGGGAGTCCCACAAAGACAGATGTTGTGAGCGTAGGCAGATGGTTCAAAGGTCTGAAGGAGACCGCCACTTGGGATTTTTCCACAGAGATGATTGTCGCTCACGTTGAAATGCTCGAGGTGTAGTTTAGTCAGCGCTGGTGGTATCTTCCCGTATATATGGTTATGGCTCAGATCCAACGAAACTATGCTTCTAGCGAACTTAACCTTGACGAGATCGAAATTAAACATGTTTCTCGACAGATCCACTCGCACTGTTGTTTTGTTCCGTCCGAAGAACATGAAGCCATCTCCTTGGAAACCATTCCCGGACAGATCCACTGCGTTGAAGTCGTATTTAGACAACGATTCCGGTATTTTTCCTGCAATGCAAAATTTGGTTAAACCGGGGTTTAAAAAATTATCAACAAATGTTACTTTAATTATATCCCAACTATAAAATCTTCATTGGTTGGTGGTTCATTAACACTTTAAGGTACAACTTACAAGGTTAGTTCTACGATTCTGACATAAATAAACATTTGACCAAAAGCATAATAAAGAAGTTATATATTGTTACCTGAAAGCTTATTGTTAGATAAGTAGAGATTAGGGACGTTGCCAACAAAAGAACCGAAAGAGTTCGGTATAGAACCAGTTAGCTTATTATTGTTGATCTGAATGGCTTCAAGCTTCGGCATCTGAGATAGCGAACCGGGAATTAGACCGGTAAATTGGTTAAAGGAAAGGTCCAAGAACGTGAGGCTCTTGAGCTCGCTGATGTAATCAGGAATCGGACCGGAGAGACTAGTGTGCTTGAAGAAGAGAGTGTTGAGGTTCTTGAGTTTGGTAATGGTGCGTGGGATGTTTCCGGTGAGGTTGGTCAGGTAGCTGAAATCGAGTGTACGGAGGTCAAGTAGGTCGCCGATCTGGTACGGGATCTGGCCGGAGACTTCGCCGGAGGAAACGCTGAGAGCTGTAACGCGACGGTTAGTGCATTCGACGCCGGTCCAGCCGGTACAACAGTCGGTTCGGGGGTTCCAGGAAGAGAGGAGGGGAGGGTTGTTCAGTGATTTCTTGATTTGAAGGAGGGCATTCTTGTCATTTGGGGTGCAGCTGTAAGAAGATGGGAGAGAGACAAAGAGGATTGATAAAAAGATGGAGAGATGAACAAGGAGCTTCATTGTGATTTTGTGTGGATGCTTTGAGCAGTAAGCAAGTTCTTGTATATAACAGAGATTTCAATGGAACACAGCTGTGTAAATGTTGCTGATTTTGTACAGTTAGGGTTCTACACTACTCCCAACGTACAATATTCTTTTCACAAAACAAATTTAATTCATAAGCATGGTACATATACCTTTACTATTTTAATAATTTGACCGTGCGATGATAGTTACTGCACAAGCCACAGCGAGTAAAAATAGTTAGGTATACAAATGTTTTAGCATGTGTTTTTCATTGTGTATATGATATGTACGTTTGTTACTGCATCATTCATAGTGAGGACAATCATTTCATTTCATATAAAACACATGCTAGAGAAGAGTAATGTTAAAGATCCAATGTATATGACATATTAATCGGATGTAATGAGTGGATACCTCTAAAATTGTTGCTATATATGTGTTGGGACAAAAACAATACAAGACAAATGAATATCAGAGCCCACCACTTTTGAAAGCGCAAAGAATCTTATTCTTAAAACAACACAAATGATACAACAAGAGGAGATTAAGACATTTACACAATGACCCCTCCCTTTGTGTTACAAAGAGGTTGTGTTATGTATGTTCAGTCACCACGACTCCTTCCAGTCTAATCTATCGAGACCGTCCACGATTGCTCTGCGAAACTCATCGTTGTGAAGCAGAAAGGAAGACACGTGTCCACCTGTGACCCATCTCACTTCTGAACCAGGCCACGCCTTCTGAAGCTCCAACACTGAGTGTTTTGGTATGTATCCATCATCCTATACAAATCATATAATCAGCAATGCGTCTCCAAAAAAATTTGTTTAGATTTTGAGTTATGGAATAATTTTTCTACTTACAGTTGCAGCAACAAAGATAACAGCATCAGGGTTTTTGGGGATAGGGAAGCGAGTGACATCTGTGAGGGAGAGAACATTTCGCATCCGCTCTCTGACTTCATCAAGAGTCATTGTGATCTTCTGTGCTGCAAGTTCCTCCCTCAGTGCTTCCCAAGCGGTTCCATACTTTAATATTCCTTCACAGAATGCAACAACAGCAGAGTGCGGAGATAGGAATGGAAGTGTTGCTACTGGTGTTGGATGAAGCGATCCAACCATCGAAGCATGTACTCCTCCTAATATATTCATCAGCTTGTTAGTTTTCAGAGAAAGGCAATGGAAAAAAAAATTGCATGGAGCTGCACTACATAGATCCCTCTGGATGCAGTTCTGGCTCACCATGTCCCTCTTACTGAAATAGATTCCATCTAATCCTAACACTTGAACCTAAATCTAAGTCCACAAGCGTTTGAGAAGCTTATTGAGTAGTTGGAAGCTATGCTAATGCTTATAACAAAAGAGTAAATAGGAGCAGCTACATAGAAGCTTTAGTTTGCGATAACTCTGTGGATAAAGCCAACAACTATCCCCAGCTACTGCAGGAAACCTATCCCAGATCATCCATCCTAAAAAGCATCCACAACACAATTTAAGTTTTGTCTAATCTTGGTGAAATTGAGGGTCTAACAATAGTTCATCCAATTCAACAAAATGCAATAGCTCACAAGTTGTTCATAAGAAAGAAAAATGTAACTTACCCATACTAAGCCCACAAACACCCATCTTTCCAAAGCCTTCCTCAGTGTCTAGCCAGTGAATAAGACTGCGGGACTCTTCAATTGTTGCCCTCCCTAGTAAAAGTAGATCACTAACACAGAGGAGTCTCGCACCACGTTGAAGAAACGGACGCCTTCGGCCATAGAAAGGGCTGCAGTGGCATTATCTATGTTTGATCAAAAACATGGCAAAAAGCTTCAAAAGCGGTCAAAGCAAAATGATTTGCTCTTAAGCTTTCATCAGGGGGGAGAATCAAGTTTCTTTTATTACCTTTCCAACACCATTGTTGCAATGTTTTGTTTCACCAACGGTCCACCCAAACGCAATCTTCGGTCATATGTATGATCACCCGTGCCTACAACAATGCCACACATCATCAGCAAGATATAATATATACAAATCAAGAACAATTGTAATATCTAACCCAAAGCAAGTAAATAGCCATTAACTTAGAAGGGCTAAGAACAAAATAAGATCACATAAACAAGCCATTCCAAAACAGAGCAGAGCGACATGCTTATGACTATAGAATCACTTTCTAGGTTTCAAAAAACACCAATTTCAGCCTGCACTCATGATCTCTCTCTCTCTCTCTCTCTCTCCTTCTGGTCATTGAGCGTAAACTATAATCTATATTTGATAAGATTACAACTAGAACAATTTTCCATAATCTAAACACACAAGAATCGGTAATGGTACCTGCAAGATGAACCACACAAGCCATCTTTTGGGGAGGAACGTTTTTAGGGACAAGCCAAGCAACTCTGGCGGTGCGAGACTCCGGAGGCAAAGCAGCGGTTAGCTCATCGGCACACGGAGTCTGGAAAACGCCTTCTCTCAAAGTAGCGGTCTTTGTCTCCCAAACAGTCCTCCAGACTGGACGAACCAAAGGCGGTGGCCAATTCTGACCTTGAACCTCAAGCGGGAAGAGCCGTTGAACCATCCGCTCGAGCAATTCCAGATTCGGACCACCCCATCCACGGGAGAAGAACGGTGGGGTTATCTTGGTGCGGTGCATAAACGCTCCATATACATGGTCAATTACATAATGGAGCATTCCCAATTTGATCGACACCATTGTTCAAATTTAATCTGAGAAATTGGACCGATTTGAGAAAATTCCTAGCCGGTGAATCGAATATTAATTTTGTCAGAAAATTTGGAATTTGGGTGCTTCAGATCTGGTGAGAAAGACGAAAGCAACCATCCATTACCCAGTTTGATTTTCGAATTGGGAAAAAAATTGACTTGGAAGTCAAGAATAAGAATATGAATGCAAAGGTGAATGCTTTGTTCAAGATCGATGGAGAAATCTAAGAAGAAGAAGATAGGTCAGAGGTCCTGATAAGAGAGAAGCGTGAGGAAAAAAGGGAACCGGAGAAGAGCGAGAGAAACGGTGGGCTAATTGATATATCATATGTTATGCCACGCTGGCATTATGCGGGGTCCATTATTTGGGTTTGGTCTTTCTTTGGAGAGAATCGTTATCCATAGATTTGACAGTGACAGAATTTGAAGCCCATTGGTCTGAATTAGAGTTGATTGGCCTTTTTTTTTTAAGGTTGGAATACGTTGGGACCTCTTTATTTGGTTGTCCTGCATAAGAAATAAATGGTCCGATTGTTTTTGATAGATAATACACATCTCACAAGAATTATCATCTACTCTCACTTATAAATAGATTTAGTTTTTTCTTGTCAAATCAAGTGAAGACCCACGATCTCATAAATGTTTTTTTTCTATAAAATGGTTTGTAAAAAAATGGGAGCTTCTGGTTTCACCCACATACTCTTTCTCTAGTAAACCTTGGCTCATTGTTTCATTTCAAGAACAAATGGCCTAACACGAATAACAAAATATAAAGCGGAACAACAAAAACAACAAGAACAATCTTTTTTTCTTTCGCTAGTAGAGTTATGATTTACCGCAACATCCACCTCTTTTCCCACTCTCCTGCTCGCTTGGGATGATAATTCTAGTTCCTTTCAAGAGACTTGAATTACCATCGGCGTCATCATCATCAGCCGTTAGTGATTTCTTGCTGATTATACGGTAAATCTCTGTTAAGATGGTCAAAAATGCTGTTTCAACATTAGTAGCTTCAAGAGCAGAGGTTTCCATGAAAAACAAGTTTTCTCTTTGTGCAAACTCTTGTGCGTCTTCTGTTGGCACTGCTCTTAGGCTTCCAAGATCACACTTGTTCCCAATTAGCATAATGACTATGTTCTTGTCCGCATGTCCTCTTAATTCTTCCAGCCATTTCGCCATGTGATCGAATGATTGACGTTTGGTCATGTCATAGACCAACATTGCCCCAACTGCTCCACGGTAGTATGCGCTTGTCACCGCCCTATATCTGCAAAAGAAGAACAGTAACAGTTGCATAAACGTATGACTAAGAGCCTTAAACAAAGTGATGATCAAACATCACATATATCTTCATGTTGCCCATTCTTGGCCATCAAAGATTTCAACCCATTATTCATACATATCTACTTATATTGCAACATATGTTGCCTAGTTCAATGACATCTCTAGCTGCTAACATGAATCAATCAAATGGATGAATTGTGAACGTTCCTGATAAATTACCAAATGATATAAATGATGTCATCACTCCTAATGAAATGCATGGAAGAAGATAAAAGGCAAAACCTTTCTTGGCCAGCCGTATCCCAAATCTGAGCTTTGACGGTTTTGTTATCAATGACGAGCGTTTTAGTCTGGAATTCAACACCAATGGTGGCTTTAGAATCGACGCTAAACTCATTCCTAGCGAACCGAGCAAGCAGCTGAGTTTTGCCAACAGCGGAATCACCGATCAACACGACTTTGAAGACGTAATCGATCTTTTGGTTATAATCTCCATACAAATTAGACATCTCTCTTCTTCTTCTTATTATTATAAAAAAAAACAAGAACAAACGAGAATATACACAAATATCCAGATCACGAATACGAAAGGCGAAGAGTCTCGGATTCGTATTGCACACGTAAATCAGTCGAATCTACCATCAAACGAACACAGAAACTCAGATCACAATGAATTGGTGGTTAGGCAGAGAAAGGGAAAAATTATTCAGAGAATGAAAGAAAGAGAGGATTAACGGCCGATGCGGGACCTTTTACTCCAGGAATTTTTCTACTGTGTGCCTTGGATCACAAATTTAACCCTGAATCAAAGTCATCTTAGCCGTTTATTTGACTCGTAGCTTATTTCACCGTTCAATTTCCTGACCGGGGGGTTCTTCATACCCGGCGCAGTTTGAACGAATTAATTCAAAATCGAAATCATACCAAATCATCTTCGGTTAGAGTCGGTTTAATTACTATACCAGATTAGGTTATTGCTTTGTCAAAATAAGCGGCAACACAAAAAGGTAGGAAATTTATTGGCGCCATAAACCTTGTAAGAAGCAAACTGCTTAACTCGATCGCTTCTCTGGTGTGTGCTTTCTCGGCGAAGGAGTAATACGAGAACGTTGAAAATGGAGAATGATGGAAGATCCAGTGAGAAAAATCTTTACGAGGTATCTCCTCCATTCTCTTTATCCGATGTTTCCAATTAGGGTTTATAGGGTTTTCGTTTCTGGATTTGGGGGTTGTTCCAATGATGCTTCTTTTTGGCTCCGAAATGTTTTGATTCGTATGTGTCATGTCGTAATTGTATACTTGGTGTATCAGTTTTATTTGGGATTGTTTGCCAATTTTCATGTGCTAATTCCGTTTGATGATGTTCCTGTGATAGTCTGAATTTTATTGTTTATTATTGGGATTGCAAGAGCCATAGTCTTATAAATTTATACCGTAGCTTGTTCAGTTCTTGTCTGAGAGTCACCTTGTTTTGTTGGTGATTAGTTATATGAATAGTAAAATTCAGTGAAGCGAACTAATCCGTCTTTGTTGAAGGTTCTTGGTGTTGAAGCAACAGCATCTCCACAGGAGATAAGGAAAGCGTATCATAAGTTAGCATTGAGACTTCATCCTGATAAAAACAAGGATGATGAGGTTAAACTCTCACTCTTGAGGGGTTTTGTTTTCTTTACTTTTCTTTGTTCTTAGGGGTCCAATTCAATTTTACATTGTAACCGGAATTCTTGTTTTTTTTTTCAATAAAGGAAGCTAAAGAGAAATTTCAGCAGTTGCAAAAGGTGATTTCGATTCTCGGTGATGAAGAGAAAAGAGCGGTCTATGATCAAACTGGCTCAGTTGATGATGCTGTAAGTTGGCCTCTTTGATTTTTTCTTATCTTCCTGAATTGAGTTTTACAAGTTTTTTTCCATACTGGTAATTTTTATATTTCTTTCACACTTATACACAGCACATGGATCAGTCTCTTGTACTAACTATTGCCAGTTTCTGTTCAAATGAATTGTTGAAAGAAAGCTTTTAACTTCAGTAAAATCACTAGATGATTTTCTTTTCAAACTGTTTTTTTCCCATCTTATTAGGATCTTTCGGGAGATGTGGTTGACAACTTGAGGGACTTCTTCAAGGCAATGTACAAGAAGGTAACAATCATGATTCACAATTGATTTCTTTTTGAACTTTGCACATAACTGTTTGTTCTGTTTCCTTCACTTACTGATTCTTGTGAGACTTGTGCTATAGGTCACGGAGGAAGATATTGAAGAGTTTGAGGCGAACTACAGGGGTTCTGAATCCGAGAAGAATGATTTGATTGAGCTATATAAGAAGTTTAAGGGTAAAATGAGCAGGTAATTTATCATCCCCTTGTTTTCATTATTGTCAAGTTTGTGAACTGAAGTTTTTATAAATATCATTGGTACTATATCTCTTCCAGGCTTTTCTGCTCAATGCTTTGCTCGAACCCCAAGCTTGATTCACACCGTTTCAAAGATATCATCGATGAGGCCATTGCAGCGGGTAGGATTCTCTCTGTTGCAACAATTCTGTGTACAACAAGCATACGAGTTCTGATTTGTTTGTGTGCTATGAAACCATTGTATTCTTAATACAGGAGAAGTGAAATCAACAAAAGCTTACAAGAAATGGGCAAAGGACATTTCAGAAATGGAACCTCCCACGAATCCTCAGAAGATGAGACGGAAGTAAGCTTCTATTTGTCTACCCTTTTTCCCCAATAATTGCCCTCTGAAGTTAACTTTGTTGTGACCTGTTTCAAAATTTCCATATTTTCAGAGAAACAAAGGCTGCAGATAAAGATTTATACGCAGTAATTTCCCAGCGAAGAGATGAGAGGAAAGGGAAGTTCGATTCAATGTTCTCGTCACTTGTGTCTAGGTATGGTAGCAATGCTGACTCTGAGCCAAATGAAGAAGAATTCGAAGCTGCACAGAGAAAAGTTGAAAGCCGGAGATCATCGAAGAAGTCGAGAACAAAGTAAGATTATGTAGTAGTTTGTAATATCTAGATTGTGTTTGTAATGGAAACCAATATTAGGTGAAATTGAAATACATGTTTGCTGCTTAAGTTTGAAATTTGTGTTAACTGTGTTTGTGAATCTGTATCGTAATTTCTGCTATCTCCTCTTTGCAATATATGCGAGTATCACCTAAGCACAAAGAGCGTCATAGACTCAGGCAGAGATAAGTAAATTCAATTTCACCGATTTTTCAATCCTATATTTTATACAATCTGTATTTTACTGATAATTTTAATTTTTTTTGCATATATTTTACTGATAATTTTAATTTTTCTTTTACCCATATGCAAAAAAAAAGGAAGGAAATTAATAAAAGAAAAATAATGAAATATTGGCAAAAATAAAGTAGAACTAAAAAAAAGGAAAGAAGAATCTAATTTTCCAATAGAAACCCAAAGTCATAAGTAAAGTACACCAATTGAGAAGAAGAGTTCTCGCATATAGCTTTTTTTTTTTTTTTAATCAAGAGTAATTTACTATTTACTAGTATTTAGCAAGAGTCGCAGTCCCTCATCAGAATCGTAGAATTGGTATCGATTCGTGAAGAAAGCAATATGGCTTGGGATTTGTTTTTATGGATAATCTCCTTCTTCGTTAGCTTGGCTCTCGTCGCTTCCGTCTTCTATCAGGTAATCTATCTATCTATCTATCTACTTTGTTTGTCCCCTTTTAATTTCATCAATTAATAAGTAGGATTATTAAATCTAGATCTGTCCTTTACTATTCCAATCCTGAGTGTCGGAATTGTACTTGTGAATAAACACCGAGCAACTTAGCTTTTTGTTCTAAATAATTAAACCCGATGATGCACAGCTTTTCCCTTATGTTCATAGGTTTTGTACTAAATCCTCCCACAATTGACAAGTTTTGGGTCCAGAAAGGTTTCATTGTTCATCTTATGCTTCTAACTCCAAGTTGTTCTTAGTTCTGATTTGGATTGTCAAATAGTGTAAAGCTGTTGATTAATTGCGAGTTATTATAGTCATTAGTTTTGTTAGTTTGTGCCGATTGCGGTGATAGGGAGAAGAAGTTATTGAATGAAGTTAGATACTACTTACCAATAGTGTTTACTCACCACTAACTGTCTCTGCTAATGATTTAAGCGTTGAGATCCCTTTTTAGGCTCATTTTTCCATTTTTTTCTTTCGATGTTTGTAGGTTATCTGCTTAACGGATTTAGAAGCTGATTACTTGAACCCTTTTGAAACAAGTACCCGCATCAACCGATTAGTAATACCTGAGTTTATCCTCCAAGGGTCACTCTGCCTTCTCTTCCTCCTCACATGGCATTGGGTCTTTTTTCTGGTCGCCGTCCCTGTAACAGTCTATCACGCAATGTTGTAAGTGTCTCTATCCATATTGCTATTGATTCTTCATTGACATGTGTGGAAACTAAACATTCAACCGCATGTCTCCCATTGTTTTCAGATTCAACGAGCGACGTTATCTCATCGATGTCACTGAAGTGTTCCGTGGTATTAGCTTTGAAAAGAAGTTCCGGTATACCAAGCTCGGGTTCTACGTCTTTCTCTTCATCATGGTCGTCTTTAGGTAAAAAACCTACAACGTCAGCTCAACTATTAACATCTTCTCTCAGTTTGGTTCTTCTACTATGAAGTTACTGAGTCCATAAAACATTTTTGCAGGCTCACTCTATCGGCGGTCTATAGCTTCACGGAAGACGATGATCTACTTCATTTGTTTTGATTCATGCTCTCTGCCATATCAACCACTCTCTATTTATTTTCTGAGTGTGTTTTAGAAAATTGTGACAGGTTTTGTTACATCCCTGCTTAGAATTAGCCAATCAGGGATTCATGATGTAGCTTTATATAATGTACGATTACCGAAAACTCGTCACAAATCGTTTGACATGGAGGGTTTCAGCTTTTTTGTTTGCACAGTATAGTGTTCAGTTTCATAATTGGATGTGTCAAGAATGAAGAATGGAGAATGATTGAGAATTAGGTAGTCTATTACATAGACTGGCTGTGGAAGAACGAACCAATATCTGGTTTATAGTGTCAAGCCAGAGAGATCATAAGGTTATATAATGTAATTTTAAAAGTTAAGTTGCACAAAGTAAACAATAGAAGATATTAGGGATATATATATGTCATATTCTACGTGTCCTTCGATCGGAGCTGCAATTGAACCCGATGTAGACCTCAAAAGTCAAATCCATGCTCATCCAAGAGGAGGAGGAGAAGGTGATCCAAACAGAAACTGTGCAAGAACACACCAAGACATGTTTCAACAAACTGTTTTATATGAGCCAGTTTTTGCGATAGTGACCAAATAGCGACCCAAGAAGGATTACGACCCAGCTACGAGACGATCCAGCTTGATTTTCATCTAGGAGTCCAGACATCCATGACCCGATCCTGACCGGTTCAGACCAGCTCACAAACCGACAACATTTACGATGTGCATAAAACTGGTTAAATAAGGAACTTTCCTTATTTAGCTCTTTGGAGGATATGAGTTTGGCGACCACGAGAGACTCTAGATCAACTAGAGACGTCAAACTAGTCAATCCAAGCCAAAATGTCAAGATAGAGATTACAAGGGAGAGTACACTTTCCATACTTGGCCGTGGGTGCATCTTAATTTCCTTTTAACTCTCAACGACTAGGCCATTTAATCCAGCAAATAGGCGCTTATTCACTTACCTTATCAAAAGTTCAAAACCATAATCCATCCTATGACTTCATACCTCAGTTCTTAAACGAAAGTCTCACCTCTCTCTCTCATGCTTTTTCATTTTTATTATGATTTTAATTAATGAAGGTATCTATCTAGTTTAGATATCCCCCATGGAGATGCTATTAAGGAAATCCATTAATTTTCTCATTTTATTTATTTCCGTTCCTGAGGATAGAGACCTGGTTACTATAAAATAAGTTGAACTATAAAAACCCAAAAAGGTAAGTTGATTACTCAAAATGATGTAATTAATAAATGTTAGTTGACAAAAAAGGGTATAAAAAGGTTTTATGCGGAGAATGAATTCGTAAAATTTGTGAACTCACTCATTTATTCAGTAGCCAAAAAGGATCAAGCAGAGAGAGAGTTCGCACTCCGAAGGTTTCTTTCTGCATTTCTCTTCTCTATATCCTTTTCTCTGTAGATGATCAATGCTCGTTATCGTGTCTTAATTTCCGCCATTATTCTTCTATTTCTTGGTCTATTCTGTATTCAAAGTAACCTCTTATTTCGACTTCTTAGATCGCTTGCCACTTTGTGTACGTCATTGTGAGCGATTGTCCTGTTGTCTCTTAGGGTTTCTTTGGTTCCTTGTGGCCCATTCTCTGTTTATTTCTTGTAGTTGAAAGCTTGGCGTTGAAGAAAGTGTGTGCAAATGGAAGGGAATAAGTTAAGAGTTGCCAAGTTGAAGAAAGAGCGTCTTCGTAAATCATTGATGAAGGCCGAGTCTAAAGCCTCTGATGTATTGTCCTTCACGCTATCATGGAGAGATCTAGAATCTCATTTTGATTCAATTGAATCCGATCTCGTGAAGAGGTCACAAGAACTAGAGTCAAAGGAGAAACATCTAGACAAGAGGTCACATGAGTTAGAGTCAAAGGGAAAAATTCTGGAGAAAAGGGCTCGAGAGATTGATACAGCTTATGGATTTAGAAGAGAAGTTCAAGAAAAGCAGAAGAAACTTGATAGGCTAAAGAGAGAGATCGAATCAGAGGAAAAGAAACGTTTTCTGCTTCAGAAATTGAACCGAGATCGTAAGATTGAACTAAAGCGGACAAGAGAGCAAGTGGAAGCGTTGCAGAAGAATGACATGAAACAGGAGGTTGAACATTTCACAGGGAAGAGCTACCAGGAGATGTCGGAGGAGCTACAGGTTCAACAAGAGAAGTACGAGGAGATCTTGAAGAAGAAGAAGTCGGAGGAGAAGAAGCTAAGAAGTTGTACCAGAGATCTTGCACAGAGAGAAGGGGACCTTCGATGGGTGAGTATGCGATTGTCAAAGCGTTGTGAGGAGCTGGGGTGGGAAAAGAGAAAGATGAATGTGTTGCGTAAACGTAACGACGAAGCAGAAAGGAAGCTGCAACACTTGAACAGAGCACTAGAGGAGAAACAGAAAGAGGTTGATTCGATTGAGAAGAGACTCGGTGAATGCAGGAACGTGAAGGGAAGAGGAAACAGTGATACCAGTGGAGATGAATGAAGCTCAAAGAGAGCAAATATGTAATATAATAGGAGAAAAACTAGCTCACATTCAAATTTTTATATATTACATATGACAAACAGATAAATTGAGTGTTCACAAACTATATTTAAAACTGATGAAAAAGGAATTTTTACATATTTGACAAATAACCAAAAAGGGAAAATTTCTCAAACTCAATCAGGTTCCTTGGTTGAGTTTCTCAGAAGACAAGAGTGTCTTTGCGAACCAAATTGCAGTGTCCCTAGCCGAGACACCATCTTCCCCAAATGGTGTAAGCAAACCAGCAAGTTCTTCATATTTCTCTTGCTTTACAAGCCCTGCACATTTCTCCAATAAACACTCTAATGCATCTGCTCTTTCTTTACTCTGCGGTGGACCCAGTTTCGTGAGCTTACTCAATACCGATGACATTTCACTCGCTGTTAGTTTTACCTTCTTTACTTCATCGCCCTCGAGGCTTCCAGACAAATGGTCCCTTGCTGCTGTAACTTCAGTAGATGAATGCACATTGCTAGAAAAGGAAACCGTTCTATGTTCCTTTGGTTCAGGTAATAGCTCCTGAGTTTCAGCTTCTTCGATGGCTTTTGGAGGGGAACATACTACTTCTTGTGCACTCACAACCCCAACATCAACATCACGTAACTGAGATTCCTCAGAGAACATATTTTCAGTTTCTTTTGGCAGAGCATTTTCTTCGGCTTGCTTTTCTGTAGAGTAAACTGCAATATCAGGATCAATTAAGCTCTCATCCGACTTATGACTAGTAAACTCAGAAATCTTCAATGTGTCGCAGCTTGGATCGATTCTTTTTGTTTCAAGTTTGTCTTCTGCACCATTTGTGGATGATGCCGGTTGCGATGAGCTGCTAGATCCAGTCTCTGCATTCGTCCAAAATGGATATAGATTTTCCAAACTGCGGGACACCTCGCTCTTCTCTCTCGAATCTCTTTCCTTAACAAACTTTCCTGGCAATGAGTTTCTTCTTGCTCTATCCTTTGGGCTATTTACCGACTTTATCGGGAAAACAGGAAGATAAATAGGCGACAGGTTTTGGCATTGAAGAAGGTATGGTTGTAGACATGGGTTTCTTAACAATTCGCAGGCCTGCAGGATAAATGTTATTACATAATATCAGTTATATAGTCACCGCTGCACACATCCAACAATGATATATGTTTATAAACTTACTGTTGGCCTATATTCTGGTTTCTTCCTAAGCATAAGCTTTATCATTTGTTTCCTGTAATAAGAAATAGTTGTGTCTCGTCTCGTGCTGTTTGTATTTGGATTGAAGAGAATCTTGTCAAATGAAAGAAGGAAAAACTTACAAGGTAGATGAGTAGACAATCGGAAGAGGAGACATAAGGGATCTGTTTATTTTGTTGATGAGTCCAGCCATATCCTGTATATATTCCTCATAATTTAGTTTCAAAAAGTCATGAAAACATTATATTACAAAAACATATGAGATAAGAAAAGCTAAAGGTAGGCCCACCGGAGCTTTAAACGCAGGCTGGTGTGCTGTAATTTCATACATACAACAACCTGAACAAAGCAGCATAAATGTGATTCCTTTTAATGACGAAGAAGAAGTCTACATATTGGAACTTAACTTACCCAACGACCATATGTCAGATTTATATCCATATGGTTGATCTTCTAAGACCTCAGGGCACATGCTGTTAGAGATACCCGAAACCTATGAAAAAGTACCATGAATGAGATAACCTAAAAAGAAGTAATTGACATTTGAGATACTAGGGTGCAGAGAGATACTATAAATAGAAGAAAAAAAAAGGTGTAGAAAACACACCATGGAAACTGGCTTTTCTGGATTTATAAGTTTCGCCAGACCATAATTACCTGTGCCATGAGTAGAGATTAAAAGCTAACTAAAGCATAGAAAGACAGATATACAGTTTTGAATGAAGAGTAAAATCAGTCTTCTCATCTATCATACCAAGCTGGACGTGATCATCTTTCGGAAGGAAAATATTTGAGCACTGCAAAGATAATCGATAATCAGAGAACTATTCTTCACGAAATAATACAAAAAGAATCACACACCAGCAACAGTAATGTAGAATGATTTCAAAAATATTACCGTTAGATCCATGTGAACTACACGGTTTGAGTGCAAATAGTTAACAGCCAGTAACAATTGTGCCAACCATTTAAAGATTCTCTGTAACACATGCAAATTTTTTATGAGTCAGCAAGACAGTAACCGCACATCGTTTATGTAGATTAAACAAGTGCAAAAGAAACAAAAGAATAAACTGAAATAGAGAGATTACTTCCTCTGGAAACAACTTTCCTCTCGCTTTCTTAATAGCAGTAGCCCTGATTTGGAAAAAAAATAGTTGTCAGTAATCTACGACGTGGATTTCGCTATAGAGTGAGCCCCATAGAGAAAGATTATAAATACAGATTCCAAGGAATAACTCACATGTTCCCTCCCTCACAGTAAGCAGTAAAAATGCAGGCGTTATTGTCCTGCGAAAAGAAAAAGAAATCAGTGAAAACTGATGAAAATCATTATAAATTTTTCATAAACTGAGGTCCAACTTTTATACCTTGTCAATCCAAGAATCTTCATAATGCATGATATAAGGATTCTTTAAATTTGAGAGCAACTTCATCTGCAACACAAAAAGAAAAAGATGATGATTATAAATGAGATTTCTGGGGGAAACATATAGAAAACTGGAAACTAAATGCCAAAATAATCAATTTGGAGGTTAAACAAACTCAAAACCCTGAATGCAAATAAGTGAAGTGTGTTTCCATACTATTCCAGTTTTCGAGATCATAATTTAACAGCTCTGCTAATCTGAAGTTATACATAGCTCGAGGCGAATATAAGAAACAAATGAATACCATATGCGTAGAAACACATGAGGTGAGAATCAATACAGAAACTACACATATGAATATCACCTCATATCCCAATATTTGTGTGAATACAAGAAGTGATACAAAGATATGTCAAATGTCTTCCCAATTAAAGATGAAAGCTAACATAACCAATGATGATGATTCAGAGATCAAGTAAAAGTCCCATAGTTACCTCTTGGAAAGCGGTTAGCTTTAACTTGTCCGTGTGTTTAGCCAGGGAAATCTTCTTCATTGCATACCTAATCAATACAAGAAACACAAAGGCATGAAAGAAAGCTAGAGACTAACATACTACAAACAGTTATAGACAAAAACTGAATGCTTTTTTATATATTTAAAGATTTTCAGATAGAAATGAATTTACACAACCAAACTCATTATAGACAAAAACCCAAAACCTTGCATTTGTCCGTACAACACATAAATTTTTCCTTTGATTATTATTACTCGAATTAAATCATTGACCAGTTTCTGCCCTAATTATCACCAAAAAAAGAGAGCAAAGAAACTTACTTTTTGTCTTCAATTTGATGAAGAACCAGGAAATCGGAAGAGGACTTGCCTCTTCTAACCTGCTCCACGACATGATAGTTGTCGAGAGTGAACTTGTGTTCTTCTTCACAGTCATTAGCCTCCATTTGCATGAATTCTTCAAAAACCCCTCCCGAATAATCAAAGGTACAGAAACCCAGTTTCAGCTTGAAGAGCACCTAAAGAAAACTGTAAGAGGACAGGAGAAGACAATCAGGCAAAATCTTCGGGTTTCAGAAAGAGAAGAAGACGGACGTAAAACGCTTTTAGTAGTACCAAAATCAATGAAAGCCGACGACGGAGGAGCAGGATGTTGAAATCGCCCAACCTCTCAAGACTTTATTGTCATTGGATTCTTTTTTTCTCCCCACAGAATTTTACTTTTATGTTTTTTTTTTAAAAGAAATATTATATGTTTGGGTTGGCAAGTGATTAAGTATTTTAACGCATTCTCCTTTTCTTTTCTTTTTTGGTGAATGTGTCGGCGGCAATTGAATTGAAAATGTAAGAAAAGTTGAAAACGCTCACAAGAAAAATAAGATTTTTAAAGCACTCACTTGATTTTTATCTTTCTTTTAAAGGAAAGTGTTTTAAAGTTTGAACATGACTGGGAATTTATATGATTCTATAAAATAGGATGTAATCTAGTGTGGTGTGAATCATGTGATAGCATTTTATCTAATCCCTGCCTTCTATTCATTTCAAGATTAACCGTTAGTGTCTGAACTTGAGTAATCATTATTTTGATTCCCTTATTTGAGCTCTCAATACAAAGATTCCTTATATCCTCCTAATCACCGCAAAAGATTTGTTGCAAAGGTTTTAAGTGAAGGATTGTAGGAAAAATGTTGTGCTCAATCTATATATAGTCATCAACATAAATTGATTTTGGTGAAGAATCAGTGATTGATTGTTATAGAGGTTGACCACTTATCCACCTCTTGAACATGATTGAGCTCTCCACTGGTTTATACTCACTAGTGTGCCCGCCTCCCTGTAAACCATGCAAAAACCTTTTAAACAACTAAAAGAAACATATGCACCTAGTAAAAGCTTATATACAGTATAAAACACTTGCTTTGATAGTGGCAAATGTCATCTTATTCGCATAAGTTCTCGTGTATCTGCAAACAAAAAAAGTCAAATCTCATTAGAGAAGCATGACTTGCATCAATGTCGTTGTTGTGTCGACATTGAATTCATCATATCCGGTAGAGTATGCATATTGTTAACAAAAAGAAAATGCTTATAGGCTCTAAATAGAACAAACAAAAGAAAACTAGTATAATACCCAGCAACTTGATTCTGAATCATCCATGGCCTCCAATCATCAATAATAGAATAGTTGAGATATCTGATCCATGCTTGAGTTGCAAGGAAAGGTACTACCATGTCGTGATCACCACTGTTTCACCAAAAAATGCAAAATGTTTATAACCAATTGAAGCAGCTTATTTATAAGAAAGAAAGATGAGTTATTCTTGAGAAGCAAGCAAAGGTCAAAATTGTGGACCGACCTGAAGATGAGAGACCGATACCCTTTGATGCTAGTATTCTTATGATATGGCACACTACTCCAAATGTTTCTCTTGTAAGGCATATCCCAATCACAACGTAACCATTCCCTTATACTACCCTGCAACCATTTATGATTGTGTGATATACTTTTCTTTGTCATCAACATTTACCTACTTATCATCTACCTTGTTCACTTGAAGAGCTTTGCGCACGCTTTTGTCATTTGCCCAATACGAAGATAGCAAATGCTGATTTGTCTCCTTGCACACAGGTTTTAAAATATGTGCTTTACTTATTTTAGAAACACACTATAAACATATAACCCACAAATTCTGAATAAGTGATCTTCTTTTGCAACCATTAATATGTATTTTGAAACATCTTCTTAACTAAATTCCAGAGACCAGAGAGTGTACCTTTTCAAAGTGTTCAACAAATTTCAAGCATTTTGTGTTAAGAGGATCCACATTACAATAATTCCCCTGACAACTTCTTTTCAGAGACTGCAAAAGTTAGTTAATAACTACTTTCTTTTAGTGACAAGAAAGAAAGAAACATATAACAAAGATTTGGTACCTCATAGTGTTCATCAGAGATCAGTGCCATGTCATGAGCAAATGGAATGCGAGAGTTATGATCAAGATTAAAGTCAGTTACCGGGTTTCCGAGTAAATAGCCCTATGTTGTTTAGTAGAGAGAAACAAGAATTTCACTTATTCATGCAGAAAAATGTGTATATATAACTTACATAACACGCAATACCGACGAACCTGAAGATTTATTGGAGGCTTTCTGTCTAAAAGATTTCCTGTGTGACAAAGTGGGAAACAATTGATAAAAAAATTATAAGACTTAAAAAAAAAAGGGGATCGAAATGAAAAAAAAACATACCATTTGAGATTTCTTGAACGATGATTGGAATGATTATACCCGAATAAGAATTTCCGGCGACATAGAACGGATTGGATAAGAACTCAGGATATTTGGCTAGCCACTGCACAACAAAACCAAACAAACACTCTGTAAATGAGCATGCATCAAAAGATAGAGATGCTTTATTTTGAGTTTTCTCTTTACCTTACAAACAAACTCATGAACACTCTTAGCTGCTCCTTTGTCATTTGGTATATCAGCAAGTGGATTTTTTGAGTAGGAGAAGCCAGTCCCAACAGGCTGATCCAAATAGATAATGCTAGCCACCTGAGACAAAGCAATTATCCAAAACTTTAAGAAGATGATTATTTCACAGGGTTTGTGATCACGAGTACTAAATATCGTATGTTACCTTAGTCCATGAATATGTGGTAGAGACCAAGGAGGGGATACTTCCATTGTAGGTCTCAACCTTGAAAGCAAGAGGCCCTTTTTTTTTTTTTGGTAGTTGTTTGCAATTCAAACAAGTCACTGGAAATTCTGATTAAGTGAGTTAGAAAGAATGAAAAGTTTTTGGAGTTTTTACCATTCTCATACACAAGACCAGAAAAAGAAGAGCAGCCAGGTCCTCCACTTAGCCAGAGAAGAAGAGGGTCTTCTTCTGGATTGCTCTCAGATTTGATGAAGTAGTAGAACATTTGATCTTCCTCTGCCTCACCCACACCAATGTACCTTACTCATTCAACTCCAAAAACTCAGAACACATATATAGTGATACATTATCATGGCTAATATGAAGAGGAACCTACCCGGTTTCGAGCTCGAAAGGAAGAGGGCCTTGGAAACCAGGAAGAAATCTGATGGTAGATCCGGAATCAACAAGCTGAATCAAAACAAGTAGAAGATGCAACTTGAGTATCCATGAGAAGCAGTACTTTTGCCCCATTCTCTTGATATGAGTTTTTAATATGCTAAATGCATTAATTCCCCACAAAAGTATATCTTTATGCTAAAATGCCGAAGCTTTATGTAATGTTTTGTTTTGTTAAGTTGGCGCCATAGAGAGTAAACTTTGAGAGAGACACAAGTCATATTGTCATAGAAGAAATGAGTCACGTGGAGTTAAAAGGAGGACATGCAAAATTAGTCACAGAGTGGTGTGAGTGGACTGATGATGAAGTCGACTGCTTTGTAGTATGCAGATGCCTAGCATCAAAATGGACTAATCAGACAAAAGTTATCTGAAAAAAGACGACAAAATCGATGGTAAGCAACATACTTACGGACATTCTTGTCTCGACCAAAATCAGAACTGAAATCTATCAAAAACCCATTGTGACCAAAAATTATCATCTCGTCTCAAAACCCAATTTGTTTTTTCTTTTTTTAATTTACAAAAGTGTTGCCACGTGGCTTTGTCGTTTTAAAGTAGAGTTCTTTCTTTATTCAGTTGAAGGAGATTGCAGTAATTTTTAGGGTTCATACACAAAATTTGTTGAAGCGATGGAACTAGACTTCAAGTGTTCCGATGTTGGAGTTTGGAAGGAGGCTCTGTCTTCCTACGAATCCCGAATCGAGTCACTCAACAAACCAGACCTCGTCTCTCTCGACCAATTTTACCGCGTAAAACTCCCTTCTCTTCTTCACGACCGAGATCCTGACCCTTACCTCACCACTTCCGAGCTTTCTCAACTCATGAAATGGAAGCTCTCTCGTGGAAAATGGCGGTACTTTATCTCTCTCTCTCTCTCTCTCTCTCTCTAGATTTCTGAGTGGTTTCTCATCAATTTAATGGCAATCTTCCTTTTCCAAGGCCGCGTCTGCTGGATTTCGTGTCGTCTCTAGACGATTCAGTGGTGAAATCTGCTTCTGAGAAAGCTTTTAAATCGCTTCCTGACATCTCCAAGGCTGTGAAAGAGCTCACTGTACTTAAGGGCGTTGGTCCAGCAACCGCTTCCGCCGTTCTGGCTGCTTACGCCCCTGACATTGCACCATTTATGTCCGACGAGGTACACTTCTCTTTCAATCATAGAAGCAGCAATAAAAAGAAAAAAGAAGAATCTTGATTTTTTCATTTTTACTCTGTTTTGAATTTGGTAAACTCTAATGTGGAAGGAAAGGCAATGGAGGTGGCTCTCGGGAACTCAAAGGATTACTCTTTGAAGCAATACTTGTTGTTTGTTACTAAGCTACAAGATAAATCCAATGTAAGTAATAAATCTCTTTAGACAATTATTACTATGTGCTCTTAGTTCTGTCCAAATTAGGATGACACTTGAAAGTTAATTTCCACACACTTGCAAAAGTCTTTGATTCCACTCTGATACTGTTGTAGAAAACATCTGAGCTTTATGGTCTTTGAAAATCCTTGAAAATGTTGAGAGGTATAGATGGAAATTTGGACTACATGTTGCCTTAAATCAGATTATGGATTGTTGTAGGAATTAAAGCTGAAGGGAGAGTGGGATGGGCCTTCAGATGTTGAAAGAGCTCTATGGAGTTGTACTGTGCGTGCAAAGTCACAGCCAGAGAAGAGCTCTTCCGGGAAGAAAAGAAAACGGTAGGTGATAATATTTCTATCTAATTCACCTTCTATCCATTGTTAAGATCAACCATATGTCAGCTCTTCTGGAAGTCATATATGTAATTGTTCAACTGTGGGAATCGAAAGATGATTCTATTTTTATCTACAAAGCAATTAAAATCAAACAATTGACTTGTTTTATATGTATGGTTGTGAGGGTGTAGTTTTAGGGGATAGATTTTTGAAGGGAAAAAAACAGAGGATATTTTGCTTTTTCAGATATCTTCCAAATATTGAAGGTGGGAATCGAATCCTATATTGAAGGGAGGACAATGATTCTGTTTTGACTTGTTCAAAAGACTGATTCAATAGGTTGTGAGGGTACCAGACCTGATTGGTAACAGCTGTAGCTTTACATTTTTTGCTGTAGAAATATGACTGTAGGTTTATTTGCTGTGGCTGTAGATTTTATTGCTGTAGTATTTTGGCTGTAGAATTTAAAATTTTGGAAAGTTGAAAATTATGTGCTTTAGGAAAAAAGGCTTTCTACAGCCAAAAAAATGAATTAAGGAAATATTTTGGCTGTGAGAAAAAAAAGGAAAGCTAAAGCTTCTAAAGCTTGATTGGATGTATTTCAAATCTTTAGAAATTTTTTTGCTTTGTAAAGACTCTAAAGCACTTGCCAATCAGACCGAAAAGACAGAGGATCTGTTGTGTTCCAACTAAGTAAACTTACAAACTCCAAGTACGTATAAAGCTTTTTTTTTCTTTCCATTTGTAATGCAATGGCAATAAATGATGTTTTCTGATAAAATAGGCTTAACATCTAAAATGTATTTCAGATGATACATCAAACCAAACAAGATCACTCCAAGATAAAGGTTTTTGTGTTTAAAGAGGTTGGCCACTTATCCACCTCTGGAACAAGATTGAATTCTCCTCTGGTTTATAGTCTAACGTGTGCCCGCCTCCCTACAAACCAAACCAATAAACCGATTTTAAAAAAGCTTTGCATTTATGTCAAAAAAGTGGATAAAAGAGTTACTTTCACAGTTGCAAATGTCATCTTGTTAGCATAAGTCGTAGTGTAGCTGCAATTAGAAAAGAATGGATAAGAAGCTTACAGAAATGAAGAAAAGAAACCAACGAAAAGGAAAAACAAGAAATGGTTATATATACCCAGCGACTTGATCGAGTATCAGCCATGGCCTCCATTTGTCAATGATGGAATAGTTGAGAGATCTTATCCAGTCTTGAGTTCCAACGTAAGGTGTTAGCATGTCGTGATCACCACTATTCACCAGACACACCATGCCAGAAAAAAATTACAGACAACTAATGAAAACACAAGCTTGTATTTGAATTTGTGTGTTGACCTGAAGATGAGAGATCGATAGCCTTCGATGCTGTTCTTTTTATGGTATGGTATGCTGCTTTTAATGTCTTTATTGTTTTGCAAACTCCATTTACATCGTTCCCATTTACCTGTAGTACCCTGCAATAAAAATTCCTCATAGAGTTTGATCATCAGACTTTATCAATGATCTTATGATAAACTTGTCATATATACCTCCACAACTTTAAGTGCTCTGCGTACGCTCTCGTTATTGGCCCAGTATTCGGATAGCATCGAACGATACGACTGCGAAAGCAACTTTGTCAGTATTCTTCTCTAGTGGTTTAGTTTAGTGGTTAGTCCAAAGATACCAAGAAGCTTACATGGCAATCAGGAGATGTAAGGTCACATTTTGGTGCGAGGATAAGGTTTTCATATATTCCAGAAACACACTGTATATAACCACAAATTCTAAGTTAGTGATTATGTTTTTAACCATTTGCGCCAACTAAATTTCAGATTGTGAACCTTTTCATAGTGTTTAATGAGTTCCAAGCATTCTGTGTTAAGAGGATCCACAATAATATAGTTTCCTCCACAGGTTCTCTTCATCGACTACAAAAGTAAGAGTTTGTTAATTGATTCACTGTGTTGACAAGAGAAAAAAGCATTCTAGATTATGTAATTGTACCTCATAGAGTTCATTAGAGATAAGTGCCATTCCATGAGCAAATTGAATACGAGAATTTCTATCAAGATCATAGTCTGTTACCGGACTTCCAAGCACATAGCCCTGTTTTTGATGGTGCAAACAAATAACTCATTAATTCTTAATGCTCCATAAGGTATATAGAAATAGTTAGTGGCAAATAATGACGAACCTGAAGCCTTATTTGAGGTTTGCAGCATATACAATTTCCTGTGATAAATTGGTGAAACAGATGATCAAGGTACTGGAGTCAAATAAGAGGGCTTGCATAGGAAGGAACTGACGTGATAAAACACTTACCATTTGAGATTTCTTGAACGATGACCGGAACCATCTTACCGGAATAAGAATTTCCGCCGGCATAGAAAGGATTGGAGAAATACTCAGGATGTTTGGCTAGCCACTGCACAACAAACCAAGCAAAAACTCTAAAATACAAAAAGAGTAAAGAAAGATGCTTTAAGTGGACAATTTGAGTTTTCCCATTACTTTACGAAGAAACTCATCGACCCGCTTAGCTGATCCTGTGTCACTTGGTATATCAGCAAGTGGATTTTTTGAGTAGGAGAAGCCAGTCCCAACAGGTTGATCTAAATATATTATATTCGCAACCTGAAAAGAAGCAATGATTCTTAAACTTGAAGATGAAACATTAAGATTTCATTGAGTTTGTTATCATGAGTAAAATTTCTCTAACCTTTGTCCATGAATATGTAGTAGAGACCAACGTGGGGATACTTCCATTGTAGGCCTCAACCTTGAAACCAAGAGGCCCTGATTTTTTATTTCAATTCAAAAAGGTCACTTAATATTCTGCAGAGGAAAATAAGATCGAGTTAAAGAAGATTTATTACCGTTCTCATAAACAAGACCAGTGAAAGAAGAGCAACCAGGTCCTCCACTTAGCCAGAGAAGAAGAGGGTCTTCTTCTGGATTGCTCTCAGATTTAATGAAGTAGTAGAACATTTGATCTTCATCTTCCTCACCAACACCAATGTACCTGAATGATTTAACTCCAAAACTTAGAGAACACAGAGTCATACATCATAAGGCTAATATGAAGATGAACAAACCCGGTTTCGAGCTCGAAGGGAAGAGGGCCTTCAAAACCAGGAAGATATCTGATGATAGAACTTGAATCAGCATGCTTAGTCAACAGAAGCACAAGTTGCAGCAGCAGCAACTTGGGTATCCATGAACCCATTCTTTTTTAAGTTTTTGAGTTTTATGACAAAACATTTTTATCTTCAAAAACAGAGACATTGACCCAAACAAACATCTTTTAGTCTTTGTTTAATTTGTTCCGTCTGCAACTGGTTAAAGAATAGAAAACTAGGTTTTTGAATTGAAATTTGGGCACGTGATCATGCATGTGGAAGGGACAAAGTCGCGTTTAAAGTGCTTTGCAGTTTGCACATGGGACAAAGCCGGACAAAAGACGAATCAATTTTTCAACTTCTTCAAACTTTTATTGTCAAGGTTAACATCTCTGTATAAGTTTTGAGTGAGCATAATATTTTAGCAGGTAGAAATAAAAGGGTGCATTCTTTTGTTCAAAGTGCTAGTCTGCTAGAGAAAACCCAAGAGTAGTTACGTAGACATTAACTTTTTTTTGGGACTATATGTTGTCTTCTGATAAATAGTGTAACACTGACTTCAGATGAACTCTAAAACCAAACCCTTTCGGCTTCAACATCAATAAGATCACTCCAAGTGTGTTTAAAGAGGTTGACCACTTATCCACCTCTTGAACAAGATTGAATTCTCCTCTGGTTTATATTCCAATGTGTGCCCACCTCCCTAAGAAACCAAACCCACAAACCAATTAAAAAACTGATGTAAAAATGCAAACATAAAAATGTGGATAGAAGAACTTGCTTTCACAGTGGCAAATGTCATCTTATTGGCATAAGTCTTGGTGTATCTGCAAATAACAAAAGGTTGATTTCATTGGATGAGCAGCTTATACAAATTAAAAACAACAACAAAAAAAAGAGAAGATAAAAAAGAAATGTTATATAGCATATATACCCGGCGACTTGATCGAGTATCATCCATGGCCTCCATTTTTCAGTGATGGAATAGTTGAGAGATCTTATCCATGCTTGAGTTCCAACGAAAGGGATTGTCAAATCGTGATCACCACTATTCAACAGAAATACCATGCCAGAAAAAAACTTACAAATAACTAATATTGAAAGCATAAATAAGCTTGTAAAGAAGTAGTTAAAATTTGTGTACCTAATGACTAGAGATCGATAGCCTTTGATGCTGTTATTCATATGGTACGGTATGCTGCTTTTAATGTCTTTATTGCAAAGCACACTCCAATCACATCGTTCCCATTTCCCTTTAGTCCCCTGAGATCAAAATCCTGTTAGAGATTGATCAACAGATTTTTACCAATGATCATATCATAAACTTTTTATATACCTTGACAACTTTGAGTGCTCTGCGGACGCTCTCGTTATTAGCCCAATATTCAGATAGCAAATACCGATACGTCTGCAAAAAGTAACCTTGTCAATATTCTTCTATAATGGTTAGTTAAGTGGTTTGCCATTGATCCAAAGATAAACAGAGATACAAGTTGGATTCGCTTACATAACAATCAGGAGATGTAGTCTCACATTGTGGTTTAAGAATAAGTTCTTCATATATTCCAGAAACACACTGTAAATAACCAAACATTCTAAGTTAGTTATTTTGTTTTCTTACCATTCGCGCCAACTAAATTGTAGATTGTGTACCTTGTGATAATCTTCAACGAGTTTCACGCATTCTGTATTAAGAGAATCTACAATACTATAGCTTCCTTTACAGCTTCTCTTCATCGACTACAAAGTAAGAGATTTGAACAGGTTTGTCAACTACTTTTTGTGGTGACAGGAGAAAAAAAATATATCCTAACTTATGTAATTGTACCTCGAATAGTTCATCAGAGATGAGTGCCGCTCCATGAGCAAATGGAATGCGAGAGTCATTATCATGATCATAGGCTGTTACCGGGTTTCCAATCACATAGCCCTGTTTTTGGTGGTGCAAACATATAACTCTTTAATTCTTAATGTTAATAAGGTATATTGAAAAAAAAAATGTAAGAAGCAAAGCATATAGTAATGAACCTGAAGATTTATTTGAGGTTTGCAGCATATATAATTTCCTGTGGTGAAATAAATGATCAAGAAACTTAGAGTCAAAGAAAAGGGCTTGCATAGGGGTTGAAGTCATTATAACTTACCATTTGAGATTTCTTGAACGATTGCCGGAATCACCTTACCGGAATAAGAATTTCCGGTGACATAGAAAGGATTGGAGAAATACTCAGGATGCTTAGCCAGCCACTGCACAACAAATCACCAAAAACGATTATAAAAAAATACTCTCCAAAAGTCAATGCATAAAGATTGATGCTTTTAGTTTTCCCTTTACCTTACGAACAAACTCGTTGACCCGCTTAGCTGATCCTGTGTCACTTGGTATATCAGCAAGTGGATTTGTTGAGTAGGAAAAGCCAGTCCCAACAGGCTGATCCAAATAGATTATATTGGCCACCTGAGAAGAATTAATGGTCTTAAAACTTGAAGATGAAGAAGAGTTTCATTAGTTGGGTTTGTAATCAGGAATATAACTGGTGTTACCTTAGTCCATGAATATGTAGTAGAAACCAACGTTGGTATACTTCCATTGTAAGTTTCAACCTTGAAAGCAAGAGGCCCTGATTTTTGTTTTTCAATTCAAACAAGTTACTGAATAGTCTGCAGATAGAAATGAGAATGAGTTAAGAGAAGTTTTTTTACCATTCTCATAAACAAGACCAGAGAAAGAAGAGCAGCCAGGTCCTCCAGTTAACCAGACAAGAAGAGGGTCTTCTTCTGGATTGCCCTCAGATTTGATGAAGTAGTAAAACATTTGATCTTCCTCTTGCTCACCAACGCCAATGTACCTGAATGATTTAACTCTAAGACTCAGAACACAGAGTTATACATTATAGGGGTAATATGGAAATGAAGATGCAGAGGAACAGAACCCGGTTTCGAGCTCGAAGGGAAGAGGGCCTTCAAAACCAGGAAGATATTTGATGATAGAACCTGAATCAGCATGTTGAATCAACACAAGCACAAATTGCAGCAGCAGCAACTTGAATATCCAGGAAGCCATTCTTTTTTTAGTTCTTGAGGTTTATGACTTTTAACATTTTTATACTCAAAAACAGAGGCGTTGACGCAAACAAAGATGGAATCTTTTCGGTTGAGTATGGTTGAACCATATAAACCGGTCAATTGCAATATCTAAACCCGATAAGCTCTCTAACCGATTCCAATTAGTCTGTTTTTTTTTAAATTCGGGTTAGGCTCTCTAACTGATTCCAATTAGTCTGTTTTTTTTTTTACTTTCCTTTGAATAAAGGTGTTTAGAGTTAATTTTTTCTCTTGTTTTTTCTTCACTTCTCTTTCAGTCTTTCTTCATTTTGAAATCGAAGGTTTGAGGCTTTGAGCTGAAAAAATCTGGGCACGTGACGTGAGAATCTATGTGGAAGGACAAAGTCGCATACAAACACATGGGACAAAATCATTGTTTAATGATTTCAGCATTGCCTAGAAAACCGGACAGACCGACTATTTAAACCGGTACAATAAATTTGTATGGGGTATATTTGTAATTTTAGGAATATAGGTTCGTTGGGGGTAATAAGTATAGTATGGGTGTTAGTTTGCAATTTCCCGTAAAATTTATCGATGTTTCTTTTTGGGGATGGTGGGTTTGTAGACAAAACGACGGATCGTGTCTCTCTGCTTCTTCTTTCAATCGGATTTCGGACAACCTTTTTTACTCAGACAGAAGATTTTCAATTTTTTTCAGGTGAGCTTCTTGCTTTCTGCAACTCAAGCTCTTTTTATCTTTTGGGTTTTAATTCTTTTCTTTTCATGTATCTTTCTTTTGTTTGAAGTTTCCTCCTTCTTTGTTTTACTTTAGTCCATTGGAAAGCTTACTTTTTCTCACTTTGTGATTTGCCTGGGAAATTAAGACCTTGTTGACTTTCATAAGCTTATAAAGTTTCAAGCTTTTTTGTTCATTTGATGACGTTTCCAGCAACCAAAATCCATTGGATTATCTTGAATTCTTGATGAATCCTTGGATTTCAAATGTTAGTATGCTTTGAATTTCATGTGTCTGTTGAATTCTGTTAAGATAAATAGATTTTGAATCCTCGGTGATGAGTTATTGGTTTGAGTGATGAGCTGCTATAAGCTAAGTTCTCGATTGTTTTAGATTTTGAATCCGCTGTATTATTTCAGTCGATGTTAGTACTTGAACCGTTGTCTTTGTTCCGAATCCAATTCCTAACTAAGAGACTCATTAGTTAAGCTACTGCAGTGTGACTTAAGCTGGTTTCCCTGAGCCTATAACTTGACTGTTGTGAGTGTGCTTAAATTCCACTAATGTTTGACTTTGATCTATTGGATAAGAGTAATGCCTGAACGTAGTTTCTCAATCTTTGAGGGGTTTTGAACTTTGCAAACTATTTGTTCGGTTGAACTTTAATTGTTTATTTTTTCATTCAGCACAGTCAATGATTCACTGGTTGTTCCTTGTCCATTCGTATTGGTTGTCTTGGTAAGGTGCTTTAGTCTCTCTCTTCTGTTATAATGCTGTCTGTTAATTTCTTTCATCATCATCTTTTTTTCTTTCCTCTTGGCAGTCTTTCTTCCCTCTAGTGTAAAAACTCTGCACCAGAGGTAAAAGAACCATTACAAAAAGGAGCACAAGTGGATAGTGTTTGATCAAGTATTAGCACAGAAAGTAATATGGCTGATACCAGTTCAAGGACTGATGTCTCAACTGATGGTGACACAGATCATAGAGATCTGGGGGTTAGCTCGTAATCATTTTATTATTTTATTTTCTCTACAATGTCACTCCTGGGAGGCTTGTACCGGGATCCCTTGGTAAAACTTGGGACATTCTACCGGTATAGCCATATCCACAGGACTAATTATTTGCTTATGTTCATCAAACATGCATAGTTTGAAAGAAATAGTAATTCCTCATGTTGATTACATGCAGTCTGATAGAGGGCAAATGCTTGCTGCTGCATCTGATTCCAGTGATCGATCAAAGGATAAGTTGGATCAAAAGGTGATACATTCATCTCTGTGGATCCAACAAGTATCTGTGTAGATTGCGCATATGCATAATCTGTTTTGTTTTCTTTTCATTTTGATCCATAGACCCTTCGTAGGCTTGCTCAAAATCGTGAGGCAGCAAGAAAAAGCAGATTGAGGAAGAAGGTATGTATATCTTACTTTTGTTCTTGTTTTGATTTTTCTTATATATTCCTTTTATTTCCTTGCAACATCTCTAGGAGAATATCTATTTGTCATTACCTTCACCATGTTATTGTTTCATCCCTAGGCGTATGTTCAGCAGCTGGAAAATAGTCGATTAAAGCTGACTCAACTTGAGCAGGAGCTGCAAAGAGCAAGACAGCAGGTTTATTTACTTTCTTATTTGGTTTGATTTTGATATGTAAGTCTTAAGATAAAAGAGACTTTAGCCAAGGCCTAATGCCACTTCAACTTATAACTAACAGTCAGTTACAAGTTAGTTGAGTATTGGATTAGCTGAAGTAGAGGAGGTAACAGAATTATGCGTCATCGGTAGTTTTGTTAGGAAAAGGTAGATAGTAATTCTCTCGAATAAATCCTTAGGTCCTTCTGATTTGTTCATTGGATGTTGATGGCATAAAGAGACTTATATTCTGGTTCTTATCAGATTCTTTGTCATGACAGTGTATTTGTCACTTCTGCATGCATAAATGATATATTTTTTTTTCAATGTTAGGGCGTTTTCATCTCAAGTTCAGGAGACCAAGCTCATTCTACTGGTGGAAATGGTGGGTTGTTTCTTCTCTGTTAGTTTTGAGATTGATCCTTTTGGTTTGCAATTTATTGGTGAGAAAAGTGCATATATATATACACTCCACTTGTTATCAGCTTGATGTTGATTGATGAATTGGTGATAGCATAAGTCATCTCATGGCAATATGCTAACGCTTATTAGAGTTAATGGTTTCAAGAGTCAATGAAGATTTGGATGGGAAATTAAAGTCATGGTGATATCAATACTGAAGTTTCATATAGTTTACGCTGGTGTAGGCTTAGGTCGGCAAGGGTTTGGTATTGATCTAGTATACTTGTCTTTGTGCAGGGGCTTTGGCATTTGATGCAGAACATTCACGATGGCTTGAAGAAAAGAACAGGCAAATGAACGAGCTGCGATCTGCCCTGAATGCTCATGCAGGTGATACTGAGCTCCGGATAATTGTGGATGGAGTGATGGCTCACTATGAGGAGCTTTTCAGGATTAAGAGCAATGCAGCTAAAAATGATGTCTTCCACTTATTATCTGGAATGTGGAAAACACCAGCTGAGATATGTTTCTTGTGGCTTGGCGGGTTCCGCTCATCCGAACTTCTCAAGGTAAGCTCTTTCCAAGTTCATAGAGAAAATTTGATGAACAGACCAACTTAATGAGTCACAATGTTTTCACAACAGCTTCTTGCGAATCAGCTAGAGCCCATGACAGAACGACAGGTAATGGGCATAAATAGCTTGCAGCAGACGTCACAGCAGGCGGAAGATGCTTTATCTCAGGGGATGGAGAGTTTACAACAATCCCTAGCTGATACTTTATCCAGTGGAACTCTTGGTTCCAGTTCATCTGATAATGTCGCGAGCTACATGGGTCAGATGGCCATGGCAATGGGGCAGTTAGGCACCCTCGAAGGATTCATACGCCAGGTACATTAGAATTGTGGATTCTATCGTGAGATATACACTATAATAAGCTTTGCATCGTCACAAAGAAATAAATCTTATATATATGAATCAGTCTGTTATGGAGTTCATAGGGCATTTCTTGGTGGCAGGCTGATAACTTGAGGCTGCAAACACTACAACAGATGCTTAGAGTATTAACAACACGTCAGTCAGCTCGTGCTCTTCTTGCTATACACGATTATTCATCTCGATTACGTGCTCTTAGTTCCTTATGGCTTGCTCGGCCAAGAGAGTGAAACACAAGAATAGTGCTCTGCTCAGCCCTATACATGATCTTATGACTCAGATCGGCAGGATTCTCCTTCCAAGAGATCACAAAGCAAGGCCTTCTCAGATTCTTACCGAAAGCAATATTTTGGGAAGAAGACTGCAGATTTTGAAATTGGTTTTCTGAGGTCCCAAAGACTTGAGTGTGGTGTGTGTTGTAATCTTTAGCCATCAGGTTGCATAGTTTTTAGAGAGTGAATGTTTATAGGTCTTTGAATATTCAAAGCGGATAGGTGATCAGGTCGTAGTTACCAACATGACAGAAGATGGGATCCTTTCAGGAACTTGGATTGTATGATTATAAACTGAAGCAGACCAATTCAATTTATATTGAGTTAATAAAAGAGAGAGTGCAGATTGTGTATCTTGAAATCATAGCAAGATTTGCACTGTAACAGATAAAGCTTACAGAGGTTTGGCAAATACTATGTATAACCAACCTGAGTCAGAGAAAATACTCATACAAATGAAAAGATCTAATTATTTTCGGGAAGAAGATTTCTTCCAAAAGTCGACAATACAATACTGGCAAGACTTATGCGAAACTTGAGCATGAACTGAAACAGCATAACCAGTACAGCTTATGTGAAACTCGAAAAGTAAACATCACCAGTTCAAAAGTAGTTGCTGGTGTAGAAATTCTTGAGAAAATCAGTCTTTCCTTGATCCTTGTTTCCAGTATTCTGAATGAGCCCTTCACCCACCACGTATTGACCGATGATGTGGTGACGCTGCTTTGCGTGATCCACTATGTCAGTCAGCTCTTCCATTCCCTTGAATATAAGAAGATCAATTACCTGCAGAAGCAAAACCACCATCAGATTGCATTCTAAAAGCACCTTAAGAGAGAGCCAATCGAGAACAATAAAACAAACAAAATCCAAGATCAATGCATCCACACTCAAGGAGATGCGTTCAATTGATGGTTCAAAAAAAAAGAAGCAAAATAACCATTCATCACATAAGCAAATCTTAACTTAGGTACCAAATGCCAACAATGATGTCATATTACGAGAAAGAAGAACTCCATTGTGATTTGAAGTATATCGAAGACAACAGACTCATCTATGAAAGAAAACAAATACAAAGAAGAAAGTAACACAGCTTTAGCGGGATGCAACCTGTAAAGCTCCCACCTTTTCGCTACAAGAAAATATCCACCCAGCACCCAATTCACAAGACACTTTATTGATCATAAGATAAGACTACCCAGAAATTAAAGTATCCGCTCGCTTAAACTACTTGCAAAAATTCCAAACGATAGAAGGTGTAAAGCTTTCAGCTTTCAACAACATTCAAACATAGCTGACAATAAATCCAAGCCAAAAGTGCAATAGAAAGCAGAAACGATCAGATTAACATATAAGAAAAAGCTCATTGTTTTGTCAAAAGGAAAATGCTTCCAAATTCGCAATCGCAGTGGACCCGAGTCCGTGTTAATCAGAATGAAATTAAGGGGAAGTACCTTAGGGTCGGTGATGTGAGCGTTATTCCGAATCTGAGCAGAGATTGCATAGCGGAGCTGAGAAGGCGCGACGATATCTTGAAGATTGTAAATGTCCATGATGGTGGGGATAGATCTACACGCAGCTCTAAAGAAATCGAAAACACGGCGGCGAGCTTCCGTCAGGTTCGCCGAGTTTGGTGGAACACCGATTTTCCTCAACGTGAATGGTGCCGCCATTTTGATCTACGAAATCGAGAATTTTTTCCTTCCTGAGATAAAAAGAGGAAATGAGAAAAACACAGTAGCCGGATTTGAGAAACAAACATCCGACTATCTGATTCCTTCCACAGTTATCTAACGACGTCGTTTCGAAACGAGTAGCTAATGGGCTTATGGGCCTAAGCTAAGGGAGATAAGTCGTAATTATTTCCGGTTAGTTTCGGTTTGCTCTTTGGTTTAAGTCAGATTTGATTGAACCAAAAAGGGTAAGAAGGTAATTGTGTTTGTCTATACCGCCGGGGTGTCTCCGCTTTCTTAAACCTCTTCTCTTAAGAACTTGGCGCCGTAATCTTTATCATGGCGGCGACAATGGTGAAGGACGGGAATCTCAACTACAGCGAAGATGAAGAAGAAAACTACTCAGACGACGGAGATTGGGGAGACTGGAAAGCAGATGATGATGTCGTAGGAGGAGGAGAGGAGGAGGATGATGACGGCTCGGAATCTGATTTTCTGTGTTTGTTTTGTGATTCTCACTTCGTCTCCTGTGATTTACTCTTTGAACACTGTCGTCTGAGCCACGGGTTTGATTTTCATGGAATTAGAAAGGAATTGAAGCTCGATTTCTACTCTTCGTTTAAGCTCATCAACTATATTCGCTCACAGGTTTGTGTTTTTGCTTCCTTCTTTTTGGTTTCCGAAATTTTGTTGTTTTTGTTTAAATTTGGTTCCTTTTAATAAACTAGGTGGCGGGAACAAATGTTGGAGTTGGAGGATTGAAGCTGATGATTTCAAAGATGTTAAGTTTCCTTGGGATGAAGAGAAGTATCTGAAGCCCTTTTGGCAGGAGGATTCACTTTTGTACTCATTTGCAGATGATGAGGAAGATGAAGAAGACACGTTTGACAGAGAGGAAGTCATGGAGGATTTGCGGAAACTTGGGGATTTATGCATTGATGTTGAGGCTTTAGGGGAAACCTCAATGTCGAACAATGATAAATGCAATATAAATGGAAGTAAGGATGTAACTTTGCTCTCAAACTGCAATGGCCTGAAAGATGATTTGATAGTCAATGGGAAAGATGCAGAACCAAAGGTTTGTGATGGAAGGCTAGTTAATAGGAACATCAAAAAGGTGAATGAAAACTATTTTGGATCTTATAGTTCGTTTGGCATTCACAAGGAGATGCTAAGTGATAAGGTAATGCACTAATCTTTTCTGGAATTATGTCCACATTAACTAACCTGCACTTTCTCAATATGAAGAAAGACTGTCGGCTATCAGATTTATTCAATTTGTTTGATGTCTGTAACAGGTTAGAACAGAAGCATACCGAGATGCACTTTTGAAGAATCCTACTCTCTTGAATGGCTCTGTTGTAATGGATGTTGGTTGTGGAACTGGGATATTGAGGTGAGTTAGCTGCTATCTTTCTAACTCTGTAGTGGCCATCTCATTTAGGTTTCTTCTCATTCTCTTAAGGAAACAAGACTTAAACATGTGATTGAACTTGTTATGTAGTCTTCTTATCTGGTGGTTCTATTTACCTCTTGTGTTTCATATTTTGAAGGCTTCCTTGAATTTCCCTTGCCTATATGCAGATCCTTTGATTGTTTTAAGTCATTTTTTTGGTACTTCTTATTTTTAGTATGCATGCAATAACCATTTTATCTGTTGTCTGCAGTCTCTTTGCTGCTAAAGCAGGGGCTTTAAGGGTAGTTGCAGTTGAAGCTAGTGAGAAGATGGCCAAAGTTGCAACTAAGGTTACCTTTTTTTACTTGCTACAAGATTTTCATTATGTCTTTTTTTCCTCATATATATTAATTCTTTGCCTGGTTGCGAGCAGATTGCTAAGGATAACAAAGTTTTCAATGATAACGAGCATAATGGGGTACTTGAAGTTGCACACTCAATGGTTGAAGAGCTAGATAAATCGATACAGATTCAACCTCATAGTGTTGATGTGTTAGTCAGCGAATGGATGGGATACTGCCTTTTATATGAGTCAATGCTCAGTTCTGTGCTCTATGCAAGAGATCTGTGGTTGAAACCTGGAGGTGCAATCCTCCCTGATACGGCCACTATGGTAAAACTTATCTTTTGCACTTCAAATGTTGTCTTTCTCGTGAAACCATCTTGATGAGTTGTATCCCTTTTTTTTTTCTCCTTGGATCAGTTTGTTGCGGGATTTGGAAAAGGTGCCACAAGTCTTCCTTTCTGGGAAGATGTCTATGGCTTTGACATGTCTTCAATTGGTAAGGAGATTCTTGAAGATACTGCTCGACTTCCCATTGTTGACGTTATAGAGGAGCGTGATTTAGTGACACAGCCTGCCCTTCTTCAGGTTTGAAAGGTCAAACATTATTTGGTTTAGCCAGAAAAAAACTTTGAAATTAATTTCCTTGAATTTCTATGTTTCTAGACATTTGACCTGGCCACTATGAAACCGGATGAAGTAGATTTCACAGCAACCGCAACGCTGGAGCCCACTGAGTCAGAAGCAAAAACTAGGTTGTGCCATGGTGTAGTGTTGTGGTTTGACACAGGTTTCACCAGTAGGTTCTGCAAGGAAAACCCAACCGTACTATCCACATCACCCTACACTCCCCCAACACACTGGGCTCAGACAGTCCTAACTTTTCAAGAACCAATCTCAGTGGCACCGGCTTCGCTTCTGCCACATGATGACAGAAGAGGAGCCATTGGAACCAAAGAGTGTCCCGCCTCAAGCATTCATCTGCGTGTGAGTGTTGCACGAGCGCATGAGCATCGCAGCATTGACATCTCGTTAGAGGCTACTGGGTTGAGCTCAAAGGGTCAGAAGCGTCACTGGCCGGTTCAGATATTTAATCTATGAATGTGATTGTAGCCATTGTAACACTCTTTTCTGTCAATTTTGCTGAGAATCTCTTATTATAAGCTGCAAGATTGTTCTAAATTAAGCCCATAATATCATTATTTCTATGCATTTAAAAAGTTTTGAGTAAGGTGAGCTTGCTAGAGCAGTAAGTTCTTCTGAAATCGACATAAATTGTTGTCTAGCGGCGTAAATGTATAGAGAGCTGGAGAAGGAAAGAAACAGACAATTGTTCAGACAATTCTAATTTACTTGTAAAGGAATTGCTTAACTGTATTGGAAGTCAAGTTCCAAGTTAAGTCATTGTCACAAAAAAAAATTCTTGATAATCTATGAATCTGTTGACAGACACTAAACACAGTTAGAAATAATGAAAAATTTATTAAGGCTTATTAGGACGGACTTAACTTAGATAAATAAGAAAAAGAAACAATAAAGGGATCCATCCGCTCATAGCCTGAGGTGATCACTATAAACTAGAAAGCTAAACATAAAAGCAAACTCTGTAACATAAGGATTTACAGATGCTATAGTTGAAGAGAAGCTGGCGTTGCAAATAGAGAGAGAATCTATGAATCTGTTGGCTCGGTTTTAAGGGGTGTGGCACCTGAGGACAATCCATCGCTTCCATTTTGGTTTTGATTTTGGTTTTGGAGGTTAAGGCTATTTGCTACCATGGAATCGCTGACCAGCCCTGCTTCTACATCAAAGTTCAGCGTCCTCTTGCGGTTGCTGCTGCTGCTGTGACACCAGATGAAATTGGGTTGGGTCAGTGATTGGTTTTATGGAAGAAGCTGATGAGAGATGTGATTTTTTTTACTTACTTGTTCAAGCGGTTGTTGATGGCAGATAGGTCCTTTGAAGGGCTCTGGTAAGCATGTGTACTCTCTCCAACACAAGCATAGTAACTCTTCGTACTGTGTGAAATAAGAGCATCCATCTGCAAACACAACACATGGAAGGTAACCAAACAATCTTGTCACCTACCTCCTCAACTTAGTCATATCATGATAAAGAGTTAAGGACTAGGATCTTCTTTTACCTTTGATCCCCGAAGAGGAGAAACATAAACATTGTGCACTGCAGATACTTTTTTAGGGGACATGTCTGGAACACTTGGAAACACAGACACCTTTGGTGATCCGGGACATTGACCTGTGAATCCAAAATAAGACATCACTTAACTTAGGGACTAAATTGATAAACAAAGCTTACGTCTAACAAGTATCTGTCATTTCTTAACAACCTTCAGGCTTATTATTGGCTTCCACAGCCCGGTCGTTTCTCACAGGACCTAGCTCCACCAGCAACGGCTTTACGGCAGGAATAAATATATCATTGTAGAATGTGATGATGTCAACATGATCTGGCCCTATTCTCTGTTCAAGTCATTGTCACAGATTTTAGTCTTCTCCACAGAGTAAAGAAACTTGTTCAGCATAAGGTTAAGAGTGTGTGTATATATATATACCCCTTGACGGCGACATTGTAACGAATCCACATAAACGCTGCGGAAAACTAATGGTTTACACTGTGGTTGCTTCCGGTAGTTGTATATGATTTCCCTGAAAGTCAGATTCATTTGGGATATCTACAAGGAAATTCATGGAAAACGTGTAAGCAGAAGAGAAGCCATTATAAACCAGATGACATATAGTTAAGACCTTTGAATCACTCTACTCACCTTGGCCACTCCGTAGAAGCAACAAAGAATGATCTGGTCAATGTGACGACTGAATAAAAGAGAAGTCCGCTGAGCAAGTACATGTTGGAAGAAACAATATACACTCTCCCTTGTTTGCTGCGAAAGTTGTAGCCTTTCCACCATTCCATTGATTCTGACAGCAGCCAATTTATTAATCTGGCAAAAGAGCCACCATATAGTGAGTAGGACATTTAACACATTTGCCAGCCGAAAATAATGAATCAATACCATGTTTTACAGTACATGTAACCAAACGATTAGTAGTAGATCCAAAGATCTCCCAGACCTACCTTTGTGAAGAAAATATTGATTCCAGTTTCTGCACAAGTTTCTCCTCCGCCTCCTGGGTTGGGCCGTGTTGGGCTGTGGACATAAATCCGTAGAGGTAAACTTAACAAGTACAGGGACAACTAAATAGGTAAACTAACTCTCCATTTCTACTCATAATTACTAAAAATGAACCTGGCAAATGCAGACTGCAACGGAGGTGGCAGCATCTTGGATTTAACGTTGCCTAAGGCCAAGAGACGATCCTTTACTGGTGATGTAAAGGAATTGCGTTCAACTAGAATACTGCGGTAATCAGTACATAACCTTTTGGGCGATCTAATCCCCCCATTTTGTCCTATATGGCAGCGAATTGTCATTTGGTAAGAAAATCACACCATTAACAGCAGGTTGGAAAACTGCTTTAATTCAGAAACCAATATAATTACCTGGAAAAGTCTCATGCTTTTGAATAGATGATGCATGATTTACTCCTTCAGAGAAGTTAATAAGTGCTGCAATTGCATCCAGAGATGGCATCGGTTCAGCTAGTAAACCGAGCTGATTTATCTCCAATGCAAGTGATGGCCTGGCAACAATCAGAGAATTGTACATTGAAGAGCCTTTCTCCCATACCATACTCTCTAGAAGCCGTTCCTCCAGTGAATTCAGATGTCGTCTCAACTCTCTAGGCAGAGAATCCTCATGTCGGATGAAACTCTCTATTACCTTGCTGAGATCAAAGGCTGTGATCCCAGTCCTCTCCAGAACAGCTGGGAACAACATTGTAATTGTTTTGTGGGTAGCCAGTACCAATTCAGCTGAGCAAGCAAGCATGCATCTATGGAACCTCTCATTTGTCAATAAAGAGTTCAGATTATTTGCATGCAAAATCTGAGCTTCTGCTTTACACATTGCCTCAAGAACTCTGTAGTATAACTTGAGAGCTTCCAATCTCCGCTGCTCTGCCCATATGTCATCCATCAGGTCAACAGCTTGCAAACTTTCACCTCCACATTGGGCACCAAGGGAACTATTTGGAAATATAGCTTCCAATATTATGTGTGCTCTTCGTGTGACGTCATTTGTTATATCCCTGTCACATGATTTAAGGAAATGTTTCAATCCAGGAGAAGGTTTTGGCAGAAGCGGGCATATGACAGTCCTGAGCCACTTGGCAGTTGTCATTGCTGTGCTCACTGGTGTTGCTGCCAACTTGTTAGCAGCAGGCGACTTATGAGGAGAAAGTGGGCTGATAAATGTCCTTGCAGGTGAGCTCAAAGCATCAATTTTCCTCTTAACACCAGTAATATTTACAGCTCCAGCAGATAAGCTTCCAGATCCAAGTAAGCTATCCTCTTCATTGATGAATACCCTCTCATCGAGTTCGCCTTTACTATCGTCGTAATCCTTTTCTAGTGTAATCAAGAAAGTTGAGATGGACGTCTCCTCCAGTAAATCCTCAAAGTAGGTCAAGCCATCTGCAGTAAAACACCATAGATTCGAAGAACAATCAGGCAACTGTTCAAACTCACATGATTCTTTAATTGAAGAAGGAAAATGATTTTAGACCAACCAGGGTCAATATTATCTAGCTTGTCAGTTTGGCAATCAGATGCTGGAGATGGCTTTTTCTTCAATATGGTTTCTACCAAATTATTTGCCTTGTCAATTACTATCCTCAACTCATCTTCTGAGGCGTCATATATCTTGCAAAGTGATGCAACCAAGTCTACACCTTTGTCACCTTTCTTAACTGAGATTCATCACATAAATAAAAAGAGAGGATAAACATTCTATGCTGCCATGGTTATAGGGATACAAGAAAAGATAAACACTCACCAAAGCGAGAAGAATCTTGGATGCTGAAATTTCTAAACCGACAAGGAACATGTATGATCAAAATAGCCTGATAACATGAAAAGGAGTTAGCCTATACTTAATTGCATTATTTTAAAAGAAGCATCTTTCAAGTAATAATGTACAGCAAGACTAAACTGAATGAAAGATTAGGGAGAGCTCCACAAGTAGTCACTAACCAATATAGAAACTACGCCATTTGAGCAAGTCACGAGGTCCTTAAATCGACTAAACGCATGGTTTCGGAGTGCCAAAAAGAGTAGCCATCCAAAACGATAACTATCCAGCAAATAGGTAGAAGAGTTTGCTGAGTTCTTTTCTGCGTTTGCATCATATGTCAAGAAGAATTCACGGAACCCACGTTTGTAGTATCTGTTACCAAGGAAAGGGTACCAAAAACATCATTCTTTAACATGTCCTTAAAACAATTCACATGAAAACCAGAAATCTGCAACTCTGAATCTTAATTAATTAAATTTGATGGAAAACTGCAAGCCCATCTTCTGATTATTGCATAGGAAGAAAATTTGCTTCTAAGTATCAGGTCTAAAATGAAATCTATATCAACAACTATTCTTCCACAAAACAAAGATAAATGTAAAGAGTGCAACATAGGAAGGGAGCTAAACTCACTTGCTTAGAAGGCTAAGATGCACAAAGTTAGCCTGCAACTCCTTTGCCTAGTAAGTAAAAATTAGTTAATAGAAGCATATTTGACACTGATATATTAAAAGTAAAAGTATATTAAGAGAGGTTAGGCAGTACCTGAAGTCTGTTCTCCCAGTCTGCGCCATAAAGTTCACCTAGCACAGATCCAGCCTTGACCACAAACTGAGGTAACTCTTTAAAAAAATCCACAATACTGAAAACAGAAAAGAGGAATATCGTCACTACTAATGAATTAAAGAATGACAAGGAAGGACGAATTGAGCATTACTTACTTTAGCTTCAGAGCCCTCAGTATCTGACATAGATTAAACCCATTATCACCAGACACTGACTGACCATCCGCTTCTTTTCTCACACTAAGCCTCTTCACCGAATAGAGAATAAACGCAAACCAGAACCTCTCTACTTCCTCCCGCTAATAAGAAGAACAAAAAAGAATTTAGTCATAGTGAATCATACAGTTAACTGATAAGGAGAAGTTAGAGAAAAAAAAAAAAATTTCACCGTTCCACTTCCAATGTTAGACATGCTTGCTGACAAAATTCGTTTGGTTTCTGTAAACAACTTCAAAGCTTCATCGCAAGTGCTCCCATCAAGAGACAGAACTTTCTGCAATAAGATATCAAATACAGAGATTAGAGCTAACTCAATGATATCTTCATCTAAACACATGCAACCAGATCACCAAAGAGAAGAGTAAACCTCGCATATGTCCAAAAGAGACGCTTCGCTTCTTTTCCCATTAGGGTCAATGGGCGGGGTCACTGGAGGCTGAACTTCTTCCATAGTCTCCAACGCAGCTGAAAACATGCAAAATCAAGCTAAATTTTACTTCCAATTAAACTGCTAACTGAAGAAGAAAAAAAAAGACTTTTCAATTTATTAATTTAATCACATTGAAATTCAATAGGAACCATGTCAAACCCATTCTGAAGAACACACTGAACAAATACTCGTCATATATGAGAACACAAACTCGCAATTTCCCGAAACAAAATTTGGGGGAAAAAAGGAAAAAAATTGAGGAATAATCTCAAACCCACCACTCCGAGCAAAAATTACCCAGATGTTAAATCCTTCAAATTTTTCTTTTTTTAGAGAATTCTCTCGAAGTTACTATCGAATAGCGAAATATCAATAGAAAAATTCAGATAAACCACTCAGAGGACAAAATTCAAAACCAAGGAGATGCAATAAGAGAAAGATCTTACCTTTTTGTGTCACAGATCCCAAAACCAAACGTCGCCGATTAAAGCTGAGCAGAAGATCTAAATTTTTAACAAGTCCGACTTCTAACGCCTCCTCCAAAAAATTCGACAAATTCAGAAGAATCACAGAGATCTCCGCAAACCCTACTAATTTCCCTCCTCTTAAGTGCCTCTCTCTATCTTCACCTGACTTCTCTCTCTCTCTCTAGAATGGGGTCTGATTATGCGGCAAACCCTAAAAAAGGATATATCTCGCGCGGGAAAAACAACACGGAGAATACATACACATGCGTATACAATTATATACGCGCGCTTTCATCCACTCATTAATCGACACGTACCCCTCTGTGACCCAATTTTACCGCCAAAACTTACTTACTGTTGCGTGAAACACTGGGAGGGAAAAGATTCGCCGTCACGGCGGGGTTAAAACAAACGGAGTGGGCCATTAACGCCGTCTGGATTTTCGTGACCGCGACAAAGCCTCGTGTGAGTTATGATTGGGCCCACTCTTAATACGACACCGGTTCTAGTTTAGGTCTCACGGTAAATTACATATTTGCCATTTTAGAACGTTTGGTTGCAGGAGTGTGAGTGTCCTATACGTGGATAGATTCGGATTAAGACTTCTTGGTCATCTTCGAGTGTGAGTGGATGCACTAACTTACCAGAGAGATCAGATATTTTCGGACACAGGGCAAATTCCTAGTGGATCATGGCGTCATCATCTGATCACACGGCAAAGATAATCGACGGAAAGGCGATTGCTCATACCATCCGATCAGAGATCGCCGAGGAAGTTCGCGGTCTATCTGAGAAACACGGCAAGGTAAACGCATCTTATGAATCAGTGTCTTAATATTGATATCTCTCTCTTTATAATCGTCCTTTTTTCCTTGATCATATAAGATGATAGGAATATTTGAAATTTACTCTCTTTTAGCTTTATGGTTCAAAATGCGTAGATTTAAGCAGCTGTGATCACAACCTTCTCTTGAAAATGCTTAACAAGCTCAAATGTGAGCTCCATTTTAGTTAGCTCAATGACAAATGCGTCTGCTTTGGTACACAAAAACGGTTATTTTGTGTGTTTCACTGTTCTTTTGTTTTAGTGAACTTTATCTGCCTGCATTACTTCAAGTAGCATACTATCTGTCTAAATATCATACAGATAGTGTGCTAAGTTTATATCGTTTGATATCATTGTAATAAAGGAGAAGGGAAGAGAGAGTGTAAACGGATGGTTGAATCTATTTGTTTGTATGCTTCGATTGAAGACCTTAATAAAGTTTCAAGATTGCGCAAGATTCAATCCATTCTGATTTTACCTTCGTGCAGGTCCCAGGACTAGCTGTAGTTATTGTTGGTAGCCGAAAGGATTCACAGACCTATGTGAATACGAAGAGGAAAGCATGCGCTGAGGTTGGAATTAAGTCATTTGATGTGGGCTTACCAGAGGAAGTTTCTGAAGCTGATCTTATAAGCAAAGTTCATGAACTGAATTCAAATCCGGATGTCCATGGTTAGTTGTGGCAGTAAATAATACTTGATTTTGTATGTCTTCTCGGTTATCATTAGTCTAAACTGTGAAGGATAGATGGAAACTTTAATGTTTATACAAGTCTTTCGTTTTGGTAAAGCAAACAATCCTTGCTCTCATGTTCTTATATAAGCTTTAATACTTGATTTGCAGGCATATTAGTTCAACTCCCATTGCCGAAACATATTAATGAGGAGAATGTTTTGGGAGCAATCAGCATTGAAAAAGATGTTGATGGCTTCCATCCTTTGAATATTGGTAAGCTAGCCATGAAAGGCAGAGAACCCCTCTTCCTTCCTTGCACCCCAAAGGTACTTCTCCTTCTTTGCATACAGACTTCAGTCTCTTTTAAGAAAATTTTGGCTAGAAATTTCCGTGTCATGTTCTTTTTCTGGATGAACAATGAGGTTATTTGTTGTGTGTACAGGGATGCTTGGAACTCTTAGCGAGAAGTGGCGTAAAGATAAAGGGGCAACGAGCAGTTGTTGTAGGTCGGAGTAATATCGTTGGTTTACCCGTTTCACTTTTATTGCTCAAGGCTGATGCTACTGTTACAACTGTACATTCTCACACCAAGGATCCTGAGGCTATCATACGGGAAGCTGACATCGTTATTGCTGCTTGCGGACAAGCCCACATGGTGATTTTCAGACATTTCCATTATCATTTAGAATAAAGTCCAGTCTACCTCTTGTAGATAAATGTGAATAGTTTTATCAATTCAAAATACACTCTCTCGTCTTGACATTTCAGATTAAGGGCAACTGGATAAAGCCAGGGGCTGCGGTAATCGATGTTGGAACTAACGCAGTCAGCGACCCGAGCAAGAAATCAGGATACCGGTTGGTTGGAGATGTCGATTTTGCAGAAGCTTCTAAAGTTGCAGGTTTCATAACTCCGGTCCCTGGTGGTGTAGGCCCAATGACAGTGGCAATGCTTCTCAGGAACACAGTAGATGGTGCCAAGCGTGTCTTTGGCGAGTAAAACATTCTACTGTATGTAATAAGGAAACCAGAGTTTCTCCATTCTGTAATTGTGTACTTGGCTTGATGATATTTTTCCACTCAAATAAATTGAAATTGGCTTTCCCTTTGGATTACTTTACGTCGTTTTGCAACTAGCTAGAATGATTATTTCTGCAAATCAATACAATAAGAGGGTGCCATCATGTGACTCAAAAGCATGTATGTTACTTGTCTGCATTGACCCAAGATCATGTACAATATATCATTGAAAATCTTAAAAGAGAATATGATCCCATTACAGGAAGAGTTTAGCACGGTGAAGTTAAAGCATGCCCAAGGTATGGCAAACTCCAAGTTCCATGGATGCTACAAGCGACACTGAAACTATCACCTAATTTAGACGCTCTTGGTCTAGCTGAAATAGTCAACACTAACAGTAGATTTCCTGCATACCACTGACAATGGCAGATGCATTCGAAATAAACTTATGATGCTTTCTGCAATAAGAAAAAAGAGCATGCTTTGTAAGTAAACAAATTGAACGAAAAAAGGAGAAGATAGTGACTAAACTGTGAAATCCAAACCTGCACTGGGAGATACAGCTTGAATTCCGGAGGAAGCTCCTCTTCTGAGTAGAGACGGTCAGCAAAATATATGCGCCTAAGGCGGCAGTTAGCATGAATCTGAACTCGCAATGTCTCAGCATAATTAGTTCCATAAGCTCTCCTAGTAAGATCAGCTAAGTTAAGCTGGATTTGATTCCATCCCTCGTCCATCTTCAGTGGCATTGTGCAAATATATGGCTTTACTCTAGTGACGGCCTACAAAAAAATTGTTCAATACAAAACATCAATACTAGTGCCTAGGATTTTAGCATAATACACAAAGTGCAGCAGATCTAATGTAGTGACAACAACTGTATTTACAAGCTTATTCAAAGATTAGACGATTGGTATCTTTCTGAGAAACGAAACTAAACATTATCCAGAAGCTACCTACTAATCTATTGTGTGACATCAGACTAAGCCACTGATAAGAAAGAAATTGCTTGAAGAAAATAACCAATAACCTAAAGGCAGCATCAAAACTACAGAAGACGTCCTGCTTAGATAACACATTCAGATGAACTAGTGAAGACTGAATAAGCAAAGGGAAAGACATACAGACTTGAAAGTTAGAAGCGCGGAAACGGCGGCGAACATTCTTGTCATCCAGAATCTGAATCTCGAATGAGAAATATTTCTTCATATTCTTCACCACCAAGACCAAAAAAGGAAGTTTGATACCAAGAGTTGCGGAAAGATCAGCAGGACATGTAATATATGTAGACTGGATGTTTGATCCAGCTACTTCAAGCACATTGGATTGAATATCATCATCATGGCAACGCTTCACATGCCCATCCACAACTATTAATCAAAAGAAAAAATAAAGATACTTTAGCTGAACCCTAAATTTGATGAAACTTGTAGAGAAATTGCAGCTCAGATCATCAATAATTAGCTGATTGGGGACAAAAATCACACTATCAAAGATTAAAATTAAGCTAAAATTTAGAGTACTTATTATTATACAATCAATAGCTCACCTTCTTTATCCCATATCTGCAGAGGCTTGCTTCTGCAAAAAAAAATCAAAACCCTCCATGATTAAGAACACATCAAACGATTCCAATTAATTAAAAGGAAAAAAAGTAGCATAAAGACATACCCTAGACTGTACAAAATAGACAGAAACCCAGACTGAAACGTGTTCTTGAACATCTTCTTGCTTCTCCGAATCCGAGAAGAAAGCTCGTAAGACTCATCGTAATAATAAAAGTAGTAGCTACCAAATTCCTCGTTTTAAAGGCTTGGGCCTCGGCCCACTAAGAAGCCATGAACTATTATTACTAGTACTACTCTTTGAGTTGAATGAAGATAATAGATTGCCATTTTTTCTAATATAATAATATGCGCTTCAGCTGGATAAACCCAACGTGGTATTCCACCCGCTAACCACATGCCACGTGTCTTCTTCTCCACAAATAAAGTGCCACGTGTAAACTAGATATCGGCCAAGAAAGACACGTCTCGGTGCGTAAATGACTAGTTTATCCTCTAACAACCGCGTTATCTTCGCACTGCTCATTAAGGTCATTTTCGGAATGACACATAAGGTAGGGTCTTAAATTCAGCAACTTGCAGAGTTATTAATTTTTCCAATGCCGACTTTTGAGACAAGAAAAGATATGAGAGTACACTTGGACCAATGAGAAGAGTGCTTTAGATGGAGGAAAGATCAGAGCCACAAATCTCGTCTATGAATTCTGAGCCACGAAAACAAGATCTACCTCACGCGCCCTTTATCTCACGCGCTTCCCCTTACTTGTGGTGCCATCTCTTACCTCCTCAGAAGTTGAAACAACAATACAAACACATTCGTCTTCTCTCTCTCTCTCTCTTCTCTTGGTCTTTTTTTGCTTATAGTTGAAGAAAATTTAATCAAAGGCTTTTCTTGATTTTTGAACCACACATCTTACTTCATCTGAGAGTTTCTGAGTTTTGGTCTGATCAAAATTCTCTCATCCGTTCACTTACTACAAAGTGAGTTTCTTTCTCTCTGTTCTTGTTAGATTTGAAATCCGTACATTTTTCGATTAGTTTCTGAAAGTAGTGAGCTTTATTTGTTCATTCATCAGGTTGATAGATCGATCTTTTGATTATGGATTGTTATGCTGGAAGGAATTTTGAAGAGCTTGTTGTGCCTAGTTATCAAGAATCATCATCAGAGACATACCCATCTACTGGTATGTGGGGTGGATGGAACATGAGCCCCCCTGAAGCAGCTGAGAAATGTTTCGATTACGATGGTTTCAATGGAGGAGGAATGATGTATAGTCAGATGGGTATGAGGACGAGTGAAGAAGAAGAAGAGTCTAAGAGATCAAAGGCTTTCTACGGTGCTTCTTCACTTCACGATTTCGAAGGAATCGAACAGATGGATGATATATTCTTGTACATCTCTCAATTCTAATAAGTCTCTTTTTACTTATTACCATTTGCATAGACTTGTGTTTTCTGATGTAATTGCTTTTTCTCTTTGGTTTTCCGGTTTGACTATAGAAGTTCAATTTTGGAGGATGTTCCAGAGGATGATGGAGATGTTCACCGTGCGTCCAGCAGCAATAACAGTGTCGGTTCTTCTTCTATGTATGGTGGTGGTGGGGAAGTCCCTATGTTCCATTGTCATGACATGTCTTTCAAGGTAAGGGATTTGTCTATTTTACTCGCTTACATGGTGTTAATTTAGAGATTCTGATTTTAATCTTATCCTTTTTGTTTCTGGTTTGAAGGAGGAAGCTCCATTTACAATCTCGGATCTGTCTGAAGAGAACATGTTAGATTCAAACTATGGGGATGAACTGTCTTCTGAAGAACTCGTGTTGCAGGATCTACAAAGGGCTTCACAAAAGGTCAGTTACCGATGATTTTGCTTGTAACCTTCCTTACATTTGAAATGCCTGTCATCATTGACACATAAACTTGCTTTGCATACTAGATTTTGTCTGATAAATCTTGTTCTTGCTTTCTAGTTGACCAATGAGACACGCAAATGTTTCCGGGATACCTTTTACCGACTTGCAAGGAGCTCGCAAGATAAATCGGATTCAGTCAGCCCCAACTCGGAAGAGCTGCTTGTGCAATCGTCTAGATATGATTATGGTGATGGAAACAGGTACATATCATATCTTTTTTCCTGATCTATACTTGAAAGGAAATCATCTTGGTGTTCATAGAATCATAGGATCAAAAAAATCTTTATTTTCTTCTGGATCTTTAGATTCTTATGATAAGACTGATCAAAGTGACAGCTATTTGATTGCAGGTTGAGTAGAGAGGAAGAGATAGAATCTGAAACGAATTCAATCGATAGAGCCGTCGCAAACCTCACATTCAACAAAATGGAATCCAACATAAGCAATTTTCCTCTGTCGGAAAGAGTACAGTAGCTGCCATTGATCAAGATCAACCATTTGGCGCCTCATCATCGTCCTATGAAGTCTTCTGTTACCATATGAAGTCTTCTGTTCCGCTGTCGGAAAGAGTACAGTAGCTGCCATTGATCAAGATCAACCATTTGGCGCCTCATCATCGTCCTATGAAGTCTTCTGTTACCATATGTGTATAAATGTGTGTATATATAGATGACTTAATGTTGCAAGCTTCAGTTTTGATCTGTCAAAAGAATCTGCTCCCTTTTAATTCCTGCAGTATGCTTTCTACAAACAATGCCTGATGGCCTTGAGACTTACTTCTCAATATGAATAAGAGCATCATGTTTCAATGAACACCTAATCATTGTCTCAAGTGTCAACCATAAACCAGTAAAATAGTCGAAACAAATAATTGATAGGTCTTTAAGTGAACAATCAGGAAAATTTTGAGTTTTTGAATGATTCAAGCAAAACCATAAAACAGGAAGTAGGAGGAGCCAATGAATTATAACATGAGACAAGTAGATGGCTCCAGCAAAACCCTACCCATGTATTAAAAAGGTCAAAAGCCAATGTCATTATCTAACTTTTACTGCCTCCACTTCATAGACAAGCCACGCATTCTTAGGCACCTTTTCCTTCAATCCCTTTTTTGAGTACCTGCGTTTATCACATCCAGAACAAGAAACACAAAGCAGGTGTGTAAACGCAGTTAGATTGTGTCAACTCAGTTTAGTATGCTGAGATGAAACATCAAGACACGGTCAACTGAAACCATTATGACATACCCGAGGGATGGCGGAATTATGAGTCTTCTCTTATCACCAACTCGCATTCCTGAAAATTAGAAATGCAACCGTATTCTTTAAAAGGTACCAAAATTTATGAATTTTTAGTTGAAATCATCTATGGGTTAAAGGCAATATACCTTCAGCACCAATGCTGAGACCTTCTATGACATTTTCTCCACCTGCAAGCAGCATTATAATTAATGACAAAAAGTAACAAAAAGCTAATTGTGTTTGAGGATGGGAGAAAAAGCAATTATAACGAGGATTCTACGATATCTACGAAATCTTTACCTAAGCGGAATCTTAGTGGAGCTTCTCCCAAGTTTGAATCAAACAATTTCCCAGTGTCTTTCAACTTCCCAGTATAGAGTATACTGACCTGAAAAAACAATCAATCGTTTTAAAGAATTCCAACCTAATGGTGCTGAGAATTGAGACAGCATCAAGGTAGCACGCGACGAAGAAGTAGATAAGATGTCAAAAATACTCACCTTTTTCCCTTTAACAGCTGATTTTCCATCTAACTTTCCTTTTTCAATCTCTTCAATGATCACTCCATTTGATAAAGTCCTCGTTTCTAGTGGTTTCTTAGTACCAACTTCTTTCTCAATGTTCCTATTCATTATGGAAAATACAATTTATAGGACTGGTTTATAACCTAAATACCAACAAAACTCAAAATAGTACCCACTCAAACCCAAAAGAAAAACTAAAAGAGACAATTTAAGCAGAAGCTTGTCTCAGGAGCCCGGTTTCTAGTGGTTTCTTAGTAGCAGCTTCTTTCTCTATGTTCCTATTAATTATGGAAAATACAATGTATACGACTAGTTTATAACCTAAATACCAATAAAACTCAAAATAGTATCCACTCAAGCCCAAAAGAATAACTAAAAGAGACAACTTTAGCAGAAGCTTCTCTCAGGAAACTAGTTCATCAGACCGTTTACCTTGTATTTGCATATAATTATTTTTCCTTCTACCATATTTTCAACTGAATTTTCTACCTAGGTAGCAAGGTAAGACTCACTTGTCGATAGCTTGTTTCTTCTTCTCTGGACATTCAACTAGATTTTCTGGGACATCTGTAGTTTCCTCTCTCCTATCCCTTTTCCTCTTTTTCTTTGATAGAGTTGCATCACCATTCTGAGAGAGTAATACATCACTTGATGATTTGATCCCCCTGTCATGTGCGAGACATGATATATTAAATGCCGAATAAAACAGAGAGCTTTAATACCAATGAGGAAATATGTGCATTTAACAATGATATAAACTTTCTAATAAATGGGAATAAACCACTTGTATATGAAACGTCAACTTCTGAAGAATAGGAGTAACCTTTTCACTTTCACTGGATAAGAACTACCCAGTAAGCACACTTGACCAATCATTTAAAACCAGCGACTAATTTGAATGTATAAATAAATAATGTTCGATATCGATTTACTTGTATCATAAACAACAACAAAATTCCATTCCGTGCTATCAATTCAACGTAGCATCTTCTAAAATCCGGAATAGCTAGCAGAAAACATTATCTATTCAACAGTATGGTACCACTCACTTGTCAGTAACTGGCTTCTCATTCTGAAGACTTTCAGGCATATTTTTCCCCTCTCCGTCATCTGATTCAATAATTATCGCTGAACTCTTAGACCTTTCCTTGTTTCTTTTTTTCTTCGAAAGAATTTCACAGCCTTTCTGGACGGGAGAAAGTTTAGCATCATCCAATGGTCTATCCTCCCTAGCATATTAAACATATTAGATTTATAAAAGCTTAAAATTTGGTCTGCAATGGGTGAAACTTACTTACCTTTTATCCAGAGTCTTGTGAGTATGAGGTCTTCCTTCTGATGTCTTCTCACACTTGGCATTAGGCTCACCATTTTCCAAAGTAGAACTTCTTGCCTTCGACCTCGTAACCCTTGAAGGTAGAGGACTCTCTGAAGAAAGGACCTTGGCGATCTTGTGCTCATTACCATTGTTAAGTATTTCTACAGAATCCTCATTGCTAGATTCACCAGCTCTACCCGAAGTTTCATCAGAATCTGAATCAGAGACTTGAAACTTCTTCCTTAGCCTTCCACCTCTTCCATTTTTTTTCTTGTCTTTTGTTTTAGCTGCCATCTCCTTAATAGATACTGGAAAGGAAACAAGAGTATCAAGAAATGGACATACAGTATCAGAAAATAAACAATGTGCAAATACCCCATCTAATTTCATGGAAGAAAATCGCGAGATGCAGATCAATACAAGTATTACATGGAGAAGCTTCATACTGCTTTCTCCACCAAAAGACACTAGTCTAGAGAATCAAACTAAACGAAAACTGTGGTTAACTCACAAAGTCCAATGCAACTAGAGTCAAGGAAAAGGCTGCAGAACAATACCCATATAGAACTCAAAATTGCTATGTATGTGTAAGTGCGAAATAAATAGTCAAGCAAAGTATTATAGTCAGACTACAAAATAACTCCCAGTGTATTTGTAATTCTGAAGATAAATTTATATCCACAAAGCAAGCATAACATATAACTAAAAGGTAAGAAGACACCATAAAAAAAGATACGAAATGGCGTACTTTCATCATCATCAGTACTAGACACGTGTGAACCACGGCCAGGTGGATCGTCGTCGTTAATGAAACTATCACTGTAGTCATAATCATCACTGCTACCTTTCTCCATGTCTGTGTCAACAATGTCTTCTCCATATGACTCTCTTTCGACTAAGTCAAGGATACAATATAACAATCTAAGAACCAATAATCCAAATGCACTTTAATCTAAATTCGATAAGAGGATACGATTCATCATCATTTGGCCTAATACCGGTACTCCTTCCGAGGAAGTAGCCAGTGAGGTGAACACTCCGAGGTCCGATGACAGAGAAGATAACTTCATCAGTTTCTTCAAACTCCAGATTCAGTTGGCAAGAATCAACCTTGTCGGGAGACAAGACACATAACAAGAGGGGACTTTTGTTCCCAACGTTACACTGTAGAATGCTTTTAATGGTTGCAGTACCATGGCCCAATGTCGCCTAAAGCAAAGATAACCAACCAAGGATCAGCCAAGTAACTCCACTATGAGCTACATATCAGTCTCCCTACCCTAATTCATATCTATGTAAAACTTTCTACCACGTTTAAACACACCGAAATCAATAGCAGGCATAAGAAATTAATCAAACAAGCGTTACAAAATCTGAAAAAAATCAACGAAATTAAGATAAAAGACCTGGGAAAGGTGAAGTCTTCTGATTCCTGTTGCTTCAGTTTTCTTAAGAGTGAAAGTTTTTCCTGGCTTCACTTCAACTCCTGCAAACAAACAAATCGTTCATCAACGCCAAGCTCCATTGAAAAAATTAGGTTTTTTTTTCTCAATCGGTGATTCTTCATATTTGTTTTGGGTTCAAAAGAAAAGAAACGGTGAACACACCCCAGAAAGCCATGGAATTTGGACTAAGAACGAAAGATAATCGTAGAAGAAAGAGAGACCAACGCCGACCCTTTGGGTTTCTCCGTTCTGTGTCGAGGTTTTTGTTGGCGAGGGTTTTATTTTTTGCCGCCCTTATTAATGTATTTATTGTTAATGCCCAATGAGGTTTAACCTTTTATGAAGAATTTTTAAATTTGACAAACATAAAAAGAAATATTAATTTATTTTTTAGGACAGTAAGAGGAAGAAGAAGAAAAATAAATTTTTAGGAAATATGAAGGAATGAATTAAAAAAAAGTTAATTTTGTTTTCTAATATATTTTATATTTCAAAAAGTTTTTAAAAATCACAAAGAATAAACTTTGAGAAATGTTCCTAACTCCTTAACTTTTCGGAGCTTTTTTCAAGTTTCTTTGGTCATGTATAAATTGTTTTTTGAATTATGAATTTATGATACTTTTAGTGGACAAAATATATAAATTGTTTAGGAAACTTATAAAAATTAGTGAAGATTAGAAAAACCTCTATAAATGTCGGCTCGTTAGTGATATACTCCAATTCTGGCACATTTTTCTATTTCTAGCGATTGCATACAAACGAATTGCGGAGTAACTAGCAAATGACCATAACACTTCCAATTACAATCACTATTGATGTACCAAGATGATCTTGTAAACAGCGCTTAATGATTAATCCAAATGACGTTACAAAAAAGGATCATTTGACCAGCACTTTTTGCAATGGAAATGGCAATGATGTGGCCGGACAACAAGTTCTAGTAAACAACTTCCAATATGAATCACATCTTCTTTCAGTGTTAATATATTTAGCTACATTATTATTTAGTCTTAAGAGGATGTACTAATCTCATCTCATCTTCAACCGACTATGAAGAAAACAGAACAAACATCACTTTGTATCAAAATTCACTCATTGTCTTTAGCTACCAACACCATAACCATCCAGAATCAACAACAACAAACTCCTCCAAAGTGAGATTCTTTAATGGTAAAATCTTATATCCATAATCTTGAACTCTGTGAGTATACAAATACATACATACATAAACAAAAGCATTACACATTTCAAACACAAAAGCAACAACAATTCACAATCTCTCAAGTCTTTCTTAATCCTTAGGCCAAACACTAACCTTTTCCTTCTCAATCTTGACAAACATAGCAGAAACAGCCGCAACGAAATAGATCTGAAGAAACACCACAGAAGGCGTGTGGTAATTCAACACACTCTTACCCGTCGCAAGCTCAACTAGAAGCAAAGCCATGAGCCCTAATCCCGCAATCCTCCCGTTGATCCTTTCACTGTACGGGCTAAACCCTAATTCCACTTTCAAACCACCTGAAACCGCCTCTTTTAAGCTTACCGGCGGCAAATACATTCCCGAGCCTTTTGACGGAGACCCACTTGACCCTTTCTTCGATTTTCTCACTTCTGCTTTCTTACCCGTCCCGCTTCGATATCTGAGTCTGATGTTTGAGAGACGAGACTCGAATTGGTCCGGATCAGTGCCGGATTCTGACTGGGTTGTTTCCGGGTCCGGTTGAGTCTCTTCCGTGGACTCAACTTCGGTGGCGCGGACGGTAAAGAGTCTCGGAGCATTGGTTTTTTCCGGCGGGATTAAAACGCAGAGATGGGAATGGGTTCGTGATTCGTAGAGGTGTTATCGCCATTTTTTTTAAGAGCTTCGCGTCTCTCTCTCTATCACTCTCCTCCTATGACCTGTTTGGATAAGAAAATATATTTTTCAGTTTTTCCGGTTTCTTTTCTTTTTAAAACTTTGACATTTTGTTTATAATTTTGTGAGAACACCACTAAATATTTTTTTGTGGTGTTCATTTTTCTGAATATTATAGGTTACTTTACTAGTGATTTTCTTCAGCCAAAAAAAAGCAACACCACTAAATTTACAGATTCCGAAAAAGAAAGCATATTCAATCTTTGAAATCTGCAATTTACCTTAATAACAAACTGTATAATTCAATATAATCTCCCAAATTTACACGACGCATTTATTGTAAAACAGTTTTTTTGGTGAATAAATTTTACATTCATACAAAAAAAAAAAATATATAATCTCCCAATATATACGAGGATTTCAAATTTTATATACAGTAACCATAAATTTGCTATGGGAAAATAAAAAAATTCGATTCTATTCATTTTACTACAGAAATTTTGTGAACCCATAATTCGATAGAGGGCTATTTCGTAAATAGATAAAGTTAGGAGGTTGATTTTTGTAAATAATAGGAAATGAAAGACATTGAACACAGATGCGAATATGCGATTGACATGAAGATGTGTCTTCCTCTTCCCTTGTTATCTTACCAAACCGAAGTCTCTGATAATTTTCCCGACAGAAATTTCGTCTGAGATAAATGGCTACATTTGCACTTCCCTTCTGCGAAATCCCCGAAGATCTCCAGCTCCGCATCTTGTCCTTCCTCTCACCAGCAGAGATCTCCAGCTTCGCCTGCACATCTAAACGCTTCGCCTCGCTATGTCAAGAAGACGGCAAAATCTGGCACGTTATGTGCGATCAGAGATGGGGCCAGAAAACGAAGATCCAGAAATGGGGAAATGGTCAAATCCCTTATAGACTCCTTTACAAGACTCTAAAGGGATTGGATAATCTTATTGGATTCTGGCGTCTCTGCGGCAGAGCAAATCCCGCAGCTTCATCGCCACCGCTTGTTTTCTTCGATTGGGGTCCTTCTTTTGTATTGGGATCTAGAGTTTTATCCACCGGAGATGAAACTTATCAGGTAAAAAAGACACCTTTTCTCTTAATGGGGATTTCGTCGGAGGGACGATCTGAGAATTTCTTGGATCTCGTCGGTGGTAATCTCAGATCTGTGGATGATGATCTGAAAGAATTAGAAGCTTCTGACAATCTCGTCTCTGTGGATGTGAATTTCATGGGGAATGGTCATATCATTGTGGAGGAGAATCGATGCTTTACCAACAACAGTCTTAGAGAAGAGCAGAAGAGCTCAGGGGACGAGAGTGATGATTTGATCTCATCGCCCGATTTTTCGGAAATGTACACTCAATTGGCGAATAAGACGAGCCCAGGTGGTGACTGGAGGAGACAGAGGAGGAAGGAGAAGGAGAGGCAAGCGTCGAGGACTAAGTGGGAACAAGAACACTTTCTCAAAGTTGCTGATTGCTCCCCCACGCCTACTAAACCATTACAAGGCTTATGGAAGGTCTCAATCAAAACTCCTTATAGTTGATTTCAGCTTTATCATTATTATCATTGATAATGTTTGAAACTGAGTAAAGCCTTGTCTTTTAAGGTAACGGTGATGCAAAATTTGGTTTTTTCAAATCTAGTTGATTGAAAAGAACAATCTTTCATTGTTTATCTCCGTTGTGGTGATGGTGGTAGTGTTGTTAAGTAGTTTTCATCAGCTAATTGTAAATGATTGTTGAACTCGGCAGGGTTTCTGTGAGGGAAACATGGAGTTATATCTGGTCAAATACGATGAAGTTGGAGGCATTATATGCAGGAAAGTAGAGGACTTGTCTCTCTCACGGTACACTCCTCCTGTGTTCTGGACACCCAAACATGCGTTTATCAGATCTCCCTTTTCAGCTGAAGAAGAGCTGCTACTGAATAGTCGAATCCATATTAGCCCTCTCGCCGAAGTTCATGAAAATGTTGTATCTGGAATGTTGTACATGAAGTCTAGTTACGATATGGTGTTGCCAGGAGAAGCGGCCAATGGCATTGGTTTTCTTAGAGGTGAAGGGCGGGTCTGGTTGTATGAAAATGGGACTTTCGGTTTCGGGTTTCTTCGAGATCAATTTGTCATCGATATGAAACGTGTTGCCCTGGAAGATGGTTGTCTAGCTGACGAGGTAGAAGCTTCTATGTGATTTCTAAATTCTGATGGTGATGGATGATCACCGTTTTCTGTACATAAAAGAGTTTGGTGACTTTTGAACTTTCAAGTTTAGTCTCATTTTAGTCATCCTAAACTAGGATTGTGGAATATCGCCTTGTATTTCTTTGTTCTGTATAGATTCTGTAACAAATAAGAGATTTGTTTCAAAAATAAGAGAATTTGTGGATTTACTTGTAGAGGTTCATGTATCAATTGTTTAAAAAGGATAATAAATTTGCAGCACTGGTCAATATACTGTCAATGATGCGGTTTCTACAGCAAAACTTTTCCAGCTGCGTTTCCCATAGCCATGAAGCCACTTCCGGGGATGAAGTCCAATCTGCAAGGGTAATGCATCGTTGTTTGGTGGCTGCCAGTTTGAGAAGACAGTATATGGACAAGCTTTACGGTCTTTTTGTTCATCGTATAAACTAGCTAGAATATGAGCATCATGGTTGAAGAACTTCATGAAAAATTTATTTTGGGAGTGAGATTGTCCACTCTCTTTAACAGCTTTCTCTTTCCTCCCCACACACTCAAATTTCTTGAAGGTTTTACGATCCCTCTGTCCGTTTGCAAACTGCATCGAGAGTGCCACATGAGCTGCATTCATCGACACCTTTGTATAAGCATTTCATTGTACTCAGATCCCAGAGGTAGACCTGCTAAGCATCATCACTGAATGCTAAGGACCTGACTGAACCGTTGACAGATCTTTTGTTGTTGAGGACACAACTTTGTTGCCCACAAAAACTATGGTGTTAGAGTCTCTACCAACCAAAGGGCCAATTTTTGTCCCAAGTTAAAGCAGTGAAAGAACAATCTTCTTCTGGAGACAATGACATGATAAAAAAAACTTGGGAGTAGAGAGTCGATTTAGTAATATAGAGAAAGTTGGAGACTGTTTTTGTAAATAAAGAAAACAAAAAGTAAGAAAAGAGTACAAATATTTTAGTCATGCCATTGACCACACGAAGAGATGAGTCTTCTTTTTCTAACCTTCTTCTCACTTTCCCATTTCGCTTCTCTCTCTTTCCCAAATTACATCTCAATACACACAATCCAGCAACACCTTCTCTCTCTAACAGCTTCGAGCTTCACTCATGGCTGCTTCATCCTTTGTCGACGGTAACCAATCATTCTAATTTTACTTCACTTGTGTACACATCTTTCAACTTTTTCAGTCTTTTCCTTACGATCTAGAATTTTTTGATCCGATTTTGGTTATAGGAATTATATTCTTATTTGGTTTTCGTTAGGCAGAAAAATATATATATTCCCTTAGCTTTGATTAATTGATTTGCATAACTGTCGGAGAGAATCTTCAGACATGTGATCTTCATGGTCCCTCGTCTTGTCTGTGTAATACCGAACCACCCATATGTTTCACATGAATTTTGTATTATTATTATATCCAAAATGATATAAACTTGATTGATGGAATAATTGAATTTCTGTTTGGAGTCTCCCAAAATTCAGATAGAGATGTGTGTTTGTTGTATATATTCCAGATCTGGGTAGTTGAATTTTGAAGTTTTTGGTCTGTTGAAATTTTCAGGAGAAAGAGATATGGAGAAAGGAGGAATGATTTTACAGTCGAGTGAGAATCAAAATCCTATGATAGATCTTTCACCAACATCTTCACCCTCTGCAACTGCTACTGCTCCAGCTTTGGTTTTGTCTAACTCAGGCAAGAGAATGGATCCTTCACCAACACCTTCACCTTCTGCAACTGCTACTGCACCAGCTTTGGTTTTGTCTAATTCAGGCAAAAGAATGGATCAAGCTGGCAAGAAAAAGTATGTTAAGCAAGTCACGGGTCGCCACAACGACACTGAGCTGCACTTAGCGGCTCAACGGGGTGATTTGGATGCTGTACAGCAGATTCTCAAGGATATTAACTCTCAGATGGAAGGGATTCTGAGTGGGGAAGAGTTTGATGCTGAAGTTGCGGAGATACGAGCATCGATTGTGAATGAGGTGAATGAGTTGGGTGAGACGGCGCTCTTCACTGCTGCGGATAAAGGACATCTTGATGTTGTCAAAGAGCTGTTGAAGTATTCGAGTAGAGAGAGTATTGCTAAGAAGAACCGTTCTGGATATGATCCACTTCATATTGCTGCCATACAGGGTCATCATGGTAATGCTCGTCAACTCTTGGATTGGCTTTTGATCAAAATGAAGTTTCATAAACTTTCTCTTCTTTATGTAAACTACAGTATGTGAATAAGAATGGTTGTTTCTTGCAGCTATTGTTGAGGTCTTGCTAGATCATGATTCGACGCTTAGCCAGACATTTGGCCCATCGAACGCAACGCCACTTGTGTCTGCAGCTATGAGAGGCCATACACAAGTTGTGAACCAGCTCTTATCCAAAGCTGGGAATTTGCTAGAAATTTCTCGGTCTAACCATAAAAATGCCTTGCATCTAGCTGCAAGGCAAGGTCATGTGGAGGTCATAAAAGCTCTTCTCTCCCAAGATCCTCAGCTAGCAAGACGGGTCGACAAGAAAGGACAAACTGCACTTCACATGGCTGTTAAAGGGCAGAGTTCTGAAGTAGTGAAACTGCTGCTTGATGCAGATCCTGCTATTGTTATGCAACCGGACAAGTCTTGTAACACAGCGTTACATGTTGCCACCAGGAAAAAAAGAGCAGAGGTATGTATCACTGTTAGGGTGTGATTCAATTCGAGATTTTTGATTCGTTCTTCACATTTTGGCATATTCTTGCAGATTGTAGAACTTTTGTTGTCACTGCCTGATACCAACGCCAATGCCTTGACTCGGGAACACAAGACAGCGCTTGACATAGCAGAGGGGCTTCCCCTCTCAGAAGAATCTTCATACATAAAAGAGTGTCTTGCTCGTAGCGGGGCTCTTAGGGCGAATGAGCTGAACCAACCAAGGGATGAGCTAAGGAGCACTGTCACCCAAATCAAGAACGATGTACACATCCAGCTGGAACAGACGAAAAGGACGAACAAAAACGTGCACAACATTTCCAAAGAACTCAGGAAACTCCACAGAGAAGGGATCAACAATGCAACGAATTCTGTAACTGTTGTGGCTGTATTGTTTGCAACTGTAGCTTTTGCTGCTATATTCACAGTGCCGGGAGGAGACAACAATGACGGGTCAGCAGTGGTGGTGGGACGAGCATCATTCAAGATCTTCTTCATCTTCAACGCACTCGCGTTGTTTACATCTCTGGCGGTTGTGGTTGTCCAGATCACATTGGTGAGAGGAGAGACAAAAGCTGAGAAGAGGGTAGTGGAAGTGATCAACAAACTCATGTGGTTGGCGTCGATGTGTACATCTGTGGCATTTTTGGCATCTTCATACATAGTGGTTGGGCGTAAGAACGAGTGGGCGGCTGAGCTGGTGACGGTTGTTGGGGGTGTGATAATGGCTGGTGTTCTTGGAACCATGACTTATTACGTGGTGAAGTCGAAAAGGACAAGGTCGATGAGGAAGAAGGTGAAGAGTGCTCGCAGGAGTGGTTCCAACTCGTGGCATCATTCAGATTTCTCTAACTCAGAAGTCGATCCCATTTTCGCAATCTAAGATGCGTAAAAAATCATGTAAATATATTGTTGTATTTGGTGAAGAGAGCTAAACGATTTAGTGTATAAAGCCCCCTGACCATCAAAAGGCCAACACTATTGTCAACAATTAAAGGTTTACACTGCTCAACTCATTTTGTAAAACAGTTAACCATTGTCTTCGGAAAGCAAAGAATATTGGAACAAAGCATTGTAAGAGAGGTTTGTGCTTTTGTTGGGAAATCATTTGTATTCATGTTTGATCACTTCAGCTGCACAGCTCTGAGGTTCTTCGAAGCATAAATCATCTCACGGGCTGGATACCGATTCTGAACCAAGATTTGGAGCTGCTGACTTTCTGTATTTACTAAAGATCTCAAGCTTGCTTGGAGAGTAAAGAAAAGTTGTCGAAATCTAAGGAAACATCACACACAACCACGATAGTATTTAACTTAGATTGAGAGAGGTGAATAGCATTCTATTTGTCCCATATGATCCAAAACAACACAGAATGATGTGAGACTTGCTATTTTTGGGTTCAAAAGCGATATCTACACTAAGTATAAGCCATGGAAGTTAACTCATTACACCAGCAACTGTAGATGCACAAAACCAAAATTGGTAGCCAACAATTCAGAGTTGACTATTAAGAAACCAAATTGGTAGTCCAAACACATCATAGAACAACACATTTGGATTTAGAATCTCTTACCTGAAACTTGTTGGATTATGCAATAACAGTTATAATTATAAAGGTAGCTGCAAAAGAGGATTTCAAGGCCACAACAAGTGTTATTAATTCACCAATTCTCTTCTAGCAAACAACATGAAAAGATAAGCCAAGCTCAATCCGCTACAACATAAACCAGGAGTAATCAACAATAGCATTGTAAGAGAAATCCATTTGATAGAATACTATTTTTAATCCGGAAGCACAAACACAAAAGGGGACTGATAATTGAAGCATTTTTAGATCAAGAAACTGGAAAATCCCTTCCTTCTATGCAACAACAGTCTCATTTTCCGTCGCCGTTGGTGCCTGCAACGCATTGACGAGATCTAACGCCGGCCAATGCAAAGAACCAAGCATCATACCATAAACATCAGCTCGAGAAGGCATCGTCTCAATAACTTTGTAATCTTGAGGAGCGTACAATTTCTCCTCAAAAACAGCACCGCCTAAATTATTGTCGTAGAGCTTCTTCTCTTTCTGGAAATTGATGAAAGTCTTCAAAGCAGCAGGTATATCTTCAGATTGAACGAAGAGCCAAGCGTTCATACCCTTCATACATGGCTTCAGAGATTCCCATTTGGTTCCTTCCAAGGCTTTGTAGACCAAAGTGTTCTTAGCGACGAGGAGCTTCGTGTTTGTGTTCTCACGGAGGATTCCACGGAGCTCTTGTAATTGCTTCACGCTGAGACCGTTGTAGTTGATTCCGGTGATGAAATGGCAGTTCTCTAGGTTGATCTTCGTCTTCCCTGCAACGAGCAGAGCTCTTCTGAGGCTAGACATCGATCTATACAGAGGCTAATTCAAATGGCACGATTCCGATCCCGAAGAAGAAACCGTGAGCTCCAGATTCGAAATGAGAAAGCTAGGGTTCTTACTTCAGACTCCAGAGAAACGGAGAGGTTTACTTACACAGTGGTCAAATTGGGCTAATTTGAGTTGGGCTAATTATATTATTTTTACAAATTCCAAATTTTTATGATTTATAGATTTTTATATTTGTCCAAATGATCTAAAGCATCGTTCATTGAACTAAGCAAATAGTAACAACTAGAGCTAATCAAATAAGAAAATATCACAAATAATTGTATCGAATTTGATAATTTCTAAGCCAATCTTCACCTTTCTCGTAGTAATCCGTCTTAGTAAAGGCATTCCCCAAGAAGTTCAAATTAGCAGCAAACGCAGATGCTCCACGCCATGCATCCAGCACTGGATCCATAGCTCGAACCACGTCTATGGGTGATCCGCACGGTCTTATCATCCTAATCCCACATTCCAATCGCTCTTTCATCCCTGGAAGAAGGCTACACCCGCCAGTCATCAGTATCGAGCTCGTTAGCCTCTCCTCTATCTCTTTCTCGTCGTGCGGTAGCCTTCTGATTGATGTACCGGCCATCTCGTCTAAGCCTACTTGGTCAATGCCAATAAGGTTTGGATGGAACAGGATCTCAGGGCAACGGAATCTTTCAATACCAATCACTATCTTGTAGTCTTCCTCTGTTAACAGGCGTACGCGTGGCACCTCCCCTGAAGTCTGACTCGATTCTCCTTCTACTTTCTGCACAAATGTTGGGTCTATATCCTGAAGTCTAGATGATAAACGAGCCAACTCAGCCTCGTCTGAATCAGGTTGTTCGTCATCGTCGTCATTATCCTTGCTCATAAGTTTGTAGAGCTGCCAATCTTCATCTTTAGTACCAAACGTATCCTCGCCTTTCCCTCTATCAAAGGCTGCTGTCGTCAGTAGACGCATTCTCTCCCTCTGTGCAGCGCTTAGTCGCTCGCCTCGCCCAACACCTCCAGACTTGTTATTCCCGTTACTGGACCCGTTTGTTTTCAGACGTTTCTTCTGCTCAACTCTCTCCAACACTTCCTTGTACTGAGCTTGCATCTCCTCTAAGTAAGACTCTGGGTTTTCACTACAACCAGAAGACAGACAAAAACAAAGGATTATTATTTGCCCCCTTTTTTTCCTTCTAACATCGACTAATGAATTGGTATACATACCGACGTCTTTCCTCCTCTAATTGATTCCTTTTCTCTTTTTCGAGTTCCTCCTCATTACGCTTTTGTCTAGCTCGTAGCCGACCCTCTGCTGTTGTTTTAAGAAACATTTGCCTCCTCTTGTCCTTAAGCTGCAAGCAGCAAATGAAAATTAAACCAGACTCTCACATGAGTAAAGAATTTCTCACAATTCTGGAAACAAACCTGCTCAGGAGTAAGTATGTCATCGGGGACATTCATAAGAGGATACTTTTCATTATTAAGAGAATCAGTGTTCTCTTCACTCTCAGCTGGTTCATTCTTCGGCTCGCCCCTTGCTTTTCTAAGCGACTGTGTCACTTTCGTTATAGTAGATTCTAGCTCTTGCCTGGACGCGTAACCGGTATCTGACAAAAAGGTTGGAATATCATCCTCTTCAACCTGGTCAACTTGCTTCAAAAGGAAATGCAAGCTAGTCAATTGATTATCCATTTCATTTATCTTGGACAATCTCTTTGCTTCCGCCATATCTCGCAGCCTTTGACCTTGTTTTTCTCTTATAGCTGCCTTTCTTGCAAGCTCTTCTTCTGATGGAAGAACTTCGGTGGGAGGAGGTATCCATGGAAGCTGCCAGTACCTTGTTTTCTCTTCAGCTTCTTTTGTTCCTTCCTGGTCAATAACGTCACATAAATTTAGTTTACTAGCATCACAAACTGCCAAAAAAAGGAAATGAGTAAATCAACTTACCTGAAATAACCGAATTTCAGAAGCATAGTCAGGTGCGATATAACAGTGTTCCAATTTTAAATCTTCGGCCTTCTCCCATGTAAACCTAGACCTTTTGTATAATTGAACATGGCGAGGAAAACATATCAAATCTTGAAATGTGAGAAATCACATTGAGAAGATAGATCCAGTGGAAACACTCACGAATGAAAAGGGTACTTAAGTGACAGAAGCTGCTTTAAATAATCAGTGACATGATATCCACCAATGTTGGTTCGGCAGGATCCTTTATAAATAGGTTCTCCGTCGACAAACTGATAACCAATGAAACCATGAACCAGATGAGTAAGACATACAAGCATTATCAGACTAATGACTTAAGTGATATTAGGAAAGGAATTGTTTGAGACAGAAAATAAACAGGGTTGACACCAGCTTGAAATCACAATAGTCATAGATAGATACCGGAATGGCGTGTGTCGTAGTGAATCCAGGACAGAGAACAATTCCATCTTTTTTACAAATTCCATGTAGTTGATTGTACTTGTAGCTGAAAGCAGCATCGACTCCAAATGCTGTGATCACATGAGAGTTAATGAATTAATGAAAGCAATACACAAAAGGTTCCATAGTTTCTATCAAACATTTAGTTCAAGAAGACAATCCAAATTGAGAAACCAAACAAATAACTCAGATTCATACCAACTGCAGGCACTCCATAAGTCTCAAATAGCAGTTCTGCCATTTTGCTTCGAGATTGAACTGGGTTGCATGCACATTCAGTGATTAGGATAGGATGATCAATCTGTACTGCCATCAAATGACGTTAAAGCAAGAGACGAAATTCTGGCAGATAGTACGATGAAACTCAAAATCAAGATGAAAAAAGAAGATATAGGACATACCCCTGATCCATTAGCACCCAAACGATCAAAGGCGAAGTCAAGAATCTAAAAAGAAGAAGAATCAATTAGAAAAGTGCCACGGGTTCTTCAATAATTGCATTATTATAATGAGCATAAACATCAAAGAACTTGGAATATGAGATAACAGTTAAACAAGCCAACCAACATACAAAATATAGTAAAGAGCAGAAGCTCACAAAAAGACATGATTGGCGCAATAAAGTCCTGGAACAGAAGACCTTACAAATTACACATACAATACAATTCGTTATTGAATAAACGGGTATAGAATACTTACATATTCCATGATCTCAAACTGATAAACCACATTGCTGTCAAAAGGCGTACGTGGACCTGAGCGAGTGCAATCAAAGTACTTCATCATGGCAGGATCCAGGTCGCCAACAATAGTAACAGTTTCACCTGTACTAGAGAGAAAACCAAATCATCACAACATTACAAATGGATACAAACAAACACATAGAAAATAATTTAGAAGCAGAGCAACTTATAAGCAAAATAAGATAAAGCATAGTCATGTATAGCACTAAATCGCAGCCAAAACTTCAAGCAGCTCAGCTCTGGTACTTTGAAACATATCATTGGCTCATGTGTTACTCTAGCAGCCAAACAAGCAATTGAGAGGCATACAAGCACTAAACACTAATAATGTGGGAAAGTTGACAAAAATCAAGACCTGTAGCTTTGTGGCGAGGTCTTTGCACGATATTGCGGAAAACAACACGAGGCTCAGTTTCTCCTGCCCACCTGAAACCCAAGAGAATATCAAAATTTAACACAATTTGGGGAAGAGGATTACTACATACCAAAAAATCTCAAGTAAAACTGAGTTAGCTATAAGAAGGAATTTAGGGTTTATGGAAAAAAGTACCCGATACGGAAGTAGGAAGCGCCATTATCGATAACAATGGGAATCGAAGATGGATAGGTATTGTAATCAGTCTGCCTACGTATCCTCGAAACGAACGCCATGGCTTTCTCTTCCTTACTGTGTTGATTTAGTCGCCGCCGTCGTCAGTCATCGACTGATTTTGTAATTAAGTAATTCGGGCACCTTAATGCTCCGGCGAAAGAAAGAAGAAGACACAAATGGAGCTCCGTGACGTGGATATTATTCAATTAGGCCCAAAAGGCTGCGACTATACAAGTATAAATATTTTAAGTAAGATAGTCTAAACGTAAGCCGTCTTAGCTCAGTGGTAGAGCGCGTGGCTTTTAACCACGTGGCCGTGGGTTCGATCCCCACAGACGGCGTTTTTGTGTTTCCGACATGGGTTGTCTTTTTGCTGCTTTTCTTTAATTGAATAATCCAACCAATTTTTTCCAGCTGATAAAGCCCAACGGACAATGTGTAATAATGCAAATTCATATAAAGTTTTGGGCCTTTTGACTTTCCTTGCAATAATAAACACTCAGTCTTCTCCAACCTAACAATTATTCTAGGGTTTTAGAGTTTCCGCACGGATCACGAATCTCCCTCTCTCTATCACTTGACACTTTCAATATACACTCATCATGACTACCGAAGAGAAAGAGATCCTCGCCGCCAAATTGGAAGAACAAAAGATCGATGTAATTCATAATCCTTCTACTCTTACATATCTATCATTCCCGGATTATTTGTTTTTGTTAAGTCTTAAGTCTGGAAATCATTAGACTGTGTATTCAGATTTTTTATCTGTTCCTGCCCAGATCTTGGTTATTGTTTTCTTTAGTTTATGCTACAATTGGAGGAGCTTATAAGACTTTAGATCTGAATTTATATTTTTTTTTAAATCACTGTGAATTCTCAGTTTTCCTCATTACTTCAATTATTGATTTGACATAGCTTTATGTCTGATTTGTTGTAGCTTGATAAACCCGAAGTTGAGGACGATGATGATAACGAAGACGATGACTCCGATGACGATGATAAGGATGATGACGACGCTGAGGGTAAGTCGTCTTGCTTTTGGTTCTCTTCACTTCAGCTTTCGACATTTTCATTAATCAAATTACTGCAATATTGGTATTTTTATTTGGGGCAGATTAGTTGACACTCACAAGTTAGTGTTAATTATGTAGCAATGATAATTATTGGGCCATAGCTTGAAAATTTTGTTTAAAATGAATCCATCTTCTTTGTTTCAAGAGAATCTTTGCATTGACTTGTGTGGATAGTCATGTTTGTGCAACTAAATATTATGATCTTTTTTATTCTTGTTGATTTATTATTGATTGGTGATTGGAAAACAGGACTAGATGGAGAGGCAGGAGGTAAGTCAAAACAAAGCAGAAGTGAGAAGAAGAGTCGCAAAGCCATGCTGAAGCTCGGGATGAAACCCATCACTGGTGTTAGCCGAGTCACCGTCAAAAAGAGCAAGAATGTTTGTGTTTTCTCTTGGATATTCAACCAATCTTAATTCCATTTATTCACACATTCAAATGTATTGATCTGTTATGTTGACATTGCTTTGGAACACAGATCTTGTTTGTCATATCAAAACCTGATGTGTTCAAGAGCCCTGCATCAGACACATATGTGATCTTTGGAGAGGCGAAGATCGAGGACTTGAGCTCTCAGATCCAGTCGCAGGCAGCAGAGCAATTCAAGGCTCCAGATCTCAGCAATGTGATCTCAAAGGGTGAGTCGTCGAGCGCTGCAGTAGTTCAGGATGATGAGGAGGTGGACGAGGAAGGTGTTGAGCCAAAGGACATTGAATTGGTGATGACTCAAGCAGGAGTGTCTAGGCCTAGGGCAGTAAAGGCTCTCAAGGCTGCAGATGGAGATATTGTCTCTGCCATCATGGAGCTTACCACCTAAACCAAAATCTTTTCTACTTTTAAGATGTGGTTTAATCTGAGTTATGTGCCAGAGATTGTCCAGAGAATTCGGAAATTTTTGGTTTCAATGTTTTTCTTGAAGTGGTTTTGAATGTTGTATCAGTATAAACCTCATAAGTTATTGATTTTCAGTTTGATTTTATATCGAATATCAAGTGTTTGCCGTTATAGATAGTTATGAGTTTCTGACAAATCCATCCGAGGGAAAGTTAAGATTTCTCTTTATATTCCCATTTCGAGGGTTGGCTGTTCTTAGAGAAAGTGTAAAGGGAAGCTGATGCTTTTACTCCTAACTAGTTAAAACATTTTTTTCTTATTTTGGATGATTTAAAGAGTGTCGCGAAAACCACTTGAGGTAAATTAATACATGCTGCACAATGAGCAAAGTGCTACAAGTGCAAACCATTGAAGACAGTCTCTTACATGAGCAAACCACTTGAGAATGTTCATAGACTCCCTAAGTCGATGTTTATTACCTAAGTCCTCAAGACAAAGAAAGATTCTAAGGCACACACATTGAAGACAGTCTCTTATATTGTACCCACAGTGATGAAGCAAAACAAGGTCTAAGGATGTTGCAGTTGCTGATAAGAAGACTTGACAAGGTTTAATCATTAATGGAGGAGCTAATGGGTTCCATTCAACAACGTTTTAGTTTCCTTCTACATGATGAATAAACTAAAGCAACAATTTCTAATGGAGTAGAAAGAAGAGTCATCATAACTGTTCCAATATCCAAAACAAGATATTAACATTCTCAAACCAAATGATTCATTAGATAATAATGTTTCATCACAAAGATCCCCAAAAAAAAAGGTAATAGATCACAAAAGGAGAGGATTCTCAGGCCTGATCCATTTAAATATGTATGTGCACAGCAGTGTAGGTGTGTATATAGTCTATAGACATTTAATTCAATCTTAAAGAGGAACCATCATCACACGTATAGCCACAGAAATTCTCCTCAAAGATGCTAATCTCAGACTATATAAACCAGCATTGTGACACAGCATCCCGCAAATAGAAACACTGAATTTCATTCATGAATGCAACCTACCTGCGATCGCTGCAACCTGAACCTCCATCTGTGCCGCCCTGACTTTAGAACCCGTGGCACGGTGGAAGAACTGTTCCCTCGACAACAACCTTACATTCCTCAAGTACTGATCAAAGGGAACAACCCCATCTTGAAACGATTTATCCAAGGAATAAATAGCATCTTCAATGGCTAAATCCAAAGCAGTACACTCTAACATCTGCTTAGAGAGTATGTCACCACATTCAAAAGCATTATCCACATCCAAATCAACTAAGTTCTTGGTTTTGCCTTGGTTCTCTCTAACCCAAGAGTCTAGAATATCAGTGTTCATGGAGATAACCTGTAATTGTTGTTCAAGTGTTTCTTTCTCCTCAACCATCTCTCTCAAACCTATATTAAGCTCTTCCTCTCTTCTCTTCAGCCCAGCTTGCAAACTCAGTAGCTCCTCTGCTTCAGCTTCTCTGGCTCTCCTCATCGAAACCAAATCGGAGTGAACCATCTCCACCATCTTATTGATCGCGTTTCTCTTGAAAACCTCTGCCGCATCATCCGATTGCTGCTGGTGGTGAACATGCTGCACTTGCACCCTAACTCCTCCACCGTAAGGTGATGGCGGGAACGGTCTAGCTAATGACTGCTCAGCAGAAGGAGGTCGTGACAGAGAAGAATCGTATCCCGTAGGAGGAGACGGTGGCGGCGGCTGAGGACGGCGTCTTGAATAAAGAGGCGGATCACGGGCAAAAGCAGCGCTGAGATCGGAGACGAGATCTACGAGATTTGAGCTAGGGAAAACCCAATTCTGAAGATAGGGAAGAGAAACGAGACCAGAAGGAGTGACATGTGCGTGAGGTCGCTTGATGATCATATCGGCGGTGGGATTCACATAGACGCAAGGAGGATGACGAGGATAAGATTCAAGGAGCCAGATGATTACAGGGATGTTATAGGTGACTCCATGGAAAGGCATCGGGATCGTACCATCTGCTTGAAGGAGATTGACGGACCGGCCATCGTTGTGCATAAACGATGCCGTTTTGGGCTCTAAGGAAGGGTAAGAGGAGATTAGGTTAAGTAGATGTTGCCGGATCAACCACTTGTTGGACTCTTCGTAGGGAACTGAAGATGGACCGCGCTGGGAGAGCGCGGATGAGAGGAACTGCTGAATCTGCTGCGGATTCGACGGCGGAGGAACCATCGGAGTTAAACGGTGTCGGCGGTGGAAGTCCAAATTGAAGATGAAGACGACAAATGGGGAGGAGATTCGATTTTAGAAGCAGAAGAAGAAATGTTTATACGCGTCTTTATAAGCTATTTACTCTTTTACCCTTCAATGTTGTTAAGGATAGTGTTAATCAGATTAATCCATAAATTTTTGTTATTAGTGGACAATGGTCTAAACTCTAAACTATTGGACACCAGAAAACATAATGCGAGTTTAACCTTTGTGATCAAAGAGAGAGTTATACGCATACTTTACTCAACTTTCTCATGGAATTAACGAGTGGAAAACAAAGCAGTGTTTCTCTCATAACCTAACAATAAGAAGATTCAAACCACATTTTTCTCATAACATAACAAAAAGAAGATTCAAGTCCCTTGTCAACAAAAAAAAAAACAGAAAAGATTCAAGCCACATTTTATTGTTTTTGATACTTGTTTTCAAACTTCCCAAAGACGAGCCCAAACACCAAGCTGATGGCAAACGTAAGCATCTAGTGACGCCTGAAGAATCTGATCAAGGTCTAGGTCATAAACGGTCCAATCACTCATGCTTATCTCCGGATCTAGCATCACTCCTTGATAACCCATACATTCCTCAACAATCTCTTCAAACGAGCAACGCCTCATGCTCCTTCCCCACGAATCATTCACGTACTGCCTTATGTCAAGAAGTTCCCCAATCTCCAGCTGGTGGCAACATCGAGCCAGCTTTCCTGCATCTTGACCATTCCAGACGCCGACGAACGTGGTTTCTGGATCCATCAAGAAACTGCGGAGATTGTTAGGGACTTGGTCACAGTAACCTAACTGGATGATGAGACACCGATTACCCACGCATAACTGGAGAATATCCGCTGGATTATCGGAGTAGTTTCTACCAGGCGGAGCATCGGCGTAGTAGTCATTCTCCAGAGGATCAGCGTAATAATCACCCGGCGGAGGATCAGCGTAGTAATCATCCGACGGAGGATCAAGGTAGTAGTCATCCGACGGAGAATCGATGTAGTAATTATTCGGTGGAGGAACGGAGAAAGGAGTCCACTGGACGCCGACTCCAACGACGAGAGGGTGAGAGGAGAAACGGTTGTTAAAGAGGACGTCGCGAATCCATCGGTTGATGACGGAGGAATCCGGAGTTACGGTGACGATGAACTCGTCTCCAAAGAAATCGACGGAGTACTCTAAGTGAGTGTTGTAACTTGCGACGGTTCTTATCGTCGGAGAAGCCATTAAGCTCTCTTCTTTGCTTTTTTTTTCTGGTTTTAGAAGAGTGAGTGAGGGAGAAAGAACAGAGAAGCGGCTTCTTTTTATTTTCTAGCTATCGTCCAAGGGTGTTGGTTGTGCTATGTGTACACAGTGCTTTTTAGTCTTCGTACGTACACGAAATTTATCCACCGTTGATTTTTGAAAGCATTATGTACAGTTAAAATCGGACGGTCATGAATCGGGATGCATGTCTGTCATATCGTAAGACGTGTCGTGTCATACACACCAATTTTTTTTTTTTTAATTAATACACACCAAATTACTAAATTCTTATCTCCGAAAATTGATTTCGATTTATTCGAATGATAATGAGATATGGAAAATTAAATCAAGAGTAATATATTTAGATTGAATTAGTTGATATTTTTTGGAATTGATAAAATTTAGTATCATTTAGCTTACGAAAATATACCCTTCAATTCCATCTTCTTTCTCATATTAGTTTTGTTTTATTTCCGATTAAACATGAGCTCAGGATGGTGACAAAAAAAAAAAAAAAGCTCAGGATGATAGCCAGTACTTATCTCACCAATTTTTGTTTGGTTAATCAAATATTAGTGTTGGACCTTAGAAAAAAAACAGTTTATATTCCTCAAATGGTATCGAATGTGGAATTCTAAATTGAAGACAACAAAATCTTTTGACCTTAATGGCTTATTTGTCCTCACAACCAAGGTCCTAAACAAAAGAAAGATTCAATCAAGATTTGTAAATTGCAACATTATGTTCCTAAAAGATAGTCATATTTAAACAATTTTGGCAAAAAAAAAAAAAGAGTGATATATGAGTCGTGGAATTAACGAGTGGACAAAGTGTAAACATTGTGATTGAAGAGATAGAGAGTGTCATAGTGAGTGAAAGAAAAAGCAGTTTTTTCTCATAGCCTAACAAAAAGAAGATTCAAGCCACTAGTCACAAAAACAGAAAAGATTTCAAGCCACATTCTTTTTGTTATTGAATCTTGTTTTCAAACTACCCATAGACGAGCCAAAACACCGAGCAGGTGGCAAGCGTGAGCATCTATTGACGCCTGAAGTACCTGATCACGGTCTAGATTGTACACGCTCCAATCACTCATGCTTATCGTCGGATCTAGCCTCACTCCTGGATAACCCATACATTCCTCAACAATCTCTTCAAACGAACAACCCCTCATGCTCTTTCCTCGTGAATCATTCATGTACTGCCTTATGTCTAGAAGTTTCCCTATCTGCAACTGATGTTTAGATATCGCCAGCTTTCCTGCGTCTTGACTATTCCAAACGCCGACGTACGTGGTCTCTGGATCCGTCAAGAAAGTGTGGAGACTATTAGGGACTTGGTCACAGTGGCCTAACTGGATGATGATACATTTGCTACCCACGCATAACTGGAGAGTATCCGCAGGAGGATCTGAGTTGGATTCACCACGCTGAGTATCGGAGATGTAATCACCACGATAAGGATTGGCGCAGTAACTAGGACGTGAAGGATTGCCGGTGTAGTTGTACTGTGGAGGATCGGCGTAGTGATCTCTCGGCGAAGAATGCTCGTAGTAACCACACCTTTGAAGATCATTGGCGTTGTAACTACGCGGTAGTTCATTGGAGTAGTACCTACTCGGTGGAGGATTGGCGTCGTAACTACGCGGTGGTTGATCGGAGTAGTACCTATTCGGTGGAGAATTGGCGTCGTAACTACGCGATGGTTGATCGGAGTAGTACCTATTCGGTGGAGGATTGGCGTCGTAACTTAGTGGCGGTGTCCACTGGACGCCGACTCCAACGACGAGAGGTTGTTGATAGTACGGACCACAGTTGTTGTATTCGACGTCACGGATCCATTGGCTGATGATGGCGAAATCCGAGGTTACGGTGACGGATAACGTATTTCCAAAGACATCGATAGAGTACTCTTGGTGAGTAGAGTAGTTACCGCCGATTCTTATCGTCGGAGCCATCGAAACTCTCTTCTTGCTTGCTTTATGGATTTAGAGAACTGGGTGAGACTTGAGAGAGAGAGAGAAAAGCGATTTCTTCTTCTTAATTAGGTTTTATCGTCGGAGGGTTTTTATCAATTTTACGAAGCTCTTTAATTTTTTGTACTATAGAAGTATCACCGTTGATCTCTTTGAAGGCATTGTATTGTCGTCTAGGGTTGAAATCCGACGGTTGAGAATTAAGGTAATTTGCTAAAAATACTTGACGAATATTTGGACAAAAAAAAAAGGTAAACTTTTGATAAAATTTACAAATCAGTTGATTATTTCGTTTCTTTAGTTTGATACAATTTGGTATCTTCGTATAATTTAGCTTATGATAAAAAAAAGCTTGGCAAATTTTTTTAGGATTTATCTAGCTCCCCTAGAAATTTTTAAAAATTACTTATCTAGCTCACCAATTTTGTAATCAAAGAAATTTGGATTTTCCTAATTAATCATGGAAGAAATAAACGACCGCTAAAGCCTAAAACAAACAAACAAAAAAGTAGGAAAAAATTTTACGAGAAAAACAGTTTTTTCACTAAACTCTAACAAAAAAAAAAAAAGATTCAAGATTTGCAACATTAGATTCCATTGAAACGTTTACTCAAAATTCCCAAAGACATGTTGAAGACCAAGCTTAGAATCTGATCGTAGCTAAGGTTGACAGTTTTCGAAAGTTGAATTAAGGAGAATAATTTCAGTATGTTTTGTTCAGATTAAGTTAGTTAATGTTAATGAAATGCTAAGTTTGACCAAAAAAAAAAGTTAGTTTCCTAAATCAAGCTTAGTATTGAAAAACTCAACTCAGCCATATACTTGATCTGGTTCGTGCTATTCACAAATCGGAAAACATTCATATGGGTGTATATGTTGTTCATAATATATATCCAATCCACCGTAGTAGTAGTATACTTAAAATTATCGAGTCCAAAAGATTGGTGCTTTTGTTGATTATTCAGTTAATTAATGGAATAACTTGCTTTGTTCATAAATCATTTCCAGTAAACAAAAAAATTGATCTTCGTCAATGTTTTTATGGAGTCATGGAAAAAGACAATTCAAATGTAACACAGCCTAAGTATTGACCATGACGTATTTGATATGCTTTTTTGGTACGTCGTGCTTTTTTGTCCCATATCAAATTGAACAAAATTGAACAAAATTGATAATGTAATTCATAATTTACCAACTTTGTAATCAAACAAATAGTCACAAAATGGCGTAACATTTTTCTGATTATTTTTTTTAATAAGAAGACGTTGATTAATAAAGAGAACAAAGAACAACAACTTATCCAAATCGCAAGATCAGCAACATTACATTCCTTTAATCCATCTCTGATCTTATAAACATGTTGTTTTCTCAAACTTTCCATAGACGATACTTAACACCAAGCTTGAAGCAAACATGAACATCTATGGACGCCTGAAGAATCTGATCGTCACAAAGGTCGTACGCACTCCAATCGCTCATGCTTATCTCTCGATCTAGCCTCACTCCTCGATAACCCAAACATTCCTCAACAATCACCTCAAATGAACAACGCACCAGGCTCCTCCTTCCTCTCGAATCTTCAACGTACTTCCTCAAATCCAGAAGATCATCAATCTCTAACTGATGTCTAGATCGCTCTAGCTTCCTCGCGTCTTGACTATTCCAGACACCGACAAACGTGTAATCTGGATTCGCAAGGAAATAGTGAAGGACCCTGGGGACGCGGTCACAGTGAGAGAGCTGGATGATGATACATCGATTACCAACGCATAGCTGGAGTGTATCCGCCGGAGGATCGTAGTAACCACCTGATGAAGAATCGGAGTAATGATTAACTGGTGGAGAATCGGAGTAGTAACCAGGCGGTGTCCACTGAACGCCGACTCCAACGACGAGGGGGTGAGAGGAGAAGCGGTTGTTGGAGAGGACGTCGTGGATCCATTGGCCGATGACGGAGGGATCCGGCGTTACGGTGACGATTAACTCTTCTCCAAAGAAATTGATAGAGTATTTTTCCTGAGTGGCGTAACTTCCGACGGGTCTGATTCTTGGAGCCATTGATTTTGAGTTTACTTTCTTGAAGGAGAGAAAATAAAGAAATTAAAGTGTCGTATTGGTTCTCTTTATCACCGTTGATCTTTGTATAAATAGATGCGGTTAAATTTGGACGGTTGAGATGCATGTAGGCAAGGGTTAGCCTTTCGCATCGTTAGGTCAGTATTTTGTGACGTCGTGCATAGTGTTTGTCGATTCATTTACCTCAAACCTAAATAATTACTGATTCGAATTCAAAATGATTTTATAAAAATATCTTGAAATTAAGGAGAATAATTTCAGTATATTTTTCCCGATTAAGTTATAGTTAATGTTAAATTGTAAGTTTTTTTTTGTCAGCTAATGTTTAATTGTAAGTTAAAAAATTAGTATCATCCTAAATCAAAATTAGGAAGGAAAAACTCAACATAGCACTAGCATTAATATGTTTAGCACATCACCATGCGTTGTAACCTTCATAGAATTTACGAATCAGTTGATTATTTCGTGTAGGCCTGAGCATAAAACCCGAAATCCGAAAACCGATCCGAAACCGATCCGAACAATCCGGAACCGAACCCGAACCGAATAGTCACAAAACCCGAACGGATAATGAATTCTCCTATCCGAATTACCCGAACCGAATCCGATCCGAACCGAAAACCGAAAGGATATCCGAAAACCGAAAATAAAAATTATATATCCAAAAATATTAGTTATATTTAGTTGTAGTTTTATAGCAAATAACAAAAATATCTTAAATATCCTAGATTGTGGAAAAATTTTAGTTATATTTGTTAAAATTATACATATTTGTGTAAAATTTAACCAAATTTTAGTAAGATTAAACCAATTTTTATTTAAATTAAACAGTTTTTTAGTTTTTTTTTCCCAAAAACCGATCCGAATCCGACATCTATCCGAACCGAAACCGAACCGATGACTCATAAAATCCGAACGGATAATAAATTCACCTACCCAAATTATCCGAATCCGAATATATCCGAACCGAAACCGAACCGAAAAATCATAAAATCCGAACGGATAATAAACTCTCCTACCCGAATTATCCGAATCCGAATATATCCGATCCGAATCCGATCCAAAATCCGAATGCCCAGGCCTAATTTCGTGTCCTTAGTTTGATAAAATATAGTATCTTCGTGTATTCAACTTATGATAAAAGAAAAGTTATAAATATTTGTTTTTTCCTAGTTACTCAATGAAGAAATAAACAACTATCTAAAAAAGGGAAATTTCACTCACAACTAATAACCAAAGAAAAGATTTAAGATTTGTCTCTAACAAACAAAAGAAAAAAGGATTCAAAGATTAACAACATTATTAGAATTCCACTGAAACGTTTACTGAAACTTAACTTCCCAAAGATGGTCTAGAATAGCAAGCTGGCAACACGCATAAACATCTATGGACGCCTGAAGAATCTGATCGTAGCCAAGGTCGTAAACGCGCCAATCGCTCATGCTTACCTGTGGATCTAGCCTCACTCCTTGATGACCTAAATTCTCCTCAACAATCTCCTCAAACGAACAACCCCTCATGGTTCTCCTTCCAGTCGAATCTGATACGTACTTCCTCAAATCCAAAAGCTCCGCAATCTCCAACTGATGTCTTGATCGCTCTAACTTCCCCGCATCTTGACTATTCCAAACACCAACGAACGTGTAATCTCGATCCGCGAGGAAATTACGGAGGACCTGCGGGACGCGTTCACAGTGAAAGAGCTGGATGATGATACATCGCTTACCAACGCATAGCTGTAGAGTATCCGCCGGAGGATCGGAGCTATAAAAAACCGGTGGAGAATCGGAGCGATAACTGTCCGGAGAAGAATCGGAGCGATAACTAACCGGTGGAGAAGCAGGGTGATAACCAGAGGGTGTCCACTGAACGCCGACTCCAACAACGAGAGGGTGAGAGGATAAGCGGCTGTGGAATAGGACGTCGTGAATCCATTGACCGATGACGGAAGGATCCGGTGTTACGGTGACGGTAAACTCTTCTCCAAAGAAATCGACTGAGTACTTTTTCTGAGTAGCGTAGATTCCGATGGTTCTGATTCTCGGAGCCATTGATTTTGCATTCACTTTTTGAACGAGAGCAAATAATGAAACTGCTTTCTTCTACTTTTGCTATCGTCGGAGGCTAGTTAAATAGTAGTACGGGTGGGGTGCTCTTTATCACCATTGATCTATGTGAAAATAAAAGTGGTTAAATTTGGACGGTTGAGATGAATGTAGGCAAGGTTTAGCCTTTCGCATCGTTGGGTCAGTGTGACGTCATTTAGCTACCCCAAACCTTGCTGATTTTAATAATTACTGATTTGAATTCAAAAAAGATTTTATAAAGATCCCGAAATTTGAATTAAGGAGAATATTTTCAGTATATTTTATCAGATTAAGTTGGTTAATGTTATATAGTTGGTATAAATGAGTATTATCCTAAATCAAGATTAGGATTGAAAAACTCAGTCATATCCTTGATCATGGTTATATCCAGTTTTAAAAAGGAAATCAATTAAATGGGTGTAGGTTTTTCAGATATGTTCAATCGAGTCCAAAATATTTGTACTTTTGTTGATTATACGATTCCATCTAGTGGACTAACTTGCTTTGATCAAAGATTAATGTCAATAAACACATCAAATTGATATTCGCCTATAAGAGTGGATGGAAGTAACAAAAGAAAAAGACGATTCAAATGTAACCCCAGCCTACACATTGACCATGACGTAGTAAAGGTCTAGATTTATGAGGTTCTAACGCATTTCTAGTCAACATTCAATATAACACGAAAACTTTTATGAATTAGAAGACGTTGATTGTCTTGATAAAGAGTGAAGAACAACAACTTATTCAAATCACAAGATTAGCAACAACATTAGATTCCTTTGATACTTTTAAGTTCCCAGAGACGTTCCTCAACAGCGAGCTTGAAGCAAACACACGACTCAATCGACGCTTGAAGTACCTGATCATGGCTGAGGTTATAAACGCCCCAATCGCTCATACAAATCGCCGGATCCAACCTCACACCTTCGCGTCCCAAACGCTCCTTCACGATCTGTTCAAACGAACAAAAACGCATCGTAATCCCTCTCGAATCTATCACGTATAGCCTTATGTCTAGAAGCTTCCCGATCTTCAATTGATGCCTACATGTCGCGAGTTTTCTCTGGTCTTGGCCGTTCCAGACGCCGACGAAAGTTGTTTTGGGATCGGCGAGGAAAGTTCGGAGGACCTCGGGTAGACGGTAACAGTCACCTAACTGGATGATGAGACAGCGACTACCGACGCATAACTGGAGAGTTTTTGGCGAAGGATCTGGATCGGAACTATCCGCCTATCCGGTGTCCATTGAACGCCGATCCCGACGACGAGAGGATGTACTGAGTGGTTACGGTTGTAGGAGCGGACGCTGCGAATCCAGCGGCGGATTACGGTAGCAGTCGGCGTAACAGTGACGATCAAGTCGTCTCCGAAGAAATCGATTAAGTGTTTCTGGTGAGTACGGAAACTTCCGATGGTTTTGATCGTCGGAGCCATTGATCTGTCTTCTTCTTTTCTCTGATTTTAGAGTGAGTGTGAGTGAGAGAGATAGAGAAGCGGTTTATTTTTCTTGTTATAGAGTACCTTTTTGTTTCTTGTTATAATCACCGTCGATCTTTGTAGGCTAGTGTCTAGTTAAAATCGGACGGTTGAGAATTGAGATGCATGTACTGTCACATCGTCAGGCCTATCATAAAATGTATACGCAAAACATTTGCCGAGTAATTACTGTATTTTACGGCTCTGAATTTTGATTTTGATTTTATCCAAAAAGATTTGATGAATATATCGAAAATAATATCAATGGCATTTACAATAATACCTTTTATTAAATTAGTTTATTTTTCAGTTATTTAGGTAGATGAATACACTGTATTTATGGGCTTAATTAGGAAAATAACCATAACTCATTTTTGCGTTTTTTGCACCAAATAAAATCATAGTTACAATTTTTTTTCCAATATATTGGTTTGACAAATTTTTGTAACTTCTTAGATATACATGCTGAGTTCTGATTAAAAAAAGAAGTTGTAAATATTAATTCCACAATTTTTTTTTGAAAAATATAGGCTACTTCGGTTTACCACCCTTTATATAGGTAGTTTTTGTATATTTTCTAAAATTGGACGGTTTGGGTATAATCAGTTCTGTTATTATCTAAAATCAACTTGAAGACAAATAATTCCAAATTTATTTTAATTAAATTGTGATAAAAGTCACCCAAAATTAAATATTTTTGGTTCAGGCATATGTGTTACAAGGATGCATTATCCTCAAGAAAATAATCCAAAAAAATAAAATAGACAAGGTGGATGAAGATCTAAGAATTAAGCCTGTCACGAGAAAACGTATACAATCCACTACTACATAGCCACGTGTATGGCTAGATCTAATCCGATTAGTCAGTCTTACAAAGTATTTAGTGATCCGCCGTATATTTATAACTAACATTACTTAATTAATAAACCATGTCGTCGACCCATTTTTTTCTTTTGACCCAAATCTTTGTTTTATATATTTAATTTAATTATTCCATCGCACGGAGATTGTAACAAGGAAACCGCCGTCGCCGGATCTGGTAGTGAGCGTATCCATGAAGTAGACGACGAAGAAATTACTTTCTGATCTTAAAACTTAGTTTTTGTACAGAAGATTCGCCCTCAATTTTTGATCTGAAGGGTCGGGTTTACTTTTTTTTTCTTTGGGGTGGTTTTGCTTTTCTCATTCGACGGTTTCTGGATTGGGGATTTCAAAACCATGAGGAAGAAGCTCGATACTCGGTTCCCAGCTGTAAGTTTTTCTTCTCGAATTGATTATCTCTGGAATTGAAGTCCAGTTTCTCGGAAATTACTTGATCTGTTGTTTATCAGATCGAATTTCCAACACTCTTCGGGCTTAAATTAGTTTTCTACGACGAAATTTAGATTAAGTATCTCATTTCTAGCGAATTGGTGACAGCAAATGACCTAGCAGTCAATTTCACCCTAATTTTTCTTGTGCTTGTCATATAGCTAGAGTAATATGTGTTGTCAGATCCGCTATGTAAATTAGGGAATTCGAGGATTTAGGTGACTAGTGCTCGAAAGGTGTTGTTTATCAACAAAACATTCAGCTATTGGTGGATTCCATAGGTTAGATAGTGTTGATTGATGGTTCAATTTGACTGAGCTGAGGCTGGAATATACTTATAGTTATTCGTTTAGTAGGCTGTGTTTATCACCACTTACATTATGTTTGCTATGATGGTGGCTGTTTCTTGATTTGATGTATATATACAATTTTCAGGCTCGTATTAAAAAGATTATGCAAGCTGATGAGGATGTTGGCAAGATAGCTTTGGCAGTGCCTGTCTTAGTCTGTGAGTCTTCTTGCTACCGTTGACTTCATTTTGAAAGCAATTGTTGGTTGTTATACCCTTTTGGCTAAGTTTCATGTTCTATTATTACAGCAAAATCTTTGGAATTGTTCTTGCAAGACCTTTGCGATCGTACATATGAGATTACCCTTGAAAGAGGAGCCAAGACCGTGAGCTCATTGCACCTGTAAGCAACTGCTTACTTAACCTTATTTTTTTCTTCCGTCTGCATGCTATTATTGTCATTGCCCAAAGAGCATGAAAGGGTTTACTGGAATGCATTTTAAAATTCTAGAGCTCTCAGATGTTGTAACTATGATATTGTGGTTTAAGAGTTACCATGATGTTGTTAAGCGGAAGAGCTTCCAACTCATAGGCCCTCCCTAATTTGACTGCATCCAACACTGAGAGGATGTTGTTTGATGTTACAGTACTTTATACCACAAATTTGGTATAAAGTTCATTTTTTGCTCTTTTTCTTTGTATGATGTTTGTGATACTACTACTGCATCCACGTTTATCAAAGTATTTTTCTTGTTTACAGAAAACATTGTGTGGAAAGATATAATGTGTTTGATTTTCTGAGGGAAGTTGTGAGCAAGGTGCCTGACTATGGCCATTCGCAAGGGCAGGGCCATGGTGATGTCACCATGGATGATCGCACCATCTCCAAGAGAAGGTTGGATCTCTATATCTCTTGGTTTCATATGTCCGAGTTGTTTATTGGTAGTCCATGTCAAGCTGATGTGAGATGGTTTATCAAATCAGGAAGCCCATCAACGATGAAGTGAATGACAGCGACGAGGAATATAAGAAAAGCAAAACGGTGAGATCATGTTCTTCTTCGAATATTATGCTTCATCATTCATTTTGTGTCTATTCCCAGCTCCTTTGATCCATTGAATATATTGTGTATGGTGCTAATCACTGCAGCAAGAGATGGGGAATGCTAAGCCCAGTGGCAGGGGTGGTAGAGGAAGAGGGCGAGGAAGAGGTCGTGGTGGACGAGCTGCAAGAGCAGCCGAAAGAGAGGGTCTCAACCGCGAGATGGAACTAGAAGCTGCTGTATCGGGACAGCCACCTCCAGAAGACAATATCAAGATGCATGTGTCAGAGTCATCACCACAAGAGAATGAGAAGAAAGACATCGATGGCACAGTAGCATCAAACGAAGACAACAAGCAACACCTTCAAAGTCCAAAAGAAGGCATTGCCTTTGATCTCAACGCTGAATCCCTCGACCTAAACGAGACCAAACTGGCACCAGCCACAGGCGCAACCACAACCGCAGCAACGGACTCAGAGGAATATTCGGCCTGGCCTATGATGGACATTGGCAAAATGGATCCAGCACAGCTTGCCAGTCTGGGTAAGAGGATAGACGAGGACGAGGAAGATTATGACGAAGAAGGCTAAGCCATAGCAGCACCATAGGATATATAGAGTAGCAGCGTTTAGCGGTTTGTCTAGAAAATGCTTCTTCTGTCTTCAAAATCTTCTTCTCGTTTCCATTTATTGTACGGATCAAAGATTGTATGCGCTTTATGAAACTTAATTTATTCTCCTGATATGTTATTTAAGGGTTTACGGTTTACATCAGAAGTTAAAATATCTTACAAAGTTCAGTAAACACTCAAAAGTACATAAACAGGGGGGAGGGACTAGTCATGGTGTTGCTCCATGCGGTTGAAGTGAAGAGCACCTTCATGGTTCTTGTGAACTTCCACCTTAAACTTTTCCTCTTTTTCTCCCCTCTTCAACTTCAGCAGCATGTTGTATTTGGCAGCCTCGCCGGTTACCTGCGCCCATGTTTTTAATATTAAGCTCATTAATCTCGCAATTACTAACAACACAAGTCAGGCTTTAGTCTTATACTTATACCAAGGACAACCAATATGTTGCTTAAAGTCTTTTCTACTTGTAAAACTTCAACACCAACCTTGCAATTGATATCGTTTATTTGCAATTTCTCAGATGAAACTTTTGCAAAAACATTGTCAAAAAATGGAAAGTTGTCTATTGAAATCAATGAGTAATACTAGTGAAATTAAGGTCGAAGGTTGAGTATATATAGTAAAGTAAAGCCATACCTCAGCGTTAGCATGCACAACCTCCAGAAGTTCATAAGGGAACAAGGAGTTAGACCTCTGCTGGATGGTCTTGACAGCATGCTCAGCAACGTGCTGCACTTCTGGATCATCTCCTGGAACTTCCCTCCATCCAGATTCATGTTCATCTGATCCACAAAACCAAAATTTCATGACCAAACTCTTTCTTACATATCTATCACCTGACATTATAATGTCAAATTCATACCTTGTTTGCAGCCAAGATCGGAGGGAGTGATTGCAGGGGCATCACTGGCAGGCTTGAACTCCTGTAACTCCTTAAAGTTCAACCATGACTTCACCCACACTTTGGCTTCGTAAAGCTTTTTCTCCCCTGCATCGAGAATCTCCAGAGTCAGGTGATGCATTGTTCCGGCTACAACTTGTTCTTTAGCTTTCACCACTCTCGCAAACTCAAGAAGTGCATTCTACGAAGGGTGAAAAACAGAACAAACCAAAAATCAATCCCACAACATAAACGCATTCATCACCCAATAATATACACTCTCTAAGGATCTACTGGTAACTGAAATTGAGATCAAGAGAAAAACTCGGACAAAATTAGTCTAATCGCGTTCTGGATCAAGACTATAATAGCATTAAACACACATATCGAGACGAGAGATGTAAGAAATCGAGATTTGGAACCTCTTTCTTGTTGTGCTCATCAACAGCGAAACGAGCGAGGCTCTCGACCTCACCACTGTTCTGATTAGCAGGAACATCACGAACGCCGCCGAGTAAAGCCATGTCGTCGTTGCAGAACCCTAAATCACTGGCGATCAGAGAGGAATTGAAGAGGGATAGAGAGAAGAAAACGATGAAGAGTAAGAAACGGCTTTTCGTCATTCACACCTTTATTTGGTTCGGTGCTGTATTTTTAGATATTTTTCGTTTTTGTCGTCGAATTGTCAATTTTGGATTTTATCCTCTACAGTTAATTCACCGAGTACCGGATTAAGGTGTCCATTTGGTTTGATGTTGGTTTAGTTGGTATAGTTTAAATTTTAGTCCTGATTTAATTCTCTGTGGATATATTTTATCGATTAGAAAAAAGGAAAGTTCAAATTTGGTTGGATGCCCATTGAATCATATGTAAGAAAAGAGTATCGATTCGAGTTTTAGATTGGTTTGATTCGGCCTCAATCGGTTACGTCACCCAAATTTAATAGACAAACCCGTACCAATCTGGCTTATACACTCGAAAATGATGCTGGAGATAGCGGCACGTTAACGAAACGTGTCGGCACAGTCGGACCGAAATTGTCAAACACTTTTAATTGTAATAAATATATGGCAGCTTTGTCTAAGCAATCTCATCTAATAGAGCCCATTTAAAGGCCCACATAAAAACAAAAAAGCAACAACATCATAATTCATAACCATATAATTAAGAGTAACTTCTTGGAAAGAATTTTATTTGTCTTAGTATTATTGTATTGGAGCTGAATAAATAATACTCCTTATTATACAGTAGCGTCGTGGAGGCCGTTAACGAAAGACCTTATCAATCAACATTACCTCTAGGGTTAACCCCAAATATGTACAATACCTCAGCGTCCTAGAGGCCTTTAACGAAAGACCTTCGGTTGCAGGGCCGGCCCGATATAATTTAGTGCCTAAAGCAAAAAAAAAATTTAAGCCCTTACAAAAACAGTTGAAAAAAAATATTAGCAAAAGTTGGGTAATTGGTAGTCGAACTCGCGATCATGAAGGTGTAAATGTGAGACTTAACCACTATGCTGCAACATCTTTTTGCAAAATGATGCCCCTAAATTTATTTATAGAGTCATGCTGCCTAAAGCCTTGGGCCGGGCCTGTTCGGTTGTATCAATCAACATTACCTCTAGGGTTAATCCCAAATATGTACAATATCTCTGATAAACTTTTTCTAACAAGATTTCTGAATAAAATTTAAATACAACAAATTTTTAATTCAATTTTTTATTAAATTTAATTTTAACATCATTGACTCATTGTTAACTAAAACGTGATATCAACAAAAAGTATATATTTAATCACGATAATTTTTTTTCTTTCTAAAATACATCTTAAAATGATTAGCAGGTAATTAAAAAACACCAGGGATTGGAAGTTTGGGAGGTCTCAACTCGAAATACATTAATTGAGCTGCTAACTGTTGGTGAGTGATTTAGCATCACCCGGTTAACTCGATTCAAACCAAACAGAAACCAACAACAGAAGTCCTTTTAACTTAGAATGAGTCCACATTACATGAGGACAAAGAAATCGAACGAAAAATAGAAAAATTGACTCGAATATACGTTCAATACTATACAATCTTGAGAAAGAGAAAAGAAAGGAAGATCTTGGATCCGAGAATATGGAAGGAAAACATATTCGAAGATCTAGGAGGAAGAATATAAATAGAAATAAGCTGTCACCAAGCAAAAGATCCACAATTTGTCTCTCAAGAATCTTAGGCATCCAACTTACAAGAGAAAAACCCTAATTTGCTATCAACGGAAGAGAGATCTCTTTGTAATTGTATTGACCTGTTCTTGAAGGCAATAAAAAAAATCATTTCCGCAACTTTATTTCTCTTAATTAATTTCTCCGGTAAACCTGTACTCAATCTGACCCGCACACTAACTATGAGATTTGACCGTATATATATCTAAATGCGAATATAGGATCTTGATTTATCTAAAGATAAGTGACGAGACGAGAGTTGCAAGAAATTGGTCCCCTTTGCACATGTATGTGAGGAACTGCCAAGAATAGTGAAACATACATAAAACGTGCTGAAAAGGACAACTAAATAATGGTATATATCTTACATGTTGTCAGTGTCGTGGCTACACTCATAGAGACCTAGGACGAGTTTTAAATATGTGGTTGAGTTATAAGTTTTGTTTTGATATGATATCGAATTGAAACAAGATATATATAATGAAAATCGATGATATTTAAAAATAATAATAGAAAATTTAAAGATATATTTGTTCTCAAAACGTTCATTTGCTATTTTAGGGTTCTTGTTCTTAGATATTCTTTGTTTTTGATATCTTGATCTTATTATATACTATAATAGTATAATACAGTACTATTATTAAGGCAAGTTTTTCAAAATAATTTTTTCCATACAAGTAAGGTATTTATAAGAAAGAATTTCTCATAAAAATAATGTTCATTAAAAACACACACACACCCATTACACCAATTTAATTAAATATATAAGCCTATTTTCCTGTAAAATGTGTTCTTTTAATTAGATATTTTGTGAATCATATCTTCTTGATTTCCATGTATTGGACTTGTTATGTTGGTGTTGATCTCCAGTTCTCCATCTCTCATTGCCCTTGGGCAATTGTCTTTTATCTATGAGGGGAGGTGCGGCTCTGCATGCTGTCAAACAAGTAATTGGTCTTTAGGAGATGTGAGGAACTATCTTGGTAGGGAAGGCTTTTAAGGTTGGGAATGCCACATGCAATAACTTTGGCTGAGCTTTGGGAGAATGAAGAGGAAGAGAAGAAGACGGCTTTTCACATTCACATCTTTATTTGGTTCGGTGCTGTAATTTTTATTAGGTTTTTTCGTTTTTTTTTTGTCGAAATGTCAATCTAACGGTGGTGGTTGTTCCATCTCAGCTCCAAAATTGGTTTGATGTTGGTTTTGTTGGTGCAATTTAAATTTTAGTTCTAATTTAATTTATTTGTGAAAAAATAGAACTAAATTTAAAATTGATGCTGAAGATAGCAGCACGTTATACGAAACGTGTTGGTACTGAAACTGTCAAAAGACCGTTTGAATCTCATCTACAAAACTCTCAGAAAACAAAATCGCAATTAATATAAAAGCAATGAAACTTTATTACATAAAAGAGTTTTATTTAGTTCGATATTCCCTTGGATACATCGATCATACAAAGCTAACTTTATATAAAGGGGTTTTATTTAGTTTGATATTCCCTTGGATACAAAGATAACTTTATATAAACGAGTCTTACTTAGTTGAATATTCCCTTACTGTTTGGATACAAAGCTGCATAATGATTCTCCTCCTTAAAAGCAGCATCGAGGAAGGCGTTATTAAAGGGCTTTTGCTTGTAACAATCGAGATTTTCTCCAGGGGAAACCTCCAACATGTCACAGTACTTCTCATAATAATTTATACGATCCTTGACGCTCTGGTTTTGGTCAATTCCACACTCATATCCACCGTTAATAATATTAGTAATCACTCCGTAACCCGGAAATCTCCCTGCGGCAAGGTCGGCGTCAGAAGGCTGCCACTGGCCGGTGATCACGGCGTGGCACGACGGTTTGGGAGGCTGAGCAGTCATCCAGAACCAAATCGCGGCTTTGAAAGCGATCACGGTGTCGTTGGCCACTAAGTTAGGGTTGTTGAGTAAGTCAACTCCTATGTCTCTCCCGCATGGACCGTAATTGTAGTTCCATAACAGCTGCATGGGTCCTCTTCCATAGTAGCTTTCACTAGGTGCGCATGGCCACGGGGTATTCTGTTCACAGTAGGTTGAACTAGGATTCAATTGTTCCTTGTAACAGTAGCCCCATGAATATGGTCCGTCCGGTGCTCTACCTGCACATATATATAACCGTCCATTTTATCAATATATTATTTTTTGACAACAAAATTTCATTAATATATTGTCACAACTCTAAATTAATATATTATTTATACGTAAGTTTGAGTTTACATGATTTCTTATAAGATTATTCAAAAAAAAAATCATGCAAACTCAAACGTATAAATTGCGTTTCAAACAATATAAGTCTGATATTGGTGATTATTACCGGTGGTTTCTTGGGAAGTTTGGCCAAAGAAAGCGGCGATCTCCTTCTTTCTTGCGGCGGTGTTTCCAGTGGTGCCAAAGCTAGGGAAGGACTTTGCAGCGGTGATAAAGGCGTCGTAAGTGTAGAAACCTTTAGCAGGACATAGATAATTGTCCTTATTCAGAAGCATACCTTCGAACTGAGCTCTTGTAATGATGTCCGAAAGATCGCTGGATCCAGGACCATCGAACCAGCAATTGCTTTGGCACTCAGGCAGCTTACAATAAAGTTCGTTGTTACCGCAATATCCGTACTTGCTGCAGCATAGACCGTTGGGGCAGAGTGCTCCTTCGGCTTGACTACCACATTGCTCGGCCGAGGAAAATGATAAGAGAAGTGAGAAGATGAGGAAGGGAAAAAGATAGGTTTTCATTTTGCTCACACTTTTATGGTTCTTATTTTTAGGCAAGGAGGGGGTATATATAGTAGTTTACTAGATGCAATCAATGAGTGTTAGTTAAATCACATAAAATTTTTAAATTTTCCATTGCTAGATATTATGTGTGTGGAGTATTGCTATGGGGACCAAACAGTGTTAGTAGGTTTGTTACTTTGTTGTTAGATATTTATTTTCCTTTCCCCAAATGAAGATACTAGGTATTTTTGAGCATCTTCAAGATACCCTCTAATTTGAAATCTCTACAAGTATCTTATCAATATTATAATGATATTTTTATAATTTAATTAAATTTCAAGTAACAAATAAAATTGAATCAGTTACATTAAAACAAGTGGCATATGGATATGGAGTTCTAAAGAGGAACTCAGAGATTCTTAAAGAATAATAACCTTTCCACAGTCTCTTTTTTCTATTTGATTAGTTTGTGTTATTTTAATGTTAAGAAATTCATTAAAACCCCCGTTGGAGAATACTATATTGATCATTTTTCCGACTTAAAACTATATTTTATTTATTTGTTGGAAAACATCAGGTCGTGGAAGTTTTTGTAAATGTGATATCTACAAAAATTTATACTTAATTAATCGCGATAAATTACTTTTGTAAAATACATCTTAAATGATTAGCAAGGCAATTGAAAAACATCATCGTGGAAGTTTGGGAGAGTCTCGAGTGGAAATACATTTTATTTATAAACAACTTCTTGTCTTTTCTTACATCGATACCATTTTGAGCTTACAAGATGAAAATAAAAGTGAGATGAAGTGGAGAACATTTTAACAAAAAAAAAATGAAGTGGAGAACATACAAAAGGGAACTAAAATTCATAAGTACTAGCTAGTAGAGAATTGATGGAGAATTTTGTTTTCGAACTTGAAGGTGGCCTCTGTAGACTTGAATGGATCTAAACCAGGTAGATAAACAAGACTCCTCAACTTGCTGGGGAGTAGTATATGGTTGATGCGATTGAGAGCCAAGGGAAGCCAATTTGCTACGGATAGTTTGCCTAATTTGGCGCATAAGAATTGATGTAGGTTTTGACTTTTGAGGAGCTAAGGTGAAGCAGTGAATTTCATTGATAGAGCTTTCGCACTAAGAGATTTGACTGTGCATGAATATATAAATTTAAATGATTGTATATAAATTAATCATATCTTAAATTCCAATAAAGGGAACCCATGGTCACGAGAGAGTTGCATGAAATTGGTCCCCTTTGAACGGATATGTGAGGAACTGCCAAGAATAGTGAAACATATATAAAACGTGCTTATAACTAAAAAGAAACACACAAGAGCCACTAACCACTTTGTACCTAATTCTCTTAATGAAACTACAAGAGATAAATTAAGCTTCTCTTTTCATTGTGTTAGACTGTACTGATTGCTATTTGTTATTGAAGAAGGTTAGCCTTCTCTCTTCGGCTCTTCGCTATACACGTGTGACAACTAAATGAAGAAAATTCTAAAGCAAGAAGATTTATGCTCAAATGAGCTTATTTATAGAAATATAAAACTGAAATTAGATAGCTCATTAAGAGCTTTAGAGCATCCACAGTGGAAATCTCTCACATAATCTTTCAATAACATTAAAAAGAAAATAATAAAAAGGAAGAGTGAAAAAAGAGAATCTATTATCAAATGATAACATATGAGAATCTCACTAGAGACTCCTTTCACCCATGGCAAGATTTGATTGGTTTTTTTTTAAAAATTTTTTTGAATTTAAAATAACAATTTAATTGTATTAAAAATATTAAAATAATATTTTTTGAGAGACTCTATGGGTGTATACCACTGTTGATGCTCTTATTATGCAAAGAAACTAAAAGAGAAATATTATTTTGTTCTCACCAAGAACACAATGATTCAAGATTGAGACTTTTATAAAGATAGAGAATGGGAGTTTTTTTTAGATAACTCTCAAAGTTACTTACATTGATTCTTATAATAACATATATATATATATATATATATATATATATATATATATATATATGAATCTAAGATTACTAGACAACTCTAATGTCATAGGACGATGAGCTTTTCATGGGACAATATTTGGGTTTGGAATGAAGGTTCTAATAGAATTCCCAAACTTTGGTTGTTTTGGAAATTTTTACTTCTTTTTTTTCTTTTTACTCTGTTTTGTCTAAATTTTTTCACCCAATTTTTTTCCAATATTGCAAGTAATCATTCTAAGTTACAATATTCTTTTCTTTAAACTAAAAGTTCTAAAAGAAGTTTTACCAAAAAAAAAAGTGCTATTAAATTATTAGATTTTTTGAAAATTAAACAATTGAAAATTGTTATCAAATATTGTTGACGATTCCAGTTTCGGTTGCATTTGCTGAAAGAAGTTTTCAAAACTAAATTTGATCAAATTGTATCTTCGTTCAAGCTATCACAAGAAAGATTGAAGTCTATTTTATCTTTTAAAATAGGATAGTTAGAAACATTGATTTTGAAACATTGGTTAGCAATATTGTAGATAAAAAAAAAAAACAAATGTTTTAAAACTAGTATTTTATTTGCTAGTTTGTTTTCTATATACGATAATGGTGTTTATTTTTTATTTTATTTTATTTGAATTGGGCCATTTTTTTAATAGCTTACGAGATCCGTTAACATTCGCAAGGTTATATGTACTTTAAGTTATCCATATTTAAAAGAGAAATCCATAGCACATTACCCACCTAAAGCTCACTCGAAAATGATGCTGAAGATAGCGGCACGTTGTACGAAACGGGTCAGCACAGACACTGTCAATCACCTTGCAATCAAAGTATGAATATCTATGCAATATTGCAATCTCATCTACCCAGGCCTGCATCTGCCAGAGCCCGGTTGACAAAAGAGAAAAATCTACCAGAGCCCAACTAGAGACCCACAGCAAACTTCATAATAACTTTATATTAACTTCTTGCCAAGAATAGAATCTAAAAGATGCTTAGCAGTTCATGGACAGAGTTTTATTAGCTGATGTTATTGTTTGGATACAAAGCTGCATATAGTAATATATAGTTTTATTTTTGATAGAAGCATTCATCAATCACGGTAATTAAAGCTGCATATTAATGCTCATTATATAGCAGCGTCGAGGAGGCCGTTACCAAAGGACCTTTGGTTGTAACAATCAAGATTACCACCAGGATTAACCCCAAATATGTTACAATACCTCTGATAAAACCCTATACGATCCGCCACTCTCCCGTCTTGGCCACGTCCACATTCCAATCCACCGTTAATGATGTTCGTAATCACTCCGTAACCGGGTAATCTCCCGGCGGCACGGTCGGCGTCTGACGGCTGCCATTGGCCGGCTATCACCGCGTGGCACGACGGTTTGGGAGGCTGAGCAGTCATCCAGAACCAAATCGCGGCTTTGAAAGCGATCACTGCGTCGTTGGCCACGAGGTCAGGGTTGTTGAGTAAGTCAACTCCTATAGCTCTACCGCATAGACCGTAATTGTAGTTCCACGACAGCTGCATCGGTCCTCTTCCATAGTAGCGTTTGCCAGATGCGCATGGCCACGTGGCGCTTGGTTCACAGTAGTCTGAACCAGGATTCTGTTCTTGCTTGAAACAGTAGCCCCATGAAAACGGTCCGTCTGGAGCTGTAGCCCACCCACCTGCACGATGTAACCGTCCGGTTCATTAATATATATATATATATAGTCACAACTTTACATTATAATTGATGTTTATAGTTTTAGGCTGAGGAATTTGACCCAAAACAAAAATTAGAAAATATTGTATTATAAACGTAAAAATTAGAAATTACGTTTGAAATTATCAAAGCTTCATTGTTAATGAGTACCTGTGGTTTCATGGGAAGTCTGGCCGAAGAAGGCGGCGACCTCCTTTTTCCTGGTGGCGGTGTCTCCGGTGGTGCCAAAACCGGGGAAGGACTTTGCAGCGGTGATAAAGGCGTTGTAAGTGTAGAAACCTCTAGCAGGACAAGCAGCATCATTCCTATGCTTAAGCATATCATCGAACTGAGAACTTGAAATGATGCCCGAAAGATCGCCGGTGGGTCCAGGAGTACCACCGGGAGTGCACTGGCTTTGGCAGCCAGGCTGCTTACAGTAGGGCTCAGTGTCACCGCACCATCCGAACTCACTGCAGCATAGACCGTTGGGGCAGAGTGCCCCTCCGGCTTGACGACCACATTGCTCGGCTGAGGAAAATGATAAGACAAGTGAGAAGAAGAGAAAGAGCAAAAGATTTGTCTTCATTTTGTTCAAAGTTTTATGGTTTTCATTTTTTGTAGGCAAGAAAGATATATATAGTATAGTATCCAATATTAATTATCATATCACATTTTGTTTCTTCTATAGTTTATAGTTTGTTATGTCTGTGGAGTGTGGCTATGGGCAAAATAAACAGTGTTGGTAGGTTCGTTTTTATATTTATTTTCCATTTCCGTCAATGTTGTTAGGTTAGATGTTGATTTGTTTTCGGGAATTATCTATGTTTATAACTACAAGTAATGATAACTTTCTATGTATGAAACTGTGCTAAATGTTGATAGAGGAATACGAATTTTAGAAGACCAAAAGCATAACAAATTAGTACACTCTTTTTGAATTTTTGTTCTTGAAATAAGTGGAGTCGTCAAAATGAAAACACTTGTAAATACATCTTAAATTACTATCGACATAACTAATGGGACATAAAGGCCGTGGAAGTTTGGGTGGCTGAAAACACGTTACTCGAGTTGTGGACTAACCGATGATCTGAGTGTTTCACTAAATTAATCACACACACATACATTTCCCTACGATGTTATACACAATGCTTGACTATATCTAAGACATGTCACAAGAGTTGCAAGAATAGTCAAGAATACGTATAACGTGGAGACAATGAAATAGACGTGTCTAAATATTTAACTATGAATGTTGACAAAAAACAAATATAACTTTAATTATGAATATGAGGCGGCGGGCGGGTTCATGATCAACTTTTCAAAAGGAAATCGAGACTTTTATAAGGTAACGTATAGCGGTAGCCAGTTAATGTTATAATGACTCAAGACCAAATCATACAAATATTTAATATCCATTCATGACAAAGAAAATTTCCAATTGACTCTCTATCTCTTTATATTCTAATGTTTTATCCAAAGTATACGTGTCAAGATTACAAGATTATGAAAATCTAAAATCTCAACGAAACCTGCTTGCTCTTCTTACTGTACATAATAATCTAATCTCTCTCTATCTCTATACACGTTAAGTACCTTTGACTGAGTCTCTAATCTCCATCACTGTGGGCTGCGTTGCAGTCTCTTTCAGGTAAAATATATAGGCACTAATTTGACTTTTTAATTCCTAGAAACAATGAAGAACCAAATCTAGGCAGTTGCATCTGATCGATCACATGGGCTCATTAAGTGATACTACAATAATATCATTATATTCCACAAATTATATCAAGATGACACACCCTTCAAGCAACAAACAATTTATGTTCCTCATTCTTGGAACCAACAATCTCCACATCTTGTATTTCATGCAAATACAGCTTGAATCCCTAATTAACATTTAACTGATATATTTGTTACATAACTATACTAAAAATATCACTAGGGTAATTTTCTTTTTGATTTGTTGGTCGTTCTAGAAACCTTTGTTATCCAACCAAACAATTTATGTTATGACTTTTATTAATCCTCTCAGAACTCGAATATAAGATCGTTTCGAATTTGTTTTTGGGTAAAAACATAACTATAAATAAATTAATTTAGTAATTACGAGTATTACACTGATCCTATCTTAATCTATATTTAAACTAATTTGTAAAGGAAAATTGGTTATTCATAATTTTAATTGAATTGGGTTCCTCACAGATCTAATCTCCACCGTACACGTGGATGAATGAAGGGGCATCGTGCTTTTTTCCACTTGAAGTCGGTTAGTGGCTTCTTTATGAAGCCTTAAAAAAAAGAGTGTGAAATCGAAAATTCGAAACGGTACAATGGGAGATTCCAAGAGGCAGAAGACGGAGACGAAGATGGAGAAGGTAGAGAAAATTGAGAAGATAGAGAAGGAAGAATCAAGACCCGTCGATTTCGCAGAACTACGTGACGATCTCTTCCGCGAAGCAGCAAAACTTGTCTCCGAAGTTCCCTCCACCAAAATCGCCATCTTCGTTACCCCTCCTCCTTCTTCCTCCGAATCGGACGTCTCTATGTATTCCTTCGGCTTTCCCTCTGTCAATGGCGTTGTTAACACTTTCCTCCAAGATAACTGTCCTGATCCGGCACCAGCGGATGCTGAGGAGGAGGAAGAAGAAGACGAGGATGATGAAGATGATGCGGAGGTTGAGGATGATGCAGCGCCTCAAAGGTTTTGGTGGGAAGATGGTAAGCAATTCGAATCGATGAATCCGGAGCAATTGGACGCTGCGTATCAGAAGTTGGCGAGGCTGAGGGACCGTATGATTCTTGAACTTGAATCGAGAGCTCAAGATTCTGGAAATCACAAGGATCTTAACAACGACAAAGCTGCTGAACCCAAACCCTAAGGCTCATGCATTTTCATGTTCATCTCTTACTTACATCGTTTTGAGTTCTATGTCTACGATTTTATAGCGATTTTATTAAGAGTTTCGAGTCCAGGATAGGTTGATTTGATCATCTTGTGGCTTGCTTAATTCTTGGTAGCTAAACTGTGATTCTACTTTTAACTGCAATGAAAATCTTTATTACTTCCAATATCTATTGCGGTTCTCTATACATACGTAAGACATTGATTCTTGAGGCTAAATCAGAGAAATGGGAATCACATTTTTCTCCACCAAAGTGAATGCTTTATTTGATACATATATTACATTATTGCAAAAAGAATCGGAGTGTTGAATTTCTTTATTTCTCCCTGGACAACAATGGTTCCTTAAAAACTATGTCGGGTTCAACTTCAGCGTATGATGGTGAGTTTTTCGCGCCACTTCTTCTCCATAAGCTTGATTTGCTACTTTCTTCAACATTTGTGGGTGTGTTGACGTAATGAACACAAACTTGGACTGCATCGTGTACTCTCACGAAGAACCATTCTTTGCCAATAAGTTCCACAATGCCTGCTCTTGCTAGAGTTAAGAGAACCTCTTTGTTTGGGTTCGAGATTGCTAGCTGCTCCATCGAAAACCAACTAATCATCAAGGTGTTGACAACTTAGAAACAAGTACTAAATTAAGGATGATGATATCAGGTTTGCACCTGAATGCCCCTTGTTTTATACTCCTCGTACAAATCTTTTAAAGCTTCTACTGCGCTCGAGTCTATGTATGTGACAGCTGTGTTACGCCCAACCCATTATCGATTAGATTAAGCACCTATGTAGGTTTCGAGCTGTGAATAGAAGAAAAATTGGACTTACGAGACATTTCCAGGATAACAAAGTAGATCCTCTCCATATCTGGTCCCTTGCTTGTGTGTTTGTCGATAGCTACTTCATATTCTCGTAGCCTGCAATTTGGAAACATGGTGTTGTTGTATTGATTCTTTCTGCAGATCATAACAGAAGGCAAGTCATGAACCAAATGTGAGTTTCACCTGTCCTTGATGTAGCTTATGTTGGCAAAATAAATGGGAGCATCGATTCGAACAATCACAATCCCGCTGTAAGTATATGCCTCTGGATACTGCTTCATGTTTCTGTACACAGTGGTCCCTGGAAGACGCCCCAAGACAGCTGCCAAAACATATGTAATGGAATGTGATCAAGACTATGAGTGAAGACCATTTCTGAGAGACAAAACAAGAAAATTGAACAGAAACTCATCTCACCTATATGAGGGTTTGCAGACTCGTGTATAACAAATGCAAGTGAAAAACCAACCTGAAAAATTCCAAGCATTACAACTCCGTGAGTCCTAAGAAAGCGTTGCACAATTCACATAGGTTCTCTAACTTTTCAACATCAGCACTTTTTTAATTTCAAAGAGATATGATCGGCTACAAAAATAAAGCTGAGTGAGTATGAACATACTCACACCAATGAGGACCCCAATCTCTATTCCAAAAAACAAAGTGGTAGTGCTAGTGATGGTCCAAAGAGTAAAATCTCTCTTGTCCACACGCCACAGAAAGATTGCCCCTTCATAGTCCACCTAATATGGTAAACATCCAGAAAGAGTAAGATCAATAAGCAAAGGCAGTAAGTACACATCCCGGATTCTTTTCTGGTGGGTTGATTTGAACTTACCAAGCCACTAACAGCAGAGATCACTATTGCTGCTAAAGCACACTGCGAATTTGAGAAACAAACTGGAGTTAGGAGCCAGATTTTAGTTTCAAAATCCTCCAAAGTTTCAGATTTATAAGGAATTTATATGAAGTTAAAAAAAAAAGAGAGCACAAGACTGTGGAACTAGAAATATTCAACACTGACCTACCTGTGGTATATATTTAAACATTGGGGTCAAGAACAGTAGAGAACATCCAATGATAATTCCTGTTACAAGGCCTGATAGGCCAGTCTTGGCTTCACTTTCACTATTCACCGCTGACCTAGAAAAGGATCCTATATAATATATTTAGGGTATAATCAGATTTATCAAATTCAGGCTACGACTTAGAAATATTATTCTTTTGTTTTGAAATTATCATAGAAAACACACATTACATGTTGTCACTAGTTTATGGCATTACTCATCTCAACAGTCAAGATTACGTACCTGTAGTTGGATATGCAGAGAATAGTGACCCAAGTATATTTGCAACACCAAGACCAAACAACTGTCAAGTCATGGGAGAAACAGACAGAACTCTCAACTAGTGTTAAAAGAAGATGTAGAGATTAAAAGAACAAGTACAACATTTAATGGTAAGACTTGGGCTAGCCGCTAGCACTTGATTTTCTTTATTCTACAGGGTTAATACCTCTGAATTTGAATCCAATTCGTATCTATTTTTCGCGGCTAGTGCTTTCGCAATACCTACAGATTCCTGGATAAAAAGTCGAACTAGCATATCAGAAAACACAAACATGCGCAAACTGCAGCTGAAACTAATCAAGAAACTCGCTCTTCTGCTTCTCAAGAGGTCAAATAACTCCATGTCTCAGCAATATCCATCCATTTACAGATTCTCATGATTAGGTTCAGCTGCACCTCGCGTAAGTCCAGGAAAAAGTACTATGATGTCTCACCAAGATGGCAACACCAGTAATGAGAGCCGATGTTGGAAGCAGTAATTTAGCATGATCAAAACTTTTTGGGAAAGAAAACTTTGGAAGTCCCTGAGGTATATCTCCCACCTGAGAAATCCTAAAAACTTTGCAATCAATTACTGCAAACACTCACAAAATATGTAGATTCAATAGGGAAAAATATAAGAATTTGATTCTTTAGCAATCTGACCAGTGTGATGGAAGGTGGATGGAACACTTTTGCAATCATTGTACCAAGAGCAAGCCCTGTGAGCGGTCCTGCTGCTCGTACGAACTGAAGTTCCTTCTTTGCTTTTCCCTGGCGCAGAACATGATGCCTTAGCATAATAAAAGTTAAGGGAACATAAGAACTATCCTACGGACACAGGGAAGAACAAGGCTCATACCACATGCTTCATTACTAAAAGGATCACCAGAATGGTAGATCCCAACAAGAAAGGTGGCCACTTAAACTGCAAAACAGAAATTCAGATGAAGTTATACAAGTAGGCTCAGGAGGTATGCTGAACCAAAAGGAATTGCAACACCATTACGAATCTAAAGACCAAACCTGATCAGCTCCAGCTATTATGCTCTCAATTACTGGCATAATCTTACTGCTCCGAGAAACGCTATACCCCAGGAAGTATTTCAATTGGGATAACCCAATCACAACAGCTGAAGCAGTTGTAAATCCAGAAATGACTGAGTGACTTATGAAACGAATAAGCCATCCAAGCCTGGATTGAAGAAAGAAACAAACGACTTGTTCTAACACTACAAAAAATACAGGACTTTCTTGCACAAGTAAGCTAAAGGAGTAGCCGTAAAGAGAAGACTATAATTACCTCAAGAACCCCATAATGCACTCAAATATCCCAACCAGAAGAGCCAGCAAAATGGCAAGCTCAGTGTATAGCTCTTCAGATGAATCAACAATTCCACCCAAGGCATTCGAGACGAGAAGGGAAACTAATGCTACAGGTCCAACTGCAAGCTGACGGGATGAACCGAACACGGCATACACAAATACAGGCACAAATGAGGAGTCTGCACCAAACAAGATTAATAACTAAATGCAAAACTGGGAATAGCTTAGTATCACATTGATGAATTCATAAAAGGGTATTGAACTCACATAGACCGTATATTGGTTGAAGCCCAGCTAACCTTGCATACGACATTGCCTGCTCAAATCCATCAAAACAGAAGTTACTCGAAACTAAACTCATTTAACCAAGAAGAAGTACAAACATACTCATTAGAGTTCCTGTGATTCACTTTCTATATATAAGCGATCTCTAGATGGTAGAAATTCCGAGAAGATAGAATCAACAATCAATCGAAAATGACCTGGGGAACAAGCATGATACCGACGGTGATACCAGCCATAAGATCGAGCTTAAAGTATTGATGCCACCGGTATGTCCGAATCCAAAGGAAGCAAGGAAATATGGTATCAATCCAGTCGAAGAACGTCATACGCTTGATCTTCGCCGTCCATCGGGAGAAGAAATCATTGAAGGGAATGGAGTGACAATGAGGATCAGAAGAGGTGGAATCGGGATGCTGGAGAGGAATGATCTTCACCGGAATCGCCGCGGATGAAGAGGACGAAGCCGTGGAGAGATCCTTCACGGCGAGAGACATCGGAATTGGTGGGATAGAGACGAATGTGATCAACGTGAAAAGAGACGTATCACTGATTGTAGCATGAAGAAACAGAGAATAGCGTAATGCCAGTTTGGGATGGATAAGGACTAGAAGGCGGCTACATTCATAACTTTATATTAATGTTTAATCATATCATTGCGTGTCTTAATAATAATATTAATCAATATGTTTCGTTGATTACTATTAAGTATAAGCCTTTGACTAAAACAGTACCATCTCTAAATATCCCGTCATGATTCAAGTTCATCATTCTTCCAATTTTAAAATTCAATCATGTTTCATACTTAGATTGTCTCATTAAACTAGCTGGTTTATGAGTTCGTATGTTTCAACCTTTGTGCTCTCCAGTAAATTGTGTATCACGTAAAAAACACTGAGCTCATATTTGCAGAGGTGTTGATCGATTTTAGCCCACATACTTGAAATGAAACCATATGGGATCCTTCGTGTGACCATTTCACCTAAATAAACTCATTTGCCATTTTAATATTTCTGTTCATTAAAGTGAACTTTCAGTCACACCAGAACCCGTCTATTGAGTATTCGTAACATAAAAGATGCTTAGTATCAATGCAGGAGAAACAAGTCATATATTACTATACCGATACATGCTGCTGGTGTTCTCACTTCTCAGGGAGCTCGACCAACGTTGGCGTAGATGATACCTGACTTCTACTCACTTAGGCAAGGACGTAGAAGCTACCTAGCGTTGCCTTAGAGGTCTCTGTAAAACATGTGTTGCGGTTTGTATTTGTCTTTAAAAAAAAGCACAAAGAATTGAGTGAGAAGTGTGAAGAGCATTACCCTTGGTTCATTGTTGGCTTCACGCTGTTGTCTACTACTTCTAGTGTCTCTGTCTACATCAGCCTCTGGCTTGTCATGCTTATAAAATGCTTCTAAGGCTCTTATCACAAATGGTCGGACTATGTTCACTTCCATTGCCGAAACGTTGGAGATCTACATTCTCAAGTTAGGGATTTTGTTATTATTGAAATCAATCACTCTTGAGAGTTAATGAGAAAAAGGCAATGTCAAGATGAAGCAATTAAAAACATTTACCTTTACTGCAGATGTACCTTGAAATGATCCCAAGTTAGTCTCGAGTTTGTGAAGCCGCACATCTCTGATGTCCTCGACTAGGGATCTCACCTATACAAAATTCATAACGGCTCTAAACGGTTGAAGAATTCAAACACATGGTTAGAATAAGAAACAAAATCCAGCATGTGTATGAAATTACCATATACATGTCTGGAATATCATCACGTGCACTGCCAAAAGTGGTTTTAAATACTCATCAGCACCCTCTGATGCTAGAAGTGCAAAGGGAAGCAAAGAAACAAGAAGGGTTTAAGAACCTACTGGTCAAAAAGTAGTCTGGCTATTTCCACGTAACTAAATGGTAATTCCTGAAATGTCGACTGAGATTCACGTTCTGCTTCCAAGATCTGAGTCAAATTATCTAGTTCACAAACAAAGAAGCAACAAGAAACAGTTAACACTTGAGCATCTAATATAACTTAACATATAAAATTTATCTGCCAATGTGCAATTGTCTTACCAACAGACATCCACCCAGGAGGCCGGAACGTGCATTTTCCTCTCCTCTTCAGTGCCACTGCAAGCCACAGAGGCACCTTTGTCGGAATCTGAGGAATGAACTTACCGAAATCGCCCTGTCATTGTTCCACATATTAATCAAATGCTTAACAAAAAGGTTTCAAGGGCATTGATTTCAGGATTGCATAAAACAAGAGAGATTACACTGATGAAATTGAGTTGCTCCATGTTCATATTAGGAACGATCTCCACCAGTTCGTCCTCTGCCATAAACTCAACCTGGTATGAATAGCTAACCAATTATACCATTGCAGACCGTACACAAAGAAACGAATACAAGTAAAGAGGAGAATAAGGACCTCTTGTGGAGAAAACAGTGAAATATGAGGATCAGTCTGGCCAGCCATTGATGTATCTCAAGAAATCTCAGTTTCCAGACCTAAATGCAAACGTGTGGAATAACACAAAGAAGGCAGAGAAACCCTGATCAAAATAGAGACAAAATACAAAACCTTCTGAAATCTAAAGAACATGTTAAAACAAAGTTGACAAACTTCAAAATTATTGGAGGGAGTAAAAATCTAGCTTGTATCAATAGCCCAAAACAAAGGGTGGAAAAATTATCCTTGGTAGAGACATTTAATCAAACACCTTGTCTACAGAAAATTCCTCATTTTCTACCACATATCCACTTCCAATTTCAGCAGCAGCATGAAACAGTAAATCTTTAAAAAATATCTAGTGATCCAACAAATGAAATTTCGCAAATTCTGAGGACTAATTTTAAAAAGAACGCCGGATATTATTGTAAGAAGAGAATCCTCTGTTCCTGATTTGTGATATGAGGTCGAGTTTACCTGGGTAAATTTTGTGTGATTCCTGAAATTTCAGATCGATCTCTTCCTATCTCCTACGAACAGAAACTAAATGAAATTCCCCAACACCGGAAACTCCCGAAGATTGAAAAATCAGTGATCACTCAGGTCGAAGAGGAGGAAATGGATCTAGCTTAGCAAACCCAGGAAAGAAAAATCGAAATCAAGTAGAAGAAGATGAGAAGATGAAAAATATAGAGAGACACATTCGACTGTCGATGCGGCTTTCTACGTTGGCGGGAAATCCGATTTCAGTGTAGCGGGAAGCTAAAATGGCCAAGTAAACAACAAGGCTATCTCAAAAAATAACTCCGATAGGTTTCGGTTAGACCGGTATTTTTAATTTAACCGAACTCAAACCAAAACCGGAATTATAAACCAAATCAATTTTATTCTAATTGATAATAACACTTGTTGTTTTGTAAGACTAGTCGAAAAACAAACAAATCGAATCAAACAACCACTAAATTTTATATTGAGTCAAACGAGAGATGGTAAAGCAATGTTGTGCTGTATTCTTAAAAGAATAAGGTAATGTTTTAATTTTATTAAAATCTAAATTTTCTTCTCTAACCAGAATCAAACTCTTTTGTGTTCATGGCTTTCACGTCATGACGACTTTCTCCTAATCCTTAAAATAAAAAAGGATCCAAACCAATAGGTGAATCAACATACGACTTGATTGCAGGCACGACTGTTTATTTATCACCTCATCATATCTTCCTACATTAGTTTGTCTTTTTTTGTAATGCTTCACCGAAGTTGCTTTTAGTTTCTCTCGACTCCAAACAACACAAAAATGAAACTGGAAGACTTACTTGTGGAAGACGAAACCAAAGATCAACCTGGCGTTAGCGTTGCGGCTCTTCTTGATCATCATCGTCGTCACCCCCAGCCCCTGCAACAACAAGTAAGTCAAACTCGTATATAATCCCATCATATTTGGAATCCCAACAATGAGATATGGAAACCTAAATCATGCTTATATCTATTCTTTTGTTCTGATCGGTTTTGTTGCAGCCATCAAAACTGAATGAGCAAAAGAGCGAAGAAGAGAAGAATGATTTGTTAAAGAAGAAGCAAAAGCGAATTCTTCAAAAAGAAGTGATGAAAATGCAAGGAGAGCTAGAGGACGAACAAGCACTAAACAAGGCTCTACGTGATATGCATCGTGGTCCCGTCATGTCTCAGCCACGTCTCTCTTTACTGCTTCTTCCTCCTCAGGTTAGTCAATCTAGACTTAAGGCGTAATTTGAATGAATGAAATGGAACTTGATTTTGAGTTTTGTATAGGTTCAAGAGCTCATAGAAGAGCTTGCGACGGTTGAGGCAGAGATACTCTGTCTTGAGAAACGAATCCAAGACTTGAAACTTGATGTGTATAGTGAGAAAAAAGAGAATAAAGAACTCGAAGCCAGTATTGATGAAGGAGAAGAAGAGAGGTTGATGAATCCTAAGAGACTACTACAAAGGCTGAATCATCTTCCTTGCGATGCTGACAATGACATTATAAAGATGAGATCTGAGGATCTAAAACACAGATCCAAGTCGCAGAGTTATGCAGATCATCATGTTGTCAAGGATATTCAAATGAACAGTCCTCGTACTCATGCGTCAATTGGATCAACTATGGAGTTCTCATCAAGAATCCATTCTTCGACTTTTTCTGATGGAACATCAAGAACACAAGAGAGTAAGAATGTGCAAGAGACGACACCAAACGGAGTATCGGAAGATCTGGTGAAATGCTTGATGGGAATCTATCTGGAACTCAACAGGTCTTCGCGAGAACGAGAAGGGTCAAAAACTGTTTCAAAGCTGAGCCTTACACACCTCAAGAACGCTTCTTTCAAACGCAAATCGTTGTATGACCATAACGCATCGAATCTTGATCCTTACGGAGCTGTGATGGGGACTTCTCTTAGAGACATAGGAGAGTACAAGAACTTCATCCATATCACTCGAACCTCCATTGATGTTAGCCGTTTATCCGATTGCTCCACTTCTCTTGTCAATTTGAGGTACTTAAAATTTTAGATTTCCTTCTTAATAATCTGATGAGAACACAAGATTTCATGATCTATGTATAATTAAACACACATGCAGGGTTTTGAAGGAGAAGTTGAGCAAAGTCGATTTGAGTTTCTTGAACCACAAGAAAAAGATGGCATTCTGGATCAATACCTACAACGCCTGCGTTATGAATGTAATTCCGAAACTCAATTCATATTTCGTTGAAGCAAAGTCAAGATTTCGGAAAATAACTTTGTTTGTTTGCAGGGATTTTTGGAACACGGACTACCTTCATCAAAAGAGAAACTACTGACCATTCTCAAAATGGTAACTAATACAAAACAAGAAACGTCTTAAACTTCTCATACTTAAATTAAGTAACCAAATTGACCTGTGTTGTAGGCAACAATTGACGTGGGAGGTACTCAACTGTCTGCTCTAGATATCGAAGGATCCATCTTGCTGAGTCCATGCGAACCTAGGGAATCTGTAAGTACTCATACTGATGTCATATATATATTTATGTCATAATTAATCCTCTGAAGTTGTTAAAATCAATATTGATTTTTTTTGTTCATCCGAATAAAAAGTTTTCAGCCGGTGAAAGCGAAGTAAGAATACAGCAACGCTACGGATTCAGATGCGTAGAGCCAAACCTAATGTTCGTGCTTTGTCGTGGAGATTGGTCCTCACCTGCTGTAAGTTCACTAAATTCCTTCAAATTTGATAAGTATTGCTTCAAAGGTAGAAACTAACAAAGCATCTTTGTTCATCACCTATATATACATGATACAGTTGAGAGTCTATACAGCAGAAGATGTTGTGAACGAACTAATCAAAGCAAGAACAGAGTATCTAGAAGCTTCCATCGGTGTATCGGGAAGGAAAAAGATTGTGATTCCGCGATTCTTACACAAACGTCTACAGGATTTCGCTGAGGATGAAGGGTCGTTAATTGAATGGATATGCAGCCAATTACCACCAGTCCAACGTTGCTTGCAGCTCAAGGAAACAGCGGTTGAGTGGTTGAACAAGAAAGGTGAATCTCAATTGAAAAAAATGATAGAAGTGAGGTCTCACGAATACGAGTTTCGTTATCTCTTGCCATTGTAAAATCTAATCCTTCAAATTTGTAGTATTTGGAGCTTTGAAAAGACGATTGTTCTGTATGTTTGTGCTTTTAAGAAAATGAAGTTAATAGTGAATTTTGATTAATCATGACAAACAAAAAATAGTAACTCCAATACAATCCATTATTACATTCCAAATAGAAGAATAATCGTTTGTGACAGGAGAAAGCTAGGATTAGGGATGACATATTGTGTGTATATATATAAAAGACCTTTATTTAAATCTAGATCATGATACAAAACAGTAGATTACAAATCTCTGTCAAAATAAGTATGCTGTATTATTGTTGTAAATGTATAATTTGTAGATCTTTAACACTTAGGATGAGGAACACGACAAGCAATGAGAAGTCTGGGCAAGAGGACAGGGTTCTTAATAAAATACTTACAAGCACATGGTTGTGGCTTTACCAGTCTTCCACAACAGTAAGTCGGCAGTTTGGTTCCTTTATCAATGGCAACTAAACAATTTGCAACCTCACTCATGCATTTGGCCATCATCTCATCACCAACAACTTTGATCGGAGCAGACAAGAGTATGAAAAAGGCAATGAGCATCAATGGAACGATCTTCATGTCTAATTATTTAGTAACTTTCTTTGTTTTGTTTTAGGTCTATTTAAATAGGAAACTGGAATCATGTTTAATTCCGACAAAAAATGGAAATATGAATGGTTGGAATCAATTCTTAAACCAAAAAAAAAGGAAAATACTAAATTTCTACTCCGAGCAATTGACTTGTTCAAAAAACCTACAGTATATTAGCTTATATAGATTAATTGTAATTTTCGAAGTCCCTCATCTTAAAGTCTTTCCTAAACCGAACCGAAATATCATCAAATCACAATCTTTGTCTCCGGTTTACAAATCCCTTCTTGCGACGACTTCAACGCGCGACCATAGCGCGTGGAATACAAACAGAGATTTCTTGGAATATCTCCAAAGCCCTTTTGCTGCTTCTCTCTCGAAAATGGAAACGAACTTAGAAAAAACAAAAAGAAATCGAAATTAATTGGGAAACAAAATATCTTATGATCTCCAGAATCTGCTGAAGTTTCGAGCTATATCTCTTCTTCTCTACAGAGGCGATTTCTCAGGTACAGTTCTTAAACGTCTTCTTTGCTTTGACATTGATCGTTTCTTTCCCAATTTGCTTCTGGGTTTTGGGTATTTTTCTTCAGTTTTGCAATTTCATTAGTCGATAGTGAACACTACGAAACAGTAGACCCCAATTGTTCATAATTTCTCTAGAAATCAGACATGCATGTTTCATTAAACATAGAGAGAGTGTTAAGCAGAGAAGTGAACATATTTTCCGGATCTTACAATGTACTTAGATTTTGCAGCTCGTAGATGTAAAACAATAACTGGAGGCGGTGATGAACAACAAATTGAGTGATTTTGAGAAAAGTTTGTACAAAAAACTCAAGACTGGAAAGCTCGAGGTGAAAGTCTCATACCGGACTTTCCTGTGTCCCTATTGCCCCGATAACAAGAAGAAGGTTGGTTTGTATGTTGACATCCTTCAGCATGCTTCTGGAGTTGGTAATAGCAAATCCAAGAAAAGAAGTTTGACTGAGAAGGCAAGCCACCGTGCTCTTGCCAAATACCTTATTAAAGATCTTGCACATTACGCCACAAGTACAATATCTAAGCGCTTAAAAGCTAGAACATCATTCACGCCTGCTGAAAGCGGTGATACTCCTCTAGTTTATGATGATGATCAATTCGAGAAACTTGTGTGGCCTTGGAAAGGTAATGAATGACACATACTTTGTTAAGGCCCATCTCCTATGTCATTACAAGTATCTATTAGCACTATTTATAGCCTCTACTAACTGAAGTTGTGTCTGTGGCTGAGATAGGCGTTTTGGTTAATATTCCCACGACGATTACACAAGATGGTCGGTCTTGTACTGGAGAGAGTGGTCCAAAACTTAAGGATGAGTTAATCCGAAGAGGATTCAACCCAATTAGAGTTCGTACTGTGTGGGATCGTTTCGGTCATTCAGGAACCGGGATAGTGGAATTTAACAGAGATTGGAATGGACTTCACGATGCTTTGGTGTTCAAGAAAGCCTATGAAGCAGATGGTCATGGGAAAAAGGATTGGCTGTGTGGTGCTACTGACTCGAGACTTTATGCATGGCTTGCCAATGCTGATGATTACTATAGGGCTAACTATTTAGGAGAAACCTTACGGAAGACGGGTGACCTCAAAAGTATTTCTAGGTTTGCAGAAGAAGAGGCAAGGAAAGACCAAAAGCTTTTGCAGCGTCTGAACGTAATGGTTGAGACTAAACAATATCGGTTGAAAAAGTTAGAGATAAAATATTCACAGGATTCAATTCGACTTAAGTATGAGACTGAAGAAAAAGAAAAGATTCTCCATGGTTACAATGAAGGTGAGCTTAGCTTTCTCCTTCTAGCTTCAAGATTCATATCCCCTTAGAAAAAGTATTGTTGCATCACCGAGCTATACATATTTCTATAGATTGTGTTAACATTCGTGTTACATTGTCCCTTTTGCATCTGAAGATCTGACAGGAAGACAACAAAAATCGACTGATCATTTCAATAGGATCTTTGCTGATCATGAAAAGCAAAAGGTGCAGCTGGAGTCTCAGATAAAGAAACTTGAAATTAGAGAGTTGGAGTTGGCAAAACGTGAGGCGGAGAATGAAACACAGAGGAAAATAGTGGCAAAAGAGCTTGAACAGGTATATGCTAACATGCTCATTTCTGGATTGCCTCTTCGTCTTCTAAAATTTGTTCAATGGCATTATTTTCAGAATGCTGCTATATTTAGTTACGCTCAACTAGCTGCCATGGAACAACAAAAGACCAGAGAGAAAGTGCAAAGATTGGCTGTAGATCACAAGGTCTGGGAATGCTTCCTTCTTTAAAAAGGTTGGTTCTTTAACTTTATGTGACAGGTTCCTGCCGTGTTTTTAACCTTAGATGCAAAAGGAAAAGCTTCATAAGAGAATTGCTGCACTAGAAAGGCAGCTTGATCAGAAGCAGGAGCTTGAACTGGAGGTCGAGCAACTGAAAAGACAGCTGAGCGTGATGAGACTCGTGGAATTGGACAGTGGTTCTGAAATTGTGAACAAGGTGGAGACCTTCCTCAGAGACCTTAGTGAGACGGAAGGAGAGCTTGCACACTTAAATAAATTTAATCAAGATCTTGTTGTTCAAGAGCGCAAGAGCAATGATGAGCTTCAAGAAGCTCGAAGAGCATTGATAAGTGTATGTAGCTCTATTATATTCGAACAATTTTCTTTGAAATTTGGTCTCATAGAGGCGCTAGGTGACTCTTTGCATGTTGTGAGTTTATATCATTATAAACTCGAATGATACTGACATGGTAAGGCTAGAGTGGTTGGATGCATTAACAACAGAAAAGACACCACTTGAATTTCCCTCTAATGTTTTTTCTTAACTTTGATTGCATTTATAGAATTTGAGAGACATGAGATCGCATATTGGTGTTAGGAGAATGGGGGAGCTTGACACCAAACCGTTTATGGAAGCAATGAGAAAAAAGTACTGTCAAGAAGATTTAGAGGATTGGGCAGTTGAAGTTATCCAGCTCTGGGAGGAATATCTTAAGGACCCAGATTGGCATCCTTTTAAACGGATAAAGCTTGAGACTGCAGAAACAGTAGTGGTATTCCATTTCCTGTATATCACAAATCCAAATCGATATTGTTTTTATTTTCCATCATAAATAATATGTTTTAAGTGTTGCTAGCAGAAGACCCCTGCATTCATGTGCATGCGTACAACTGCCAAATGCATCTGCAGATTTGTTTATGTATATTGGCCTTAGTTTATGGATTTGTGTTTGATATGTAGAACCCTGAAGCTGTTGATATCTTTGTCAGGAAGTAATAGATGAGGATGACGAGAAGTTAAGAACCCTGAAGAATGAACTGGGGGATGATGCGTATCAAGCAGTGGCAAATGCATTGCTGGAAATAAACGAGTATAATCCAAGTGGAAGGTACATCTCCTCAGAGCTATGGAACTTCAGAGAAGACAGGAAGGCTACGCTTGAGGAAGGTGTTACTTGTCTACTCGAGCAATGGAATCAGGCGAAGCATCACAAGCCTTAAATGTTATATTTGCATTTACCCGGTACACTAACTACCAAAACTCCCAGCTCTTTCGAAGTTTTATATAGTTGTTTTCTCGAATTTTGCTAACCTGAGGTCTGTACTTTGCAGTTGCAGGAGATGGAAAATAGGTTTTGCGCATAAAAGATGTCAAAATGCAAGGTTCAACAAGTGTCTCTCGTCTTTGATGCAATATGGGTCTTAGAATTGGAAAGTAGGTGTAAATTAGAGGAGGATGGCGTCAAATTAGGAAGTGGGCTCGAAGTTGGAACTATGTTTCTACACTTGACGGTTCAACATTGTAGGAAAATAAGTAACAAACATTGTTAGATGCTTCTAAACCTTAGAGAAGTTTATGAATTTGTGAAGAAATGAACACTTTGGCTTAGTTAGTCTTTCCACCAATAACAAACACTTTACTGTGTTTTATTATTCCAAAACCATAGAGCAGCAGTATTTATTATATTTCAAATTGGGTTATCACATTTTGTCACAATATCACTCACTTCTTTGAGGTGAAATTAATATAACATTTGGTTTATATAAAAAAACGAAATAATGAAGAACGTTGACTTGTCACTTGCCAGAAAGGATAGAACAATAAAGAATGTCTAAACTTACAATATCCCTTTTATGGACCGAAATTATCACACAATTTTGAAAAAACAAAGATAGAACCTAAAAATTTGGTTAGGGACGAATCTCATCCCAGTTGGAGTCATTTACAGATGCCAAAGCAGAATGAAAAAAAAAATGTATTTAGGAGAAAAAAACGAGAAATAAAGACAATTAATCTTTGCAGAAATTGAGTTTCCGATTTATTGTGTTGTTTGCTTCTGTACACCCACCCACCAATGCGTACCTCCTTTTTTTACACTGAAACACCTGATTCAAGAGCTCCACCTCTGTTCACTTCTGGATCTTTGGATGCTCCTCTCGCCTGATGTTTTCCTTGGTGCTGCGACCAATACCCGTATGCCCTCAATACTCTGTCTAGGAGTTCTTGTGGCACAGGCTCTCCTCTTCGTTGCTGCGGTGATATACTTGCTGTGTGAACAAGCGTCTTCCATTTGTCCTGCATATGAACATGTTCTTGAGACATTAAGCTACTGTGAGACGTGATATGTTCCAGATTACATGTTTGTGTCTAATGTGTTTACCTTCAAGTCCACGTAAGTCCGATGATCTGCATCCTCGAAAGCACGCAATTTCACATCACGCCATCTGTGTGATGAGATATATCGACCATTAGCTTTTGAGTTTTGACATTAAACCACGACCAAACCACATGAGTTATGGTGGAACTAGTGTTATATACCTTCCAGTCCCTAGTTCCTCAACTGCTTGTACAAGAGCTTCTACCTCTGTCACAGAGAAGGGTCTCCTGGTTCTGCGCTGGGCTAGCTCAGTACGCTTAGGTTTCTGGTTCAACGGAACTATGGCAAGCGCCTTAACTTCCAAGGCTGGAAGTGGAACAAGCTCTTTTGAATCCGATGAAGGTTCATCAACAGATATGTCCCCCTGATATGGAACTAATTCAAGGTTACTGTCCACAATATTTCCTGAATTAATCATGTCCTCTGCATGGGGAATTCCAGAATCTAACATGGGAGACGCCGCAGACCTGGGATGATAATTCAGAACCGCTTTTGCTTAGGAATCTTCAAGAAGAATGAACACCAGTGATATTCAACTAAAGCAGCACAAGGATATGATAGCGAAATTCTTAGTACCGTTCAGACAAACTCGTAGGGTCGGTTGGCACAGCAGGATCTTCGGAACACAAAGGTAGGGGAACTTTGCTTGGACCAGGCTCCAAGGTGAACCCAAGGTTGTCTAGATTTTCATCACATGAGATCCCAGTCTGTGACAGAGTTTTCCTGTCATCTCTAACCTTCTTCCCATGCTTTAATACCCCAACACGTATTCCTCCGCTGAGTAAAACACTGACAGCCTCCATCACCGTCCTCTGCAACCAAAAGGGTCAAAGATCAAAACGGTATTTTGTTACCACCTCAATGTCCACACAAGAGAACCAAACATATGTGAGGGAACAAAAGAAGATAGATATTGGCATGTACCTTTAGTGATCCTACTGTTGCAGTTTCTGGAACTTCAATAAAAAGCTCTGGAATCCTAAAGGACTTAATGCTTAGCTTTACTGCACCAGAGATAAAAATACATGAGAACCACATTATCCCGTCTCCGGATAAATGTCTCAGTATCATATACCATCCGGTCAAGTACCATGGGAGCCCTTTGAGAGGACCACAACAGCTAAGATGAAATAACTGAAGAGTTTTGAGATAGACTACAATAACCACCTGTATCTCCCTTCTTGGGTAACTTGGAAACACTTCCACTACTGAGTCCTCCATCAGAAGTTACGACCGAGCTTCTGTCAGGTGATTTTCTTCTCTTATAAATGATCTCACGCTGCCATGCGTTGTATCCATAACATGATTTTCTTTTGCGATAAAGAGTCTTTACACCGACATCTAGACATCCATGTTCAAAGTAAGAACAGGGTGAATCACAAAAAGAAGAAATGTGTTCAAAGATAAGTGAAGCAGGCTGTGATACTTACCAGCTCTACTGTGTCCAAAATCTTTGGGAACTTGTTTCCAGTATTTGGACGACAGCGACTTTCTTATTCTTCGAATTGTAGGAGACCTATACGACTTAAATTTATTGCTAAGTTTCTGGTAACTATAAAAATTTTCATCATCATCTCTTCTACCTAGGTTAGTATGATTCCCATGTCTAGCATAGGAACCATTAGGGGTCATATCCAAGCTGGATGGTGATTTTAGATCACCACCCACACGGACTGAATTCGGAAACTGCACACCTAACGCAGTTGCATCCTCTAAGTTGCAAGTATCAGAGATTAACCCTCCATCTCCCAAGCGATCGGTTGCTTCTCCTTGTTCAAACCCAGTATTCACATTAACATCACCCGTGTCCATCAAACCATGAATCTTCTTGTAGTCAGACATCGGAGTTCGCTCTAAAACGCCGTCACTATCGGGAAATGAAAAACTGTTCACCACACACTTGTCAGTAGAGATTTCATAAGTAGGCTTTGACACAGAGTTTCCTTGGTCAGAAGACTCAGATCTAATAGGCTTGCATTTATCTTCTTGCTCTTGTTTAATTTCTTTATCGTGATTATTCCCTTCAAATGCATTGGACGACGCCGAGGAACTCTCACTTTCCTGTAGAATCTTTCCAGCCAAAGCTAGTAAGTCAATAGCACAGATCTGAGTGTCATCATCATCATCAATCCTCTTGTTTAGGACCTTCCTCTGTAAAAAACCAACCAAGATTCATTAGAACGTAGATCATGACATTGAGCTAACAGATCCAGATGAATCAGAATTACCCTGCATGAACGAGGAGCCCTGGGAATATTGGGAAAATCAAAGCCAACGGAAAGGCAATCTAACTTCCTCTTGAACACCATCTCTCAAATATGCATATCACTAGCAACACAAAACAAAAAGAACAGAACACTGCAAAGAATCAGCACAAACATGAACATTTTAAGCTCACCATTAGCTAGACTAAGCATATGATGAGATCAATACAATTTACGGAGAAGCCAAATAATGTTAGGCATTTCAGACAATCACACAAACAAGGAAGATCAGATGCATAATCAGAGAAAGTAGCAATTTAGATCAGATCAACACAAACAAATCCGAGCCTTTGATCTAAGAAAGACATTAAAACGAGAAATGGATACAAAGTTAAAGACTCAAAATGCTAGAAGCTGCTTGCAAATTCAATTTTAAAAAACCGAGTCGAGATGAAAAAAAACAGTTATCAATCAGATCTCGAACAAATTCTTACGACCCGCCAAAGAGTTTAATCGAAATTTGAAAACCGGATCAGAGTCAAGGATCAAAAATCACCCAAAACCCCTGAATTTTACAGATCGGTATGTGGACAAGTCAATTGCAATTAAAAAAAAAAAAAAAACTCACCTATCAGCCACCAGTTTTCTTGATCACGATCGCGAACCACTTATTATTACAGATCACGCAATCTAAAACCCAAATATCCTCATACCCAATTTGAATTTTGTTTTGAGTATGTGTAAACAAAATGTACAAAGGATCTATACAGAAACTCGAGATTCTGATAATTAAAACAATGAAGAATTCTCGAGTTATTTTTTTTTTGTTGCGGTAAGAAATCCGTCCTTGTCCTTAGAAAAGAAAGAAGGAAGAAGAAGACGTGAAAAGCCCCATTGAAACAGAAACCCTTTTTTTATATAATAAATCTCAGAAATATATAATTAAAAAGTTTTTATTGACCACACAAATAACAATGGGTTGAGATGAGGCAGTTGAAGGAAACCGGTTTACCGGCTATTGACGGTCATTCTTTGTTTATTCATATGGCAGGCAAAGTAAAACCCCTCTCTCCGGTTAACCGGCTACTGAGGGTCACCCTCTCTCTCGGGGAATCATCATTTCATAACCCCTTAAAGAAGATAGGTTTGTCAGAAGAATCTTAATTTTAGGGATCGGATAAAAACAATACAATAGTGCTGTTTGTGATTGGAGTGGGGTCATTTTAATATACTAGTACTACAAAAGCTGTCTTTATCTTCCACGTGGGTAGTGAAAGCCTGTGACAAGTCCATTGCTTTGGTAATAACGTCGTCACAAGGTTTTTTAAAGTGTTCATTCACTAAACTTGAGTGATAACATGAATTTCTTGATGAAATTGTATATATGTTAAGACATGTTGAAGCATGTGCTAATGGGGCCAAAATGAACGTGTTCTGTGTTTAAGGTATAAATTTAGTAAAAAAAAAAAAAAAAAAAAAAAAAAAAAAAGGTATAAATTTAGTTTATCTCGTGAATGATCATGTTCGTGTGGTGGATGCGCCAATCTCATGGCTATTTTCGTGGGACTAAATCATATTAATGTAAGAATCGAAATGTGTTGAATCTAATATAAATAAGGCCATGTGTTGAATCGAATAATTTGTTATGTCGTCTTGGACTTCTGAGCGTGCACGGTGTACATATGTGGCTGGTCATGGACCCTTGTAAGTTATAACCTTCGTGAATATGGGCCGCATGACAATTGGTAAATGGGTCGGGTCGGACCATCCTATACTATTATTTGGGGAGTACACTTTATAAGATACCCTTAACTAACCTTCCCTTTTGTAAAAATTTACTTAAGAATGCCATTAGAGATAAAATTTCAAAGAGTAAATTAATTCATCTCATTAAGGATAAACAAGTCAATTTATACCATTTAATTAATTTAATTTAATTATAAAAACGAAAAATACATTATTATTATTTTAAAATGACCAATCAAAATGAATATATAAGATTTGATATCTAACTTACCTTATTAATTTGTTATTAATCATTATATTTCACCTCTCATCTTTATATGATTATATTATTGTGAAACAAATAAATCATTATATCATCCATATAATAATAAAAAATAGGTTTTTTTCCGCATATGCCATGATTTGAATTTTAAAAAAACGAATATAAATTATTCAATTTATGAAAAAAAAATTTTAACGAATCAAAAATTTAGACTTGGATAATATATTTCTTTTAAACAAAAATAAATTCAATAAATACCGTCTGAATAACGGGTCAGAATTTGAATTATATTCAATTTCATATATTTTTTTAAAATATATAATTTTATATACTACGATAAAATTTTAAATATTTTAATTTGGAATATTTAAAAATAGTTTGACTTGATATTTAAAAACAAATATCATCAATACTTAATAAATAAAAAATTTAAAAATTAGACATACACTAATTTGGTTTTCCTAAAACAAATATATTTAAAAAATATTTATAATAGACGGTGGGTTAAATATAATGTATTATATGATGGAATGAGTTATGATCCTTATAACTATTTGAATATTTATTTTTAAGTTCATACAATCAGTTTTTTAAAAATTCTTAATTTTATATTCTACAATAAAAAATAAAAAATATTTTAATTTGGAAAATTTTTTAAATAGTTTAATATAATATTTTTAAGAATAACATAAATATTTAATAAATCAAAAGATAAAAGTTATAAATACTCTAATTTTATTTTTCAAAGCATAAATATTTAAAATATTTATAGCAAGCAGCAGGTTAAATGTAATGTATTATATGATAAAAAGAGGTATGATCTTTATAACCGAAACCATGTTAAGATTATATGATGAGATGAGTTAAATAAGGTTTGACACCTCTAAATATTTAAAATTTTGATTCTATAAGTATATATGAAAATAATGAATGATGGATTGTGCACACAATTTTTTCATTGGGATTCTAAAATAAAAATATAGGTACGCACGGTTGAATTTAATCTTATTATATACCAAAATATGTTTATTATATACGCAATTTTTTCACTTACTACTAGCATATATCAAATACATACGTTTTATTTTTAACCAAAAAAACGTAAAAAACCGTAAAAATCGAACTGTAACTAAACCGAATTACATACGGTTTCTATATGGTTTCACTTTCTACAAAACGAAAAAAACGATACTAAACCGAAAAACTGTACCCCACCCTTAATATTTTCTCATCAAACAAAATAAAATAAAATAAAAAATCCTTATATGTCATTGTATTATGTAAAGAATTATTAAAATTGTACTATAAAACAAACAATAATCCAACTTTATATAAATATTTAAAAATTAAAATTTTATCTGTGCTGTTCCAGCACGGGTTATGATCTAGTTCTATTGTAAAGCTACAAGGAAAATGATCATACATTCTCCACAAATATGAACTTCCAATCATTCGCTAATATAAGCTTTCGCTCAATTCATGATTATTATGCAAATATTGCTTATTATGGTTTTATAATAATTAGACGTTATATACTGGGAGAATGTATATGTAGTAATAGAGAACCACTGTTTCTTCAGTATATGCATGAAAGATATTTCAAAAGTTCATAGATCTAGTTGATGTATCCGCACTCGTTACACTTTTAATTTGTACATCAATTTTTTGGATATGTAGATAATTGTGGCCATGCATGCTTTCGTTATTAGATGTATGTCACGAAACAAATACGTATGCATTTCTTTCGTTCTAGAAACATATACACATGCTGCATGCACTTCAATCATATTGAAATCTCGTAGGTACATTTTGGTACGGTTTGTTGATATTCTGAGATTTGTAGGTAGGTAAATGGATTAGAAAAAAGGGCCAAATTTAGAAGAACAAAGAAAAGCAAAGAGAAATTAGAAGACAGAAGAGGACTGATATAAAATCTTTGGCGGCTGCATGGTTAAGCCTCATGGCACAAACGGACGACAATGACATTCTATAAAGAAAAAAACAAAGCATCAAAAGTGGTCTACGGAAATTCAACATGAAGTATGGAGCTTAAAGATTTGTTTTATAATCCATATACTTTATTCTCTATTTTTATTTGCATTATGCTTTTATATGTTAGAACCTTCAAAACGTGTGGTGCCAAATAAGGAGAATAAATTTATAACAGTATTTCTTACTTTTATGTTGATCAATAAAGTTAATTTTGAGTTACTTAGCTAATTTTTTTTATTTTACCGAATTTTAAGATGAGTGGGTTATACGAATTTTTTTCCTTGTTCTATTTCATTTATGTGAGTTTTGTTGTTGTTGTTGATATGTAAAGTTTATTGCTTAACCAGAAAAAAAAATGTTCTTTACATTATAATGTAAAAGGTTTATGCTAATAGTATGGAAAGAGGGTTTTGTATTACGAGTTCCCTTACGTTTGAAACCAATGACAAAGTAGGTTTTCCGTATTTATGCGATTTGTGATAGCATAACGAAAGAGAAATAGACTACGGAATGTCTTGCCATGGCCACTGCAAATTCAACGTACATAGAACTACAATTTGAACATATTTAGTAAGTGTCACAAGATATTAAAGTTTTCTTCTGGATTAAAGAATTGCGTGAACACTGACTTGGTCAATGATTACCTACGACACGGTCGTCTTTAAGTTATAATCGATCAATTAGATTCGTTAGATTCGTTACTATAGACTATAGAGAGTCGAATTGATGTTTTAAGTTAGATGGAGCGTATTTTTGCAGTATTTATAAATCAAGGCTGATATTACTGTTTTTTTTTTTTTTTTGCATTTTTTCCCAATAATGTATATATGCATATTGCATACAAAAAAACTTAACTTTTTCATATTTTTTTGCTTTCAATTAAATTTGCTTTTGACATATGTCAATATTAGCAGTATTTATAAATCAAGGCTGATATTTTTTAACTTTTTAATAGTTTTTTGCATTTTTCCCAATATGTATATATGCATACAAAAAAAACTTAACCTTTTAATTATCAAGAGTTTTTTGCTTTTAATAAAATTTGCTTTTGACATATGTCAATATCTTGTACTATTAAAATTATTAAATTTCACTTAATACTTTCTTAAAAAATATCTAACATATAGTGACAAAATTTGTCTTCCAAGTAATAGTCAATAATCTTTTAGTCAATAGTCATTAAGATATTAACTTCTTTATCCAAGTACAGTAGTAGTCATTAATCAATAGTCATTTAACTTTGTTACTAACACTTGGAAAAATCATTTGAGCAAACCCCCATGAGTGGACCGCATATTTGACTCACGTAAACGGCAAATCCTAGCAGCTCCGTGAACATAACAGCGTTAACAAACGGCGTCCCCTGTCTTAAATTACGAGTTTTGTCAAAAGTCTTTTCTCTTTCTCGCTTCTCTCAAAAATTTGGGATCATTTTGATAGGAGCGACTCTGTTCCTTCGCCGCCGATACTCACTCTTCTTCATCGGTTTTGTTCCTCCGGTTAGATTTCTCGTTCCTTTCTCCTTTTTGTTCTTCGATGATCGTATTGATCTGTATGTGAATTCAATCTCTCTTGATCTTGCAATTAATTGAGGCAAATCACTGTTTGATCTTGTCGAATCTCTTGAATATATATATCGAATTTGATGCTATCAGATTTGTGGCTAAGATTGTTGATGACCTTATTCCAGATCCCTAGCTCCTTTGTGTTTTCTTAGTGTTCCTGATTTGCT